TGGTGGTTCATCGATGTGGTGTTCTATAGGGTGAAAGGGGGGGGGGATGAAAGCTCGAACTAAAAATTCTTTGCTTATATTAATGCCATTCTTTTCTTCTAAACCTTTATGCTATTCTCTATTCTCTCCAATTTACTCTCTCCCCATTCACTCTTTGTAGATTATTTTTTTAAATACCGATAACCTGTCCTCAATTATGTACTAAACAAAACACAATCTTGTTCTTTTTAAATACATGCTGTATGTCTAATTTGTCTTCGCATGTGTCTGTCGTATTTACACTGACTCAGTATTTTAAGCCTTGAACAAATAACGTAAAAGTTTCTTTTTGATTTCCTATATCTGATTCATGGCTAAGAGGCAGTGATGACATTACGGTAATCACGTGACTGTCTGGTGGCACCGCCCCCTCAAACAGAACCCACAAAAAATCACGTTCGCGTTGCTTGGTTTCCATGGCAACGTTTTAAAAATACATTTACTGGATCGGGACGTACTAAAACAAGGATAAGGCGCCAGTTTTGCTTATCTGGCATAAAGTTTTGTTGAGGGACGTGTACGGTATAACACGTCTCGCGAGATGAAGACGTCAAGACGTCACTTCATTTCTTCACACACTTCTGTCCGCCGTAAGGTTGACGTCTGCTAGACCGAATCTGACAAATGAGTGAACTGATGATGAGTTAGCGATGAGCGACCTACATATCTGTTGATCGGTTTGATGCGGGTCAATAGATCGAACCACAGTTTTGTCAGAAGGTTGAGAGAATGGTCAATATTTCTACCGGGTTTTCCATGTTCTATTTATAGAATTATGGGCGGCACGCTGGGTAGGTCAAACGGACCATAGGCTTGGGTTGTTTGGGAGATAGAAAAGCCCATAGACTTGGGCTTGTTTTGGAGATAGAAAAGCCCATAGACTTGGGCTTGTTTGGGAGATAAAAAAGCCCATAGACTTGGGTTTATTTGGGAGATAGAAAAGCCCATAGACTTGGGCTTGTTTAGGAGGTGGAGCGGCTCATAGACTTCGTAGTGGATCTACTCGATAATTGAGAAATTTGAAAAGAATACTGCTTTATCATTACTGATAACTAGTTTTGAAAGAGTTTTCTCTGCATTATATAATTTTTATTTTCCAATCAAATTCTATACGGCATTATAGGAAATGACGATTCACTATACGAACTAGCATAACGTTTTTTACATTATTAATAATTAATTGAATAGTTTTCGTCTTTGTCGCAAAACTAGTCTGATGTGCACATCTACTTTAAGACGAGTCTTTACGACATACCCTAACATTAGCCGGACTTTCTTTCAACCGTTCAGCTTATTACCTTTTGCTTCAAGCTGCACTGGCATTTCAACCCCCCCCCCCCCCCACTACATGTCTTTTTGTCGACACCGATTTTTTATACCCCCCCCCCCCCCACACACACACACCCCCATCTTTATTTTCTAATCCATCGCCGTCTTTGAGAAATTTCTTCTCCTTCACTTTTTTTCTAATTGGTTTTTTCCCCACCCTTCCGTATTTTTTTTTCAGCCATCGTTCGCATCCAAGCAGGGCTTGACAGGGGCATCTATGACTTTCCTTAGAGTTGTCCCCCTTCGATCGAAGCCAAAACAAGAGATCAATTTCTCATTAGATCTTTGGGACAAACTCACTCATTTGCAATTTGGGCCCAACGCTATGAATATGATTAACCGGCTGGCTTGGAAAATCTATGGAAGACCGTGGGGTCAATTTCATCAGAATAAAGAAATCGTTGTTTTTTTTTCTATATCAGGAGATCGACTACGTCAATGGGTGGTTTCTCTGGTTGCATTCACAGGGAAAGATAGGCGTGTGTTTTTCTGTATTTACACGTCACTTCATGTCAGACGTTCCATTGACAAATCTAGCTTTACATGAGGATAGGTCAAGGGTCAGCGTTTTATACGGTCTGAGCCTCGGTCAACATTTGGACAACATCCTGTTGACCATTGTTGCCTAGGGAGAAAGTCATATATGCGTCAATGTAATTTGGAACGTTTTATAAACAAAACTTATGAAACCTTGTACAAATGTTCTGTGTCATTTTATATAGAGCTTGACACGGTTTCATGTATTATCTATTGTGTAGTATTTAAAAAAAAACATCACTAGAATTTCAGATAGGATTTACGTAGCGGCAGTGAAGTTTTGTTTTTTATTGAATTGGTAGAATAAGATATAAATGCCGACGAAAGAGTTCAAGGGAAATAAGTTTCCTGTCGAAAAGTGGATAGAAAAACAAATGAGGCTCGACGGATGGAGAAAGCAACCCACCTAGGAGAGACAACTCCCAAATCAAACAACTGCTGCCTTGTAGTTTGATCTTGGTTGGACAAAGGCTATGAAAGCAAATCCAAAAAGAAAAGCAGGCTGAATTCGGTGTCAGCGGCGCATAACGTGTTGACACCTAATACTTAATTGTGTTGGAGGAATTTACAGTTAAGAAGGAAAAATAACATAAAAAATTACAAAATTTTATATAACATTTAAATATGAAATTTTATCAACCTATGAAATAGTTCTCAAGTTACAGTATTCACACAAACACACAAACAGACACAAACAGACACACACAGACACACACAGACACACAGACACAATAACAAAATTGCTAATTTTTCCCCTGACTACCACACGTCTTCTGTACTCTGCATACAAGAAAGTAGGAAGGTGTAAAACGGCGAAAATTAACAAAATCCTATTCCATTTTTAGCACGAAAAAGCAGAGTTTCTTTTAGACTTCTATGCGGGGAGGGGGCTGGGAGGAGGGGGGGGGGTCATTTTTTATCAATATTGAAACAACAATAACAAAATTGAACCGAGACGGAAATACTTCAACATTAAGAATGCACCTACGGTTGTTCTATCTATAAAAATTAGCATAAAACTGCAGCTGTTAGATCTTGTGTTTCCAACGAGCAGCCGTTTGATCTTGATCAGACTAGAACTCTGTCTTGCGTCATGTCTTCATCTTACAGCGGTTAACCCCCCCCCCCCCCTTTTTTTTAAATTTTGGGCACGGGACGAAAACAGCTTTACTGATGTAACGCATCCACCCCTCACCTTCACTCCCCTCAATTACTTTACCCCTCGCTAGCAAAAACACGGGGTACCAGCAGGACCATGAAAGATGTTTGGTTCAGTTACTCCTGGTTCAACTCCAACGTTCTGCTGATGGCATGTTATTTCTATTCGGTTTTAGAGCCGCGTTTTCCTTAGAGAACATCGAGATAATAACAACTCGTTATCGTGAGCAGGCATGCAAATGTTTTTAACAGTTAACTAGACGCTAAATAATCGATTGATCTATTTTTTTATGACAATAAGGACCATTAAATTTAGTTCATATATATGTATGTGTGTGTGCGTGCGTGCGTGCGTGCGTGTGTGTATGCATGTGTTTCTGTGTGTGTGTGTGCGTGTGAGTGTATAAATATGTATAATAAATATGTATATAAATATATATGTATATATATACATATATATGTAGGCAATGTATATATATATATATATATATATATATATATATATATATATATATATATATATATATATATATATATATATATATATATATATATATATATATATATATAAGAGAGATATAGGTAGAAGGTTATGTCTGTCTCTGTGTCTACCTGTCATGTCTACCATCGAATTTTTTACTAGCAGATGAAGATGTAACATACCAGCATTATTATTTTTTTTTTATGTTTAACCTCCTACATTACCCCCATTTCGTAATATATTAACTTGTAAAGCCATTCATAACGTTACGCTACACCGCCAGGTGGCTCACGCTACTCGCGCTGATGTGACCTACTTCAATTGAGCCCTTTTTGATCCCCATCATACAAAACAATAAACGGCCCGATGTCGCCAGACATTAATGCTAATTACAGTCCAATCAACGTTTGAGTTTTTTTGTGTCAGTATGTCAAAGTTCTGAAAAGGTAGGTCTCGAAAGTTACCCCCTCCTCCCGAGGTCATTAAACACCTGTCATACCCCACTGATGAATTACCCTCTTGGGTTCATTAGCCTCACCTTTTTGAGAGGGGATATTATACATTATGTCAGTGGTTTGAGGGCCTGTCATTTTACAAAATGCTTAGATACGGTACAGAATGAGTAATATGGTATTACTAGTGGAAAATAAATATTACGTTGCTTTTTATGTTTTACTAAATCATACGAAACTAATAAAACTGACAAAGTGCATATTAACATAATTTCATTAAAAACATTTGCTCAGATCTCCCTGAGACTTTCATAGTAGCCGTCCCATCATGAGATTGGTGGCGCAATTTTGAAAAAAAAAATCACTGAACAAAAGAAATTGTTCCTTAAACTTACACATAGAATGAAGTATACAACATTTAACCATAGTTGTGAAAGATCTACAACAAATGTGAGATAATTTTTGGATTTTTCATCTAATTATTTTTTTACTTTCTCGTATATACGAAGTATAGAGAAAGTCTTGATTACTATTTCAGATAGATAAATGAAATTTCACATATAAGTAAAAGATCTAATTCTCTGCCTTCGTTCAAATTGTGAGCAATTTCCGTTGACCAGAAGTAGTAACTTTAGCTATTTCCGATTTCTCAAAAAACGCATGTAAATCTATAAAGTGCTAATAATATTCCGCAATATTATACACATTTTGTTTTGCTTTCACTTGGTGTGCAATTCTTTTTCTACGAGATTCTATTCTATTTTAAAACGTTTAAGTAATTAAAAATTGATTAAAAAATATTGTCTATAGCCCGAGTTGCCATCCCCCGTAGTGTTATATAAAAATATTATAAGAAAGTTTAGGGGAGATCACTGCCTTTTTATTTATTTACATAGAATACAGTAGGATGAATTGCTTTGAGCATAATATGTGATATGTGTATAGATGGGTGGGGGTGGGGAGTATGAGTGAATGGAGGGAGGGAAGGAGGAGGGAAGGATGCACTAGTGCAGAGCATCACTGCTGGACATCGTTGTTTCTGGATCTTTCTTCTCCGTCTCACTGGGTATATGCAGGGTGGTATCACGGCTACACACACTCTGGTAGTTCTTGGGCAAAGGGTCAACGACCGGCTTTGTCTGGTACCGAATGCACAACCACACCTAGGTTTAATAAAACAAAGCACGTTATATTTTGTTAAACATTTGTTTCTAATTTCTGGGTCTAATATAAATACTATAGGCCCGTATTTACAATATATATAATTTTCTTCATGGAGACCATAGAAAACACCAAGCTGTAAGCGCGCCTAGCTGTGGTTCACGTTAAATGTTTACAATCGTAGAGCCGGGTTTAGTGACGGCTATTAGGGGCAGCTAATTTAGTTTGTAACTAATTTGAACTAAGGGGAAGTAACTAAGAGTAGGCTGCTTTCACGACGGGGGTAGGGTAGGGGTTGGTGGAAAGGAGGGGGTGGGGTACTGTCGAATTCACAAATTATGAATTACTGAAAAGTAGCAAATAAAAAAACTAAACAGCGGCATATGATGCGCCGCGGGTCGGCTAGTATATACTAAAATGGCTCTGTATTCTAATAGACCGTTGGATGACTGCGGACTGGAAAATCCAATCACAAAGCCTGGGCTGTAGGTTGAGAAGAGCCAGATGTTGCCCATGCATCAGGCGACAACTGATGGACCTAAGAGACAGGACTTTTCGGTGTCGCCGGGGCTGTCAAAAGGAAACTAGAGTTGGTTATCCTATCGGAGTTTTATCTCCTAGATGGGTTGATGTCCCCAGCTGACGAGCCTTATCTCCTGGAGGGATCGAACTCGGGACTTTCCAACATGCCCGACAACTCCGATTCTTACAGCCTCTATTTATTTAAAATTTAGTTTCATGTAAAGATAAATTTAACTAAAATATATTGCTAAAACTAGTAAAGATAAATATTTTTTAAAGCTTGCACTGGTATTATTTTTCAACTACGAGAAAGACAAGTAAAATGTTATGAACATGTCCCACCTTTTAGACTTCATAACACATTAACTAGAAAATTGCAAATATATCCATTGCATTAGTTTTTGTGTACAGCTTTTGTAGGTAAATAAACCAGTGCGTTTGTGCTGTATAAACTGACCATTAAAATGATGAGGTCGAGAGTGACCAGTGCAGCTGAGATGTAGGCCAGCCCCGCCCAGATGTCCAGCGTAGCGGCGTAGATGTTGACAAACACGACAGAGCCCAGCAGCTTAGCCAGGGTCTCAGCGCTGGAGGCGAGGGCGAAAACCTTGCCCGTCTCGTCATCACACACGGCCTTGCTTAGTATGGACCTGGGGACAAAACCAAATGGGTAAATACAGCCTTGGTCAGGTATAGACCTGGAGACCAAATAGTTAAAAACAGCCTTGCTCAGTGTGCAGCTAAACTTAGATGAAAAATTTCAAGCCATAACTAATGTAAATTTTTAAAGTCTACAAAACACCGTCGTGCTCAGCATAATTGACTTTTAAGAAAAATACAAGTCTTTAATACATCAATATAGTTTATAGGAATGAAGAAAATATTATCTTTGTTAATAACCTACGGATGCCGAACGTTAGCCAAAAAGACACATGCCGGTATGAACGATTGCCCAAATGAGATTTCCAAAAAACCACAGTTTTCCCATTTGGGCTATGTCCATTCTGGAAAACGATATAAGGCGACTGTTTTTCTGGTATTCGTGATGGTCTATATTTACAAGGGTTAGTATAATTTGATTTTTTGGTATTTTGAAAAACGTCTTTGTCCATATTTTTGCTTTTTATCAAAGTTGCTAGCATATGGGATTATTCTATTTTTGAGCACTTCATAAAACGCCAAAATTTTAAGTGTTTTTTTTTTTTAAATATTAAAAGTGTTTTTCAAAAAAAAATTAATGTTAATGTGCTTAAATTTATTTTTAGAAATATAAAAATAGACTAACCTTGACCCTGACGATATGACTCCAACAGGGGAACTAACTAAAACAGAAACGTAAACCATCCATGTGAGGGTACAAAACCCCGTCGCTACATTCCTCATCAGCTTAAAGCCCAGCCCCAGCAGGACGATAGTGACGTCACTGAGCTTGAAGAAACTGGACAAGACGGGCAGCAACAGCAGAAGACAGAGTCCCATTCCGGCACAATCCACAGACAGCAGGTACCCGTAGCCAGACGGTTGCCATGACAACGGGGCTTTCTGGACAGATAAATTTGGGTAATATTTAATAGTCAAGGGACTAGAGCAGTGGTTCTTATCTTTTTGGAAGTACCGAACCCCAACTGTTTTCAATGCCAATCACCGAACTCTTCTTAATCCGATCGTTAATCATATCTGTAGGGTGTGTGAATTGACCACCGTCGAACCCTTGAGACTGATTCACCGAACTTCTGGGGTTGGCTCGAACTCAGTTTAAGAACCACTGTTCTAGAGGGTTATCAATATTAGTTTAGCATAAAGACATTTCTAGAGATGGCTGCCATGACAACGGGGCTTTCTGGGCAGATATAAATGTGGGTGATATTTAATAGTCAAGTGTCTAGAGCAGTGGTACCGAACCCCAACATTTTAAAATGCGCAATCACCGTACTCGTCTTAATAGTTACGTAGTCCGCATTGTCTTAAACCATGGGTCTCCAAACTTTTCAGTCCGAGGGCCGCATTACCCATCAAATTTCAGGTCGGGGCCAGTTTCTTCCAGGCACGTCTTTGATTTTTCTGGGCAAAGTTCCTCAGCCATCACCAACAGACGATTTTTCCTTGGACAAAAAGATCTCCGCGGGCCGGATGAGAGGACTTCGCGGGCCGGATTCGGCCCGCGGGCCGTAGTTTGGAGGCCCCTGTCTTAAACCGATCGTGAATCATATGAGTCGGGTGCGTCTTGACTTCCGTCAACTCGAGAGACTGACTCACCGAATATTCTGGGATTCGATCGAATACAGATTAAGAACAGTGATCTAGAGTATTTTCAAGATGGTTTAGCCCAAAGACATATTTCTAGTACTTTATTTAAAAAAATGTTTTTGTAGTTATATTTTTGTCTGTGTAGCAATTACTCCTGTTACCTGCAAAAACAGTACTGTGACGTCATATTACCTACACAAACAAAACCGTGACGTCATATTACCTGCACAAACAGCACGGTGACGTCCTGCTCGCCAACTTTACATGTCTGGTTGAGAAACATGGCCATGAAGGCGACTATGACAAGAGTTCTCTTCCCTTCTTCTCGTGGTTTAACGAGGGCCCTCACTGAGTCCTTCACGCTCTGAAGACTGTCAATACAATAACAAAATGAATTATTTGATTCGCAATCAACATATGCATTAATTTACATAACACCAGTTTTTAGCCCGGCGTTTTTATCCGTCAATAAAATATAATATAACGAAGCGAATGTCAAAACAAGTATGTTTCGTTACAAAACAAAACATGTTTACAAGGAATACAAAAAACAAAAACAATGACTAACTGACCTTAAAAAGGAAAGCATGTCTCTATTGCCACGCTTAAATTCTTTTTCACGGGATGAGTTTTTGTCAGAAGCCTCTTTGACAAAAATGACCACTGTTAGCATAGAGGCAGAGTGGAACCCGATGACCACACCCAATGTCGTCTGCAAGTTGGTCAAGTCCTGTAGGGCTCCTGCTAAGGCGGAACCTAAATAAAAATTCAATACATTTTCCAATTCCTATTTTAAATAACAATTGTTTTACTCCATATTTCACGTATGTTATTGATACAAAGCTGAAGAGACTACATACACATTAAAAATGATAAAATGTTTAATGCGTACGTTAGCAAGTTAAGCTTATTTTTCTGACTAGATGGCAATCAGGCACATTGTGTGGTTATGTAGAAAGAGTGATGTCAAATCAATTTAGGTGCTTGTTAAGACTTATTTGTATTTCGACCTATAATGAGTCCGAAGAAATTCATGGCCAGCAATTGTCCAAGCATTCTGGACCTGTCTTCGTCAGAGGTTGTATCGCTGATGTAGCTGTTGACCGCCATTGTTATCACAGAGCTTTTACCCAGAGCACCCTGTAGGTGTAAAGTAAGACGACGTGATATTTGGACAATTAGGACAATTAAATTATATAATTACATCTAAATCGATCACATGATGTTTGGACAGTTAAATTATACTAGACTACCCGTCATCCCTTGTGTAAGTGTGGGTTTCGGAGTTCATCCATAAAAAAATCACGTCTGTCACTTATCGACACAAAAAACCAGACCCCAAATTCAAAAAGACGTATTTTATCTTTTAAAAACACCGATTTCGGTTGAGCATGGGTCTAACCACATTATCCCTTCATATACTGACGTCACAGGTGACATTTTGAAAGTTGTATTAATTTTAATGACACCGACTTTAAAATTTAGCCTTCATTCTTAAAAGCAAAATTTAAAAAGCCATTCTTTTAAACTTTTATAATTAATGTGGTTAATCTACCAATGAATAAATCAATAAATTAATTAACTTCTTTAAATAAATTTGTGATTAACAGTCTGTCTAAAAACAAAAAATGTTCTCTACCTACATACTATTTTACAGCTCTACACATAGTGCAGATTCTCTCCTGTAGCCAATCAGACAAACAAAAAAGCAAAAAATAAAAAATAAAAAAATATTCAAACATATAAACAAACTTGAGTTTTAGTAGTATAAAGATAGAAGATAGATAGATAGATAGAAAGACAAATACATCTAGATCTATCACATGATATTTGCATATACAAGACTGACTAACCTGTACGAATCCTCCGATCATAATGATCATTAAAGTATGCTTCACCAACAACACACCCAAAATATACAACAGCACGGCCAGAATGCTACCTAAACTTGGAATAATCATTGGTGGCTTTCTGCCAGTACGGTCACTCCAAGCTCCACACAACAGCCCGAGAAATGCCGCGGGCACACTTACTAGTATACGGTGAATCATTAAAAATGTTGCAGATCTGATAAGATGAAAACGTGAAATATATATATATATATATATATATATATATATATATATATATATATATATATATATGTGTGTGTGTGTGTGTGTGTGTGTGTGTGTGACGTTAAGTGGGGTAGGTGAGTATAAAATATGCAATCATTTAATAACGGCTCATTGCACATAATTTGAAAAGATTAGAAAACTCACAATTTCAGCAAACCTAAACCCATATGTAGGTAGATCTCACCTGGCCTGTACAGGTGACTCCAGAAGTGGCAGCTCCGTCAGGTAATCACAGGGGTCAAGCGAGCCGTTCATGAACATCTGCTGCCCACGTGTCCAGCTGTCATTCACCACATCACGTGACATATCCTGACAGACAGCCGTGATGACGAAAGGACGGATAGCACTGTCCAGCATGGCTTCACCACTTTTATACAACAAGAAAACAACATCTACTGGGCTGTAGTTTAGAGGACACAACTTTTTCAGCATGCTAGGCTTGTGAACTTCTTACATCCTTTTCACGACACGCACGCTTGACGATATTTATATCCTGTCGTAGTGGGCTAAGCATGGTGGGATGGTGTGTCAGCCGGTGACACTAATAACTAATAACTCACACAGTACATTCCTTGCCAACTGTTCTTCCGAATAAATAACTACAAAGCGTTTTAAAACAAATAATCGATTTCATTTCAGTTCTTCCTGAAGCTTATTGATATTGTCTTTGTGCGCTAATGTAAATTAAACATACTATTTCCATTAGTATTACTCTAGATACCAACCTTCAATCGACACACAAATTATTGTAACGTTTTGAAGGACAATATGATAACGATGTCCGCGAATAGAGACAGTATCTGGTCTTCTAAGTATTCAAAAGGGTGACAAGTCATTTTAGCAAGATGTTCACAATTGTTGTTTATTTCACTTTATAAATCTATTGGTTTTCTCATCGTAACATTTTAGTGAGTGTTTTTCACTAGTCATTTATGGTTTATTCATCCGCCACGCTTGATATAGGCCTATTTGACAAGTTACGGTTAAATTTTAATATATATATATATATATATATATATATATATATATATATATATATATATATATATATATATATATATATATATATATATATATTTACCAGTTGAAGTAATAGAATTTTTACCAATAAATACCATAAAACATACAATTCTCTTTGAATATTTACGGACAGTAAGATCAAAGACTACAACACACAATTATTACTTTACTAAATCTCGAGTTTTGAAAACACACGAAGAACATTTCTGGTCGAAGGTGTATATTTTTGCTAGGATAAAATACAATGGTGTTTTCTTGTTAATAATCTTTATGCGAAGGAAGAAACAATTCATAAATCTAGTAAATTCTTAAATTAGTCTTCATAATTTAGATTTGAATTTTTAATTTATCTTAAAATGATTTCACTTCAGAGAAAGAACACATATATTTAAAACTTGTTTAAATCGATGAAAAAAAACACAAAAATTAAAATTACTGACACGACTGAAATCCTACGAATTTTTGTTTTGTTTTTATTTCTGTAGGATCCTAATTAAATTTTTATTACTTATTCTTATTTCATCTACCATACATTGGCTAGAGCATGCTACTGTTGGCTAATAGCTGAATCTTATGTAAACTATAATTAGTACTTGATCGATTCGATCGCTTGTTTTTTTTCGGCTCATGTGTAGTCCAGCTCTTAATGACCCTAACATTATCTTGTCAAACTATCAGAGTGAGTCTTTGAAATATCGCACATATGCAGAACTAAAGCAATAAAACAAGGCATTGTACATCCTCTTTTTATTTATTCCATGCATGTTTGACGCTATCACGTGAATAACTGTCTATTCACACATTTCAAACACTTGTTATCATTTGTAAGTTTTTTGAGTGACAGGCGTCTTTATATATTTAAATTTTGATGAAAAACGCATATGTATATTCAATATAAAGGATAATCAAGTCCCATCTTCACACCTTTCATTAAAATGTAAAATACATTTTTTTAAAACACTATTGTGATAGACACATATTGTTCCAGTACAATATTCCGCCATCTTGTGAACAGGTATCTCCAACTACTGGAAAACTAGAAATGTTTTGGCTTCGGTCTGTGCGTGGTTGGGACCGCACCATTATCCGCCACCATTGCAGCAGCTGTCATATTGATGTCAAGTACCGAGAAGCACTGGGTTGTGAAAAACCCGTCGCGAGACGCGTGCTGAAGTCCTTGAATCGTAACATTTATGTAACAGGAACAAAATTATCGAGGGTATAGAAGACAAACGTAACATGTCCGAAAAACAAGAAAAAGGAGAAAACTGAATTTCAATATTCTAACCCGTTAGTAAAATACTGCACAGTATTATTTGAACACGTTTCTCTAGACAACTATGTCCTGATTCCATGAATTTAAGATCAATTGTTTGCTGATACCACGTTTTGCAGAAGAATTCCAGACAAAGTCGTTTTTTTTTGTACCATCATTCGAGTTTAATAAACATGCACGACTTTTCTGTTTCTTTTTCTTTAGATCTGGAGTTGCTGACTTGGGTCGCTACCTTTTGATAGGTTATTCAAGAACAAGCTTGCACAAAAATTGTTTTTTTCATATCATAACTTGGAAGACTATAATATTCTTTGTAAATGTTGTGTCAACCTTCATTAGATAATTTAGAGTTGCAATTGAATCTACATATGCTGCAATCAACTGTTTTTGGATATTAAGCAGGAACTGTCTTGCCATTTCTGATAATGTACAATACACCATCATTGCGAGCCTTTTTGTCTTGTGTACCGTTCCCATTTTTTAGGTTCTCTTTTTTCTTTTTTCTCCCAATTTTTTTCTTTCTTGGTATCTGAAACATGTCCATGCTCATCGCGCATTATACTGATTGAGGCTAACTGCTGTTTCAATCTGCTTAATTCCTATTGCTTCTGCTATGGTTGTATTTATGGTTACTGGGTCCAGTTGGTTAATTAAAGTTGGATCACAGTTTACAGCCTCTACAGCTTGCTGTTAATTCATGTGTGAATGATGAATCACCAGATTTACATGAATTTGTCGTATCAAATTACACGTGGGCGATCTAATTAGAGCAATCTGTTTCAGTAGTGCATTAATCAGGGTCAACATCGACATAATAATAGCCAGTTGTTAATTTATTTGCGATAGCTGAATGAACTAATTGATATGGATTAGTAGTTTCAAAGTACAGTGGGACCAACTGATGAGACCCAGCTGTTTCAGTGAGTTGATCAGGGCTAACTGTTTCACTGAGTTGATCTGGGCCAACTGTTTCAGTGAGTTGATCAGGGCCAACTGTTTCAGTGAGTTGATCAGGGCCAACTGTTTCAGTGAGTTGATCAGGGCCAACTGTTTCAGTGAGTTGATCAGGGCCAACTGTTTCAATGTGTTGATCAGGGCCAACATTTCAGTGAGTTGATCAGGGCCAACTGTTTCAGTGAGTTGATCAGGGCCAACTGTTTCAGTGAGTTGATCATTGTGAAAACGTTTGGTTTTCTTACGAATGCCACGGTTTGGCTGCCATATGTTTTTGTAGTGTGTCCAGTTGACGAAATAAATCACAAACATTTCTAATGCACGGATGTTATTTGTCCAATACTACATTTGTGCTCTGTTGAGTTGCTAAAAGAAAGATAATAGATCTATAATCGTGTTTTGTGTTTTATGCAATGATTGGTATAGTTTTTGGACATTTTAGCATTGTGCTCTACAAGCTCATTTTCATGACTATACAAATATAAACTAGTATCGATTTTGAAAAAAAAACGTGAAAATACTGCGTTTGATCTCTATACCTTCGATATGATAAATGGACGGCAACATATTTAAAAATAAGACAGATTACAATTTATCTTTGGGACAGCGTGGTTGTGCGGTTGTAAACCCAAAAACTACGAGACTTGATCCCGAAGTGAAGTTTGGTGACATTGCTGAAGTGATATTGGCATTCTAATACTAACACTTTTCAACAAACATATTTGTAAATGGTTAATTTTTTCGCAATGTCTTTACCCTCTTTACAGATATTAGCTTGCTTTGAAATAATTTTTGTAATCTATTGTTTTAAAATGTTATTTCGTATTGTATTTATTGTTTACTTTGATGATCCGAGTTTTACTATTAAAAGAGACACGATAAAGGATAATTACTTACAAATGATAAGAGTTTTCTACGGTATGGGTTGGTAAATATCCTTTGTGTTTTATAAATAGGTCTACACGATTAGCTAGAAGGCCATGGCACTTTAGCGTTCGAGAGCTATGTTGCTAGCCATTAAGTCTCGAGCTCGAATCCGGGTTCAAGTGAATAAACCGTCCCTGAGTCCACCCAGCTCTCTAACACAAACAAAATGCAAACACAACACAAACACAACACAAACACAACACAAACACAAAAACAAACACAACACAAACAAAACACAAACACATATATTGAGGAAAAACTTACTCAGTTTAAGCATTTTAAATTATGTTTGTAGAAATGAGTGAGTATCGAAAATGCCAGTCAGGGTCAACTATTCATGACGTCCACAAAAATTTGGAATTTTAGACCCCCCCTCCCCATGTCCTCACGCGTCTAACTTCGACGAACGCCCTCCCCTCTATGTGGACGTCATAAATTGATGACCCTTATAACTTTAGCAGTGGCACCAAACTTTACATCGGGTTCCAATCTCATAGCTTTTGGGTTAACAGTCGTGCGCTCTACCGCACGACCGCGCCATCTCAAAAATAAATTGTAATCCGTCTTATTATTAAATATGTTGCCGTTCATTTATCATAGTTTTGCTCGTGTTACATAGGATGTAAATATATAAAGATGGCTGTCACTCAAAAATAAATAAATTACAAATTAGAAAAAAATGTTTGAAATGTGTGAATAGACAGGTATTTATGTGATAGCGTCAAGCATGCATATAATAAATAAACAGAGGATATAGAGTGCCTTGTTTTATTGCTTTAGTTCTGCATATGTTTTAAAGACTCACTCTGATAGTTAGACCAGATAAATATTCAAACAGCATTGTATATTTTTAAATGGTACATATTAGTAAAAAGTTATATTATTTTAACAGGTAGATTTATATACATTTTAAAATTATCTACACAATATCGGTGCATATCTATAGAATGTTTATCACTTTACTGTATACAACTTGCATCTGAATACTTTTTTATCTTGTAATTGAAGCACATTCTACATTTTTTGTTATTTACATAAATGTTAAAGGAATACTGTGACCCAGAGGCGTAGCGACCCCTCCCGGCGCCCGGGGACAAACTGTCAATTTGCGCCCCCCCCCCCTCGAACTTTTCATTTGCACCCCCCACCTCAAACTTCGCACCCCCCATAGAACTTTTCATTTGCACCCCCCTCAAACTTTCAATTTGGCGCCCCCCTAAGGTCGGCGCCCGGGGACATATGTCCCCCCCCGCCCCCCCCCCCCTCGCTACGCCTCTGCTGTGACCTAGAACAAATTAGAAAAAAAATAGTTTTGGTTAAATTGTAAACACACAAGCGTTAAAATGTATCTGTGGAATGCAGATTAGATTGATGTTCAGCTGGCACACGTGACTTGAAACTTGAAACTTGTTTTTAAATCTTAAAAATTTTATAATCTGTATTAGTTTTTTTTTATTTGATAACAAGTAGCATTGTTTACAACAAACCCCCTATGCCTTTAAAATACTACGCGCGCCTCTCTTTTCATTTAATTGTATCAAATTCATCAAATTCATTTGCTATTGGATTTTGCCATTTTTAAACAGAAAGCCGACAAACGGTCGTGTCTTACTTGATTGCAGCCTCGACATTTTTTTTTTCATTTTCTTCTTTAATCTAGTACTGTACGAAAATATATTCAATTTTACTACCGGCTTATATATATATATATATATATATATATATATATATATATATATATATATATATATATATTAATCTCTTAATTAAGTGAAATTATCATTTTTCTGTATAAATTTTGCTATTTATTTGCCTTGGTGTCACTTTCCTAAATGGTGTCACCCGGTGAGGTCCGCATCCCCCCTCCTCTAGCTACGCCTCTGGACACCTGATGAGACAGACATACAAACAGACAAACGACAAAGACTGAAAATTTATATTTAGAAACATAAAAAATATACAGGATGCGATAGACAAGCACACATACAAGACAGACATGTAGACGGGCTACAATTTGAGCATTCTGCGTTTATGTTTGCGTTTGTGTTTTCTTTGTGTTTGGGTTGGGTTTGCGTTTGTGGTTGGGTTTGTGTTTGCGTTTTGATTTGATTTGTTTTCGTTTGCTTTTTTGTTTGCGTTTGTGTTTGTGTTTACTTTGTGTTCGTGTTTGCGTTTGCGGTTGGTTTTGTATTTGCGTTTGTGTTTTTATTTGCGGGGTGTTGTTTTTTGTGTTTTGGTTTTGGTTGGTTGTTGTTAGGGTGGGCAATGCCGTGTATATGCTGATTACTAAATACACATGTCATTATCCTTTACAGACAGGTTTTTCACAGAGGCCAGTGTAGGGCCTGGCCGGGACGGCTAGTAATTAACTAAATGCGATGGTTTAAACTACATGTTATTAACCAGCCCTAAAATGATTTTGTTAACACAAAGTCATATCATTTTTTAATGAATTAAATTACTTTATTTGAGTACGGGAAAAGGTTGAAAATCCACGCTCGCGGAGATATGTAGACAGACTTCGAGCAAAAATTTAAAAAGACAAGCATGCTGACATACGGGCGTAAATGATACATAAAACGCAATAATTAAACGAGAAATGTTTTATTTCAATGTTACGTGGCGAGGAATCATTCGAGAAATCTTTTGTTACATTGGGAATGCTGGCTGAATCAAGTGTAGACAATAAGAGCATCGCGTGAACAAATATCTTTGCGTAGTTCTTTAAATAGAAAGGGGTTCTTTGCGTAGTTCTTTAAATAGAAAGGGGTTCTTTGCGTACTTCTTTAAATAGAAAGGGGTTCTTTGCTTAGTTCTTAAAATGCAAAGGGGTTAAGAGCTCCAGATCAGAATCTGTTGTCATTTAAAATGTTTATCAACGAATCAAGTACTTCTTAAAGATAATACGTGTGAATCGTGTGGTAGATTTCTCTGTACTTGTGAACTTATTTTATTCATTTTAGACAAGCCACTTTTAACTCAAGCATATATGTTACATTCTGTGGCGTAGCCAGGATTGTTTCATTGGGGTGGGGGGGGGAGGGGGGGGGGGGGGAGGCCGAGGACACGTCATTAGGCACTGTCATTATCCACTTCATCTAAAGAATCACACTCCGAATGCAGGTTCGAGATAACAGCACCTTTTTTCTTGGTGAATAATCACTGTTTAAAAAATAACATTAACAGACCTCCAATGTCTTAGGTCCACACACTGCATTACTCCGTATCTCACGTTCTACTGACACTTTCCTCCCTGTTCAATCACTCTGACACTCAGGGTACTCTTTATGAGCGAGCACGGTCACAATAAATCCACAATCAAACATGCCGTCTCTTTGTTACACCTATGGACCGTAACGTACTTAGCTTATTTTTTATTTACTTAAACACGACCATAATTCAAACAAAACAAAACACAAGATTTGCTAAATGCGACATGTAGCAATTTGGAGTAAACCAATCAGTTCCACCTATGTAAACATGAATACGGAAACTTTAAATTTCTTTGTGGAAATCTAAAAAGTTTCTCAGGACGCGAGATAGTTTCTAATAAATATAATCTTTTATCATCTGTTAGAACTCCTTTTATAAAATTGCCTTTAATTTGCGCATGAAACAGGCGAAGTTGCTGTATTTATATATTTTTATTTATTTCTTGCTGTAATGCACATTGAGAAGCAATATTACTATCTTCATCGTTTTCAGCTTTATTTAGCTGGAAACATCCTGTTCGATCAATTCTCAGACGTTTGCAACTAGTTTAGTAACAATGAAAAAACACCAAAAGCTTTTTGTGTGTGTTCTGGAGTGAATGTTTGGAATCTAAGTGACTCGTGCTGGAGTAAAACTTGGCAGGATACACGATTAGGCTTCAGTATTCCATCTCTAGGTAACGTAGCAAAACATAATTTAAAAAAAAATTGTGTGTAAGTTGGCGACCTTTTGCAACCCAAAATGGGGTCGCGTCCCACATGTTGGGAGCCGATGATAAAGCAATTCAGTTAAATTTTATGCCAAGATTGAGTCCTGATATAACGAACCTCATAGATCAGCAAGAGGACTAAGAGTTTATTGTGCGGTGCTTTTGGAGAGGATCAACAAGTAATCAGAGTTTCTTCCAGGCATCTCTTCGGGGGGTGGGGGGTTGAGGGGGGCTGAAAGAAGTCTACCGCCAACCCCCCCCCCCCTCCCCGAACGAAATGGAATTTATATAGAAATTATGTATACTTTTACCAGTTCCACCCCCACCCCCGGGAATTTTCAAATGCCCCCCCCCCTCGGAGAAAAAAGTCAAAAAGTCAGGAAGAAACACTGTAAGTAATACATTGGCTTGCGAGGTTAGTTCAATTATTTGACCTTGTTGAGGTCTTTACAACGATTTGGATATCTTCTTTTGATACAAATATTTTAATATAAGAGACAGGAGTGAATAATAAAGTACAACATACGAGATGGAAAATTAGATTTTAACAGTTAGGGGGAGGGAAGCGTGGATTATAGGAGACCATTACTGCAGAGAAATGGCGGAAGTTGTCTCTAGATCTTTCTTCTCCGATTCACTGGATACATCAGGAGTGGCGTCTGCTACACGACTACATGTACTCTGGTAGTTCTTGGTCAATGGTTCAACTGTTGCTACGGGATGATGTAGTTGGTACACACAAACCTAGATTTTTTTAGGAAAAGAAAATATAGCTGTTTGAAAGGGAAGAATGCATGATTTGTTGTGTCTCATTTTACTCAACATATCATCCATGCTGCTTATAAAATATACAAGCTGCATACCCGTGCTCAGCCACGGTAAATCTTTTTTAAATGTACCAACTTGGGAACAGAACAAAACAAAACACAACACAAACACAACACAACACTAACACAACACAACACAAAAGAAAACACAAACCCAACACAAATTCAAAAGAAAACACAAACACAATGCAAACCCAAACGCAACACACAAACACAAAAGACAACACTCAAAAATTTGCATTCACATTTTGCTAATTATATTATTGCAACAATAATTCATTCTTGTAGATTTTGCATTACTTTTTTTTACAAAGCGTGATTTGAATTTATTTTTAAATTACTTCCCTTGGGAAATTACAAAACAGTTTAATTAATTGTTTTTTTTTACCCTATTATTATTAAAATGTATCCACTTTTTCTTGGAACCTAAACGAAAATAATATTTGACATTCTTCCTTTTAATATGTTTTAGCAATGTGCGTGTATTTAATATTTTCTTCCAGTTATTCGAAAGTGTAAAAACTGTGGCAACTATAAAATAAATTTACGTCGTTATATAAACAAACCCTACTCCATTACTTATAATAAGGCATTGCAATGCACTGTAAAAGCACTGCATGGTGCGGTGTTTACTTTTATTGATCCAAAATCTATAGCGATGACGGACGTACAGTCCGCTTATATAATTCTCTTCTTGGAGACGATAGAAAACACCAAGCTGTAAGCGCGCTCCCTACCAACCCCACCCCAACATGGTCTGGTGAGCTGTGGTTCACGCTAAATGTTTACAATCGTTTAAAATAGTTTGAAACTATTTTAAACTTAGGGGAGGTAACTAAGAGGAATTTTCCTAAACGGGGGGGGGGGGGGGGTTGGGAAAAAGGAGGGGGGGGGGGGGTTATCATGGTTATTTTCAGTGGCAGCGTTGGTACTGTCGAATTCACAAATTATGAATTATTGAAAAGTAGAAAATAAAACAACTAAATAGCTGCGTATGATACACCGCGGGTCGGCTCGTTATAAATAATATTATTCTCCACCAAAATAGAAAATTGCCCTTTTACTAAATATTTGTTTATATTTTTTCGTCTCTTCAGAGAACATTGAATCCCCATTAAAATACACAGTTTAATTTTCACGTTTAAAAATAAAATTGAAAATAAACGTTTTGTATTATGTATAAGTAAACAATCTTCAATTAATGAAAAGTGTCAGAAAGTAGTATTACTATCGTAAATCTGTGTCAGTTCTCACAAGCCGATGATGAAAATTGTAAACTGCTATTATTGAGTGTAAAACAACTGACCATTACAATAATGAGCCCTAGAGTGACCAGTGCAGCTGAGATGTAGGCCGGCCCCGGCCAGATGTCCAGCGTAGCGGTGTAGATGTTGACAAACACCACAGAGCCCAGCAGCTTAGCCAGGGTCTCAGCACTGGAGGCGAGGGCGAATATTTTGCCCAACTCGTCATCACACACGGCCTTGCTAAGTATAGACCTGGGGAGATTAAGAGGACATTATTGTTAGAATATTATAATATTAGCATGGATTGATAAAAGGCTATCTTTTATTTATTTTATTCACTGAACGTACTGTTTACTAATTATAGTTTTTAATCAACTATCCCGCACTATTATAGACGCGTCATCACGTTCATTAGGTGCTCAATGGTTTTAGTCATGAAACTCTATTGTAATTTATTTTAATTTAAAGCACTGAAAAAAAATGCATGAAATGATAAAGTGCAATATGGAAGGTAAAACAGATATTTTAAATACTGCCTTTTTTAAATTTTATACACTGAACGTACTGTTTACTAAGTATTATTTTATCTTTCGGTATGCGGACAAGCTGGGGTTTTTATAGTCGTTCACTGAATCAGGCGAGTCTGCCTGTGCTCGGGCAAGGTGCGATTTGGTGTCACGGGCTCGACTGTGAGCACTATGCGTTTATTTTTGGATTTAAGTTGTGTTTATGTTTTCGTTAGGAATTTTAATTGCGTTTGTTTTTTTTCTTTTGATTTTATGTGTTGCGTTTGTGTTTTCGTTTGTGTTTTCGTATTTGCACTGTGTTTGTTTACAGTGTGCTTGTGCTTTCCTTGTGTTTGTGTTTTCTTCTGGGTTTGTATTTTCTTTTGTGTTTGTGTTGTGTTTGTTTTGTATTGTGTTGTGTTGTGTTTGTGTTGTTTTGTGTTGTTTTGTGTTGTCTTGTGTTTCTATACCGAATAAAAGAGGTAGTTAAGAAACTTAACTTACGCAAATAGGCCCTATTATTTTAAAGTAAATTGTATCCCAAATTAGCTAATTCCATAGCCAAACAAACAAAGATTTCTATAAAATAATTAAGTCCTGAAATAGCTTAGTATGGAAATTTATTATAGGAATAGATTCTAATCTAGATAGAGTCTAGATCTAGTTCTAGATCTAGAATCTAAGTCTAGTTTTTCCGTAGATCAAGATCTAGAATCTCTAGATCTGAAACCAAACAGATAAAGTAAATTTTATAAGTTTAGGCCGAGAAAATTGTATTGTATACATTTCATAGCGTACGTAGATCTAAATTAAAATTGGATGAAATAGTTCATTTCTTTATATTCTAAAATTGGAAGATGACGCTATTAGTTTTGTGTTCTTCCCTTAGTTTAAACATATGGCATGTGACGTCATTGTTTCTTCCGTTCTTGTCACGACAATAAACACTATAGTTAGAAATCTGCTTCTACATTCGAATATGCCTTTATTTTTATTTTCCTTTTTTAAATAAAATTTAGTTTATACAGACCACAATATTATTTTCAACAGAAGTCCGTATCTAAGTTCTCCATATATCGCTGAACATGATGACGACGTTGCCAAAAATATTGCGGACAGAGAGAAGTACGCACAATTGCTTTTAAATATATATATATATATATATATATATATATATATATATATATATATATATATATATATGTTGGCTAGTATTATATTGTTTATTTCTAAGTAAAATGGTAACTTGGGTGCTTATTATAAGGGTTTAGGTGACTAGGACTAGTTACAGAAACCCAAGGGGCTAAGGTGTCAGAAGTGGGATATAAATGTTAGGGGTTCGTCGAGAAATAGATATCTTATACCCCACTTCTGACACCAAATGTTAGGGGGGTTTAAACCGATGAGGTGATCTTATTCACTTATCCGTGCACCTTTGCGTGGTGACAAAGGGGTCTAATAAGACCTGAGCAAAACTAATTAAAATCTATTCAACACCAATATTAAACTAAAAATAAGACATAGTAAACACACATAATATGCATTTATTTATCTTTGTTTGACGTCACAAAGGTTTATATGTTAAAAGCAAAGACACAATACAAATAAGACCTGGCCAGTCTTTCATATTCAAGAAAACATCACTTGAATTTCTAATACAAGTCAAAAAGACAAATATAATAATCAAACTTACATTTCAATGCAGAATTAGTCACCGTGGTAACTGACATTAATTCATAGAAAACACATATATAAGTGTGAATAGCAAATCTACATTTACACAACTCAGAATTCACACATGTCATATCCTCTAGTCCTAACTTAAATACTTGCACTGCTTATGTAATCTCAGAATCACACTTGTCAAAGTTATTCTTTCTAGTCCTAATTTCACTTGTACTGCTATGTAATCTCAAAATCAAAAACGTAAAAGACATCGTCTCTAGTTCTAACTTTACTACTTGCACTGTTATGTAATCCCAGAATCACACGGGTAAATGTTATCATCACTAATTCTGATTCCACTAATCAAACACGGTTAAAGTTCATCTATGAATACTCATCAGTACTCACAACAATCTAGCTCGACAATCAAGCGACAGGCAGTTTCCAGCCACTAGAAGAAAACATTGGGCCACTTGTACAAACATCGGGCCACAAAGATAATGGCCACTGGAACGAAGAACATATCTACACGGCAGACGTTTGGCCACTGGTACAACATTGGCCACACGTATAAACATCAGGTCACATACATAAATATCTGGAACGACGCACATATGTACAGCGACAAAACATCGGCTGGGACAATAATCCAGCCTTAGTGGCCAGCCTTCAAGGCTGCCACCATCCGAGGCCTAGACCATGGTGTCTAGCCTCCGATACGTGTGTAGGAGAGAGAGACCTCAACATAGTCGCCCTTCCTCATTTATAGGCTAGTCTTGCCCCCCTTATCATCTCCCCAGAGCTATAGAACCCGAGTTGGGCTCCGTACCATCTCTCGACGTTCGAGATAACACCGGTCACTATGCACCCATGCGTTGCACACCCGATAACTGACCGCTATAGATCTTCCCGTTGTCTCAGGGCTAACGATCGTGTCATACACCGCTCGAGCTAACGTACGGCCACGCGGTACTCCCGCAGCATTTCACACCTGACAACTGACCACAACAGAGATCATGAGTAATGATTCTACCGAGACGTCCAGCGGCATGCCCGAACTCAACTTTAGACATAAATCACCGCGGGTGTCTTCCCAGCATTACGTGTCACTCATGCACCTGCATAGAGCTCGCAGCCCTTAACGACCAGAGTGAGCCGATAACATTTTAATTAGATTTTAGATTTCCCTGGCCTGTTCATCCCCAATATCTTAGATTAACCCCTTGGGTTTCTGTAACTAGTCCTAGTCACCTAAACCCTTATAATAAGCACCCAAGTTACCATTTTACTTAAAAATAAACAATATAATACCAGCCAACATGCTTCTTAAGAATCAACAATTTGGTACCAGCCAACATATATATATATATATATATATATATATATATATATATATATATATATATATATATATATATATATATATATATATATATATATATATATATATATATATATATATATATATTGCTCTTTATCATAGTTTTTGAGAATGCAAATAGACTGACCTTAACCCAGAAGCTATGACTCCTAATGGGGAACAAACTATAACTAAAACGTAGACCATCCAAGTCCGTGTACAAAACCCCGCCATCACATTCCTGGCCAGTCTAAAGCCCAGCCCCTGAAGGACAATGGTGAAGTCACTAAGTTTGAGGAACGTGGACAAGACGGGCAGCAGCAGCAGAAGGCAGAGTCCCATCCCGGCACACTCCACAGACAGCAGGTACCCGTAGCCAGACGGCTGCCATGACAACGGGGCTTTCTGGGCAGATACAAAAAAAATGGTATAGTCAACAGAAAGCGTCTATATAGAGGTATCAACGTTGTTTCTGATGAATAATCTGAAATATTCCTAGTACTTTCTTAGGAATTGTGTAGATATTTAAATTTTGTGTCTATCGTTGACTCAATAAACACCGTAACGTCACATTACCTGCACAAACAGCACCGTGACGTCCTGCTCGGCAACTTTACACGTCTGGTTGAGAAACATGGCCATGAAGGCGACTATGACAAGAGCTCTCTTCCCTTCTTCTCGTGGTTTGACGAGGGCCCTCACTGAGTCCTTCACGCTCTGTAGACTGTCAATAATTAAACAAAATTCTACATTTGTATACGAAATGAAAATAGTTTGTAATAATATGATTATTGGAACTTATAGCTAGGCTTTTTTAATAAGCCATTAAAATAGAACATAAACAGAGTGACACTGTGTTAAGATAATGTGTGTTTGCTCACCTTAAAAACATGTTTTAATAGTATAAAAATTAAATGTATGACTAATGGACCTGAAAAATGACTGCTTTTCTCCAGTGGCACTCTCAGTTCCCTTCTCACACAATGAGCTTTTGTGTGGAACCTCTTTGACAAACACGAAAACGGTCAACACAGACGCAAGATGAAAAACAATGACCGCAACTAAAGTCGTCTGCAGGTTGATCAAGTCTTGGAGGGCTCCCGCTAAAGCGTAACCTAAATATTTTTTTAAAAAATAGACAAAGTTAAAGCTTATATTGGCTGGGCATAGTGCTAACCACTTTCCCTTCATATGCCGTGGTCAAAGAAACTGGTGAACTCTACTTCACTTGCTCCATGGACTGTCAGGTTCCAAAAGGAAACCTTAAAAAAAGCTTATATTAGGTAAACCTTTTCCATTCCACCTGTTACGTATTCTATAGGCTATTGATTCAAACTGAAAGATAACTAATAATAAACCGGGAGTGATATCCCCTAAACTTTCTCGTATGTTCTTTTATAACAGTAAGAAGGGAAGGCACTGTCAGTGCAATCGGTACTCAAAATATGATTATTTTATAAACCACAAATAAAGTACCTCTTCTACATATCATATATACAATTTTGTCAACCTAACCTAAACGGTACTCATGTTATCCTGTTTACATACACATAAAAACCCACGATAGGATTGCAAAACTATGATTTTTTTTACTCCGGAAAGTTATAAAATGGTAAAATTTGTCAAAATCTCGATTTAGATTTTCGCCCAATTTGGTTGCCTTTGTATTCGTTATACAATAAAGTATAGAGGTGTAAAACGTTAAAAACTGTCCAAATATCTATTAAAGATTAAGTATGATAACAATACTTCCTCTATCCGAGAAAGTAAACAATAGTTAGTTTAAATAAGTTAGGAAACCATATTTAATTTGGTTATTCAGAAAGAATAATTTCTAATTACTTCAATTATTTATTAAAGCTTATCAATGTTCAAACCTATAATAAGACCAAAGAAATTCATGGCCAACAGTTGTCCAAGCTTTCTAGACCTGTCTTCATTGGTCGTTGTGTCGCTGATGTAGCTGTTGACCGCCATTGTTATCACTGAACTTTTACCCAGAGCACCCTGTATGTGTAAAGTAAGACAAAATGATGTTTGGATGATTCAATTTTATAAACACATCATACGAGATCACATGATGATATTGAAATTTACTTACCTGTACGAATCCTCCGATCATAATGATCATTAAGGTATGCTTCACCAAAAACACACCCAAAATATACAACAGCACGGCCAGAATGCTACCTAAACTTGGGATCATCATAGGCAGCTTTCTGCCTGTGCGGTCACTCCACGCTCCACAGAACAGCCCGAGAAATACTGCGGGTACACTTACTAGTATACGGTAAATCATTAAAAATGTTGCAGATCTGAAAAGATTGAAAAGTTAGCATAAAATAAAATATATCCATGTACATCCCTAAGACTGATCCTACAGGTAATTCTTATCGTAATCTAGGAGGACAGAGGAGGTGGGAAGGGCGTTAATAAAGTGTTAGGTCACAATTTCTCGTTTAAAAAGGTATTCGTTAATCTGCGTTATAGCAGTTATTCCACCTCTACTAAGTAATTTTTTTTGAAAATTATAATTCAGATTAATGTAGTTAACTAATCTTGATGACCAAAATTCCTGTTTGAAAATTGTGTAATTTATATGGGATAGGGGTAGGCTGTGGCGTAATTTTTATGAGTGTCGTCCGACGTTTTGTGACGATGCGTGACGATAGATGGGGGTCGGTGAGCAAAACATGTGAAACCATTTATTAATCTTCATTTACTGCTTTCTAAATTGTAATGTTGGACCTGAGGCGTAGCGACCCTTTCCGGCGCCCGGGGACAAACTTTCAATTTGGCGCCCCCCCCCCCCCCTCGGGAGCAAATTTTTAATTTGCACCCCCCACCCCCAATTTTCGGCTTGCACCCCCCCCCCCCCACACTATTTACAATGCAAAAATGCAGCTAAAATAACATTTTAATTTGTTTTTCCAATCCATTTTGGCGCCCCCTAAGGTCGACGCCCGGGGACATATATACCCCCCCCACTCGCTACGCTTCTGTGTTGGACAACGCTTCATCCAACATAATTAAAATTATATATCAATATGTTATGCGCCATATGGACTGTTGACTAGGAATTCAGCTGCTTTTCTTTTCTTTTTATATCTTCGATAGCTTTTGTCTATCAAAGAACAAACTAAAAGGCAGCAGTTGTTTGATTATGGAGTTTTCTCTCCTAGATGGGCTGTTGTCACCAAATAACGAGCCTCTTATTTACGGGTTTTGAACTCGGGATTTCTATATTAGGCACGCACGCGTCCAACTCCACCGTGAGTGTATTATTAACTTTTAACATAACTTTGCGAAAATATAAATAATCAAATATGATCAAATGTACACCTAATATGTAGGTAGATCTCACCTGGCCTGTACAGGTGACTCCAGAAGTGGCAGCTCCTCCAGGTAATCACAGGGGTCAAGCGAGCCGTTCATGAACATCTGCTGCCCACGTGTCCAGCTGTCATTGACCACATCACGTGACATATCCTGACAGACAGCTGTGATGACAAAAGGACGGATAGCGCTGTCCAGCATGGCTTCACCACTTTTATACAACAAGAAAACAACATCCACCGGACAGAATTTTAGAGCACACACCTTGTTCAGCATTCTTGACCTGTGAAATGTTACCACCTACTTTTCAAGACATGCTCGCTCGACGTAATTTTTATCCTGTCTTATGTAGATATGCACCGTGTGGCAGCCGAAGTCACTCAATTACCACATTCTCTCTGTACAAAAATCAACACCTGTTCTTCTGAATAAATAAATACATACAAAGTGTTTCTACAACAGGTTACAGGTTTCAGTTTCTTGCTGAATTTCATAACCCTTGCATCATGTGGGCGTAATACAAATTTAACTTTAAATTTTCTTTTATATAGCAGCCTAAAACTTACTTAAAATAAAACGGTAATGAGTTACCCTAAACTTTTTACTTATATAACAGTAATGCTTTGATGAAATCGGGCTATAGAAAGGATAGGTAAGTTTGTTGCAAAACTGCTCGGTTTTTTTTTTTTTTTTTTTTTTTTTTTTTTTTTTGAGAACGCAGCGTCGAAATGTTCTTATAACATGCTATATGAGAGTATAAGATAAAATTATCAAACTCTATATAAAATCGAATATGAGATTTCTTCCACATATGGAAAGGATACTCAAGTCATAGGCTTTTGAGAAACTGAAAATAGAGAAACGCACTTCTTCGCTTTTTTTTTTTAGAAATCGCTTTAAAATAGAAAGAAACCTACCTATAGGATCTCATATTTATTTATAAAATACGTCCATCTAAATGAAAAAAAGTACTGAAGTTATCAATTTTTCATCAAACGGAAATAGATTAAAGCACCACTTCCGTTATCTGGAAATCGCTCAAACATTGATTGAAAACTACGTAATGGGTCTTATACGTGTATATAAAATTACGTCGTCCTAACTAAAACGATATCTTGTCCTGTTTTATTGGGTAATTGTCGTGTATTAGGGACTATTTTCTTTGGGTTTTCTTTGCCGGTTAAAACACGGAAGCAACATATTATCTATTTGAAGGGAGCATGACGTTTTCACGAAAGACATTTGGCGAATGGGACAAATGCCCAAATTGGACAAATGCCGCAATGGACACTTGCCCCAATGGGACCTGCAATATTTAGGAAGGTATTAGTTAATGGGATATTTTTAATCGTCTTATGTTTCATTAATTTCCATTACTATTATTATGACATCGACACAAAAATTTAATAAATGACACACCATGGATGATAACCACATTAATATGTAGTTTTTTTTTACTGTATGGCTCGGTAAAATAGCGTGTATGAATTTTATAATATTTGCACGATCATTTAGACGCAAATCCCACATTAGGAAAGTAGAATTCGTTATAAAATGCTAGATAAAATTGTGATAGTCCATACATTTTAGGGGCCCTGAGCTGCTGCCCCATCGTCCCACCCCCTAATCCGTCACTGCTTCAACGTGTTTTATTTCTAAATACATTTTGTTTTATGCAAAGTACAGATAAATGCGTTGAGCTGGATTGCTATAATTGAAATAACACAACCCCATCTCTCAACTTCAGGATCGGAAACATTTTTAAAAGTTTTATTTTTAGATCGAATGTCGACGAAGGCCATTGAACACAGCAAGATTTAAATGTTCTTCCCCTTGAATACCACGAGTTATTGCCGCTTGTTTTCTCTGAGGATTAGGCCGGAAGCGGGTTAATGGACGCTTATGTCTCGTGCGGCCGTCACGAGCAGTCACGTGATGGCGGTGGAGTGATTTGACTTTTGGTGGTCCCGTCCACCCCGGTGACGTCACAAGAAACCGCAACGGTGGATAATTGGAAACAAGAGAGGGTGAAATATAATTTTTTTTAATTCTACAAGTCTTTTGTTTTCTAAAGACCAAAATTGTGTCCTAAACTCAAAATTTGGTGAAGTTGATGTTCGATTTAGACAGAAATTGATTCGTGATAAGATCGATTTCCTTTTAGATTGAAAAGGAATTTAAATGCACCAATTCCAACAGCTTTAAAAAAAAATTTAAGTTTTGAATAAAAATAACACGATTAGCGTTTTTCTCGGACAGATCAAGTTTTTGTTCATATTTTCTATATAAGCTGTAGGCTATTTGCTCATATTATTATCTACTGAACATGTAGCTAGGTTTTACTCAAATGACTTCATATCAAAACACATAACAGCACAGTGAAGGATTTCATTTTAACTCGATGTGCGACTAATATCTAATTCTGATAAAATAAATTTTCAGCAAAAGAACATAAGCTTTTATTTTATGTCAACTCGGTTGCGGACAGGGGGTGAAGTGCAGACGGTCATTGTTACATATTGGACAGTACTTTAAAAACACAAACGCTCTAAACTGAAGACCTTAAATATCCATTAATTCTTTTTAATTTAAATTAAAAGGTATGTACAACAAGAAGCTCAACAACACAACGCAACTGTTCTGTTGTTTTTGTTGGTACTTGTAACGCCCTGATTTACTTGAGGCTTGGTGACCCCCCCCCCCCTGATTCACATGTGACCCCTTGCGTTGCTGGTAATCCCGACCTAGTGACGCAACTGTTGTTATTTAATGCTGACTGTTCTTCAATACTGCCTTTAAAAACATCGAGATAAAAAATCGACTGGTCTGGAAGTATTTTTTTCACAGAAAAAAAATATTTGAAAACTAGTTTTCTATTCTGTAATCACTATGATTAACATAAATGCTTGAGAAAACCTGAATAAAAATTGTCTTTAGGCTTGGTAAGCCTGTCGCTCCCCCCTAGAACTTAGGCCACTATCTAGGCGTCTCTGTCCTGTGCTAGTAGTGCCTTTATGTGAGCCACATTAGTTTTCGTTGAAGTTCTAAAATAAAGAACTGTTTCAAAGCTTTATTATCTTCTAAAAAATCAAAAGAAAACCACAATAGCAATGAAAATCACGCGATAAAGGATATTAATTACGAAACATGGATCATCAAAATACACAACAGCTCAAAGTAAACAACAATTTGGAAAAAGGAACGAAACAATCCTTTTAAAAAATTAGAAGATTTTTTTTTCAATGCAAGTTAATATCTGTGACAGAGTAAAGACATTGGGGGAAAAACAAATTCGTTTCAATTTAAAGCAATAACAAAATTATATGGATGAATTTTGAAATAAAATCAAGTTGCAGAATAAGAAATACATGGCTTAAAAGTTTCAATATAAGGGGTCGTTATGTGATTAGGGGTTCTGGACAATCAGGTGGGCATCCATAGATTGGCTATATATATGTATATGTGTATATATATATATATATATATATATATATATATATATATATATATATATATATATATATATATATATATATATATATATATATATATATATATATATATATATACTCGGTATCTCTCTTCTAATGTGAGTTTAGACAAAATGAAATATACAAGAAAGAAGATCAAAAAGGACAAGCAGATTATTTTGGAAAGTCTTACAAGTTTTTTAATTAGGGCCCTTCTGTCGCGTGATTTAATTAGTAGTGTATTTTTTTTTTATTTTCTACTTTTTAGTGCATTATTTCACAAAAGCTTGATATTAAAACGTTTTTTATGAATTATTTTTTCAGTACTTTAAATTTTTAAAACTTACAATAGAGTTGCATGACTAAAAATCATTGCGCACCTAATGAGCGAGATGACGCAAGTATATTATTGAGGATTAGTTGGGTAAGACTGCCTACTAATTTGGTTAAAATTTTAATTAAATCATTAAAAATTAATAAGGCAACCAATTAAGTCAAATTTAATGTCATGTTGCATTGTCTTCATGTCTTGACCCACGTACCAAAAGCGAACCGCATCTGTCAGAAAAGTGTCCATAATTTTGCTCGGGCGCTTTGATCTAGACCGACTGACGACAGACTGACGACTGACGACAGACTGACGAGGAAGTGAGTTAAATAAAAACTTGTAAAATTTTTTCATAAAAAAACGTTTTAATAACAAGCTTGTATGTAATAATGCACTAAAAAGGAGAAAATAAATTATACACTACTATTTAAATAACTATAAAGAAAAGCGGGGTTCACTTTAGTATAAATTGAATACCTTTACTAATATTTAGGAAGATATCGACGCTTTTCTTTATAGTTATTTAAATAGTAGAGTATAATTTATTTTTCTACTTTTAGCGCATTATTACATAAAAGATGGTTATTAAAACGTTTTTTATGGAACATTTTTTAGTACTTTACATGTTTTATGTACAATAAAGTACGTGACTAAAAACCATTGCGCACCTATTGAACGTGATTACGCCCTATTGAACGTGATGACGCGTATCTAATAGCACGGAATAGTTCGATGAGACAGCCTACTAATTTGGACAAAATATTAATTAATTCAGAAAAACTTAATCAGGCAACTAATTAAGTCAAATTTAATGTCATGTTGCATTGTCTTCATGTCTTGACCCACGTACCAACTGCGAACCGTATCTGACAGTTAGAAGTGCCATTAATTTCGCTTGGCTGTTTCGAGAGGAAGTGAGTTAAATAAAAGCTTGTAAAAACACATCTTTACAGTATTTGATCAGTTCGGCTCTCATATATTCATAAAGTTATTATAATGTTTGATTTTATAGGATTGTATTTTGATTCATCGATGTGAATGATTCCAGTAAAAATCCCTTTACCCGTCAACTAATTATCCAATTGGATGGCCAAATTCGTATCTTTAAATTCCATCTTAAAAAAACTGTAAAATGTATTATTGAACTGGATCAGTTAATACCAATAATAGTCGAGATACGATAAGAATTTTACGTCTAAATGCGGTAATCTGCAAATGAGCGATTGTGTGGATTTTGTATGTAGCTCGCACGCGATTCCGGCGAATAATTTCACGGCTGACGTCACCATCTACAGTTTTTTAATTTCCGAGTCTAATTTTAGCTTTTCTCGTGGTAGCCAATTCTTAGGAAATTAAATAACATGAGACTGCAGGATTGAATAAAAGGGCGACATCCCAGCAATAGTGCACTAAGAATATAGATGGTGGTTAATAATATTCTCCTATTGTGTTATATGGGTAAGAATGGAATAAATCATTTTTGTATTGTATTATATGGGTCAGAACGGGGTTAATTATTTTATTGTATTGTGGTATATATGCCAGAGCATGGTATAGAACACAAAAGGTGTGCTATTCAGATGAATAAGTCAACAAACCTGGCTCTCTTATTCTCCAGAGCCACAGCCGTGTTAATCAAGGTATTTCAGGGATGTTCTCTAAAATTATGTGTATCTCATAATATATTTACAACCACACCCTTTTTTACACCAAATTATTCATGGTCAGGGGGAGGGGGGGTGCTTTCTAGAGGCTATACCATATATTCGGTAGGGGAGACCGACCCACTCCACCCCCACCCCCCACACCCACCCCCAACTCAAGACCCGAAAATATGTTTATCGTTTACAGTTCGTCCAAAGTAAAAAATATGTAATTTTTATAGAAAATATATTTTTTAACGATTGCTTGCAGCCCCCCCCCCTGGAAATTTTAAGTGCGTCACCCCTTCCCCCACCCCCCCCCCCCCCTCGAAAGAATTTCGGTCATGGTCTCCATCTATATATTTACCTTTCCCGTGTATTTCCCAGTATTAACACTAAGTGTCATTTAAGACAATATACGCTCTAAAGTACTCAATTCAACAATAGAAATCAAACTGAAAATTGTGTTGCTTTCTCTGGCGTATATCTCACTCTCAGCCAAGCCGTCAAAATTGATAACCCACAAGACGACATACAACAAATGTACAAGTCAACTCATCATTCAAAATTAAACCACAAGATGACATTGAACACAATCATGTAGAAGTCAACTCATCATTCAACATTGATACACAAGACGACACACAACACATGTACAAGTCAACCCATCATTTAACATTAAACCACACGATGAATAACTTTTGATTGCTTGCAACAAGTTTATTAAAACATCATTTGTTATAACAATCTGTCTTGTGAGTGAGATTCATGTCAATAAATAACAAGTGTAGGGTCAACAGGGCTAGGTATTGAGGCCCTCGGCGGCTCTATGTCAGTCGTTGTGGCCCTCGGTTCATGTTACTTGTTGTGGCCCTCGGTTCATGTTACTTGTTGTGGCCCTCGGTTCTATGTTACTTGTTGTGACCTTTTGCTGTATATTTGTCATTGTGGCCCTCGGTCCTGTATTCTACAACCTTGCCCTCAGCCCTGGTATAAAATTAAACTGGATCTTAAAACATAATGTAATACTTGTAAAAACTGAGCAAGCGCCATTCTTACACGTATCTAGCCTTGTCTCATCCTAACACCAGCCAAGTAGTAAAACGTAACTATAACATCATAATAGTGAAAAACACAGGCATTCAAAGGTCAAAGTTTAGCTTTTCTTTTAACGTTTAATGAAACCATTAGTCATTGGTAAACTTTGGTCAGTCGTTAACTTTCAAAGATAACATTAGCGATTTGGTAAACTTTTAAATATAACATTAACCCTATACTGAAACTCTCATACTAAAATTACAAGTTAGTCTATTTATCCCGTTCCCATCCCACTAATATCCTGTCGTGCTTCATATCTTCGTCACTAGAACCAACTTCATTTTTTTATCGACGCTTTGTTTAAAGTCGCATGATAGTCCGGCTTTTAAAAATCTTGATTGATTCCAACGTTTAAATTCTTCATCAGATTTCCCATACAATATTAATGAACTTCGGGTAATCGAGTGTGGTGACTGGGTCTCAATTTGTCTTTGTTAATGTCAAAGTCCCTCCCCCGAGGGTGATTCGGTGAGGGTAATTTCTTTTGGTGAAGTCATAAAGATTATTTGTGTCAATATATTTGTGTGTGCGTTGTCTGTTTGTCTGTAGGGTGTTACATGTTTGTCTGTCTATAAAGTATTGCATGTAGCATTTGTCTGTATGTCTGCTTGTCTGTAGTGTGTTATATGTTTGTCTGCATGTTTGTCTTTCTGTAGTGTATTGCGTGTAGCATTTTTCTGTATGTCTGTCTGTTTGCCTGTCTGTAGTGTATTGCGTGTGTCGCCTCTCAGTCTGTATGTATGTCTGTCTGTATGTCTATCTGTCTGTACCATCTCGCGTGCGTCGTCTGTCTGATGTGTATTATATGTCATTGTTCTGTCAACAATTTAATGCAGCGGTTTCAAAATTGGAATACACGCCACCTAGGTGAGACTCGGACGTGTGCAGGGGTAGGCGCAGAAATTTAAATGTAACTGTACAATATATTTAAAAAAAAATTAGAACTATCCAGCTTTACCATTGTCTAAATTTTTTATTTTATTTTTAAATTGTTTAATAGCGGATTTAGGGGGTAGACCAAGATATATATTAGAATAGCATTAATTTTAAAGACTTTTAAAAAAAATAGATATTAATTGGATTGGAGTTTTGGGAGGTAGAGGTAGAGTAGACTTCATGCTCTTTTGGATGTTCAGTGTAGGGGGAGGGGAGGGGGGGGCGGTGATCAAAAGTTTTGAACTCTCTGGCATAAAATTACGTTAATGTTGTCTTTCTCTGCAGCTTATGTGTGTGTATTTAAATCTGTCTGTGTACTCTGTCAATATCAACATGTTTTTCTTGTCTGTATGTTTGTCTGTAGCATCCTATAATTTTTTTGTTTCTAAATATATGTTTTCAGTTTGTGTCGTTTGTCTGTTTGTCTCATCATATGTCCTCTTTTAGGTTTCTATCTGTAAGTTTTCTAACTTTCGCGTTCGTCGCTACGTCTGTCTGTAACATCACGTCTCCTCTATGAATATTCTACCTGAAAGTCTCTGTCCGTCTGTCGCGTCAGTGCTGATGTCATTCACAAGGGCTGGTGATCGGCAGGGCTGAAAGACTGGCAGTGCTGGCACTCAGGGGCAGGATGGACTCGGTCTCTCGGTCGTCCGCCTCGGGCTCGCAGATGGTGGGGTAGTTGTTGGCGGCCAGGAGTCGCTGATCCCACGTGCTCTGGTAGCCCATGATGAGACTGGTGTTGGTGACCAGCTGCTGCTCCTTGTACAGCCAGACCTGGAGGGGCGAAAACAACATGGGTGGGATAAAATGGTTGACTGTTGTACAGCTGTTGGAGGATATTTGTGCTTAGGGTGATCAGACACAATAAGGTACAATGGAGTCTAATGTGCTAACTTGAACGTATAGAGTTCGGATCCTGGGTTTGAGTATGCAGGACGACCCAGCACTAATATAAACCAGAAACTTGTTAGGGAAAGTAAAAGCTGCTGGGCATAATGCTGACCACACTATCCCTTCATAAGCCGAGGTCACTAAAACGAGTGTACTCTATTATATGATTTTAAAAAATGATAATGATAAAAATGATAATGTATTTATAGGAAAAATGCGAAACGGATATTCCGGCAACGGATCATTGCTCAAATGAAGTGTGCATGAGAATTTATTTTTTAAAAATTGATTCAAAGACGTTCGCAAACATCTTTCCAAGAGTTTCGAACAAATGAAACCATATCAGTATTACGAGTTTGTATTTGCAAATGTTTCTGGAAACTTTGGGGAAGACATGGCCTGTTTAAAAACAGTTAGAGCTTTAATTAAAATTTTAAGGCATACTAGACTACCCGTTATCTAGTTAGATAACTGTGGGTTTCGGGGGTCGTCCATAAATGCCATCACGTCTGCCACTTATCATCACAAAATAAACAGACCCCACATAAAAAGGCGTAAATTGAAAAAAAATATTAACTTTGAGATGATGTGTCTAGAACCCGTGCCACCCGTGTAGAAGCCCATCATAATATCACCTTAGCTATTTAGGCTAGTGACATCATGACACTTTTTGTGCTACAATTAAATAGTTTGACTCTATTTAAGAAACTTGATTTGTGCGAATAGTTCCTAGATTTATTATCTTTTAAATTAAATTCAATCTTAAATTAGCCAATTCCATAGCTAAACAAACAAAGATTTATATTAAAAAATGAAGGTCTCAAATAGTTTAGTATAGAAACTAATTAATATCTAGATCTAGAAAGAGTTATGTAGATTCTACGACTGGTTTGGTTAAGTCGAGTTTCTGCAGTAACTCTAGATCTAGATCTAGAACCTAGATCTAGATAGATAAATCACTTGTATATATAATAAATAATATAATAATGTATTCTGATTTTAAAAGGCTTTTTAATTTTAAATAAATAATTTTTGTTAGACCTAGATTCTAGATCTATAAATAACTCCCTTCGACAGCTGATATTTAGATTCTAGATCTAGATGTCTAGAGAAATTTATTGAATACTTAAATGAAAAGGACAGTTGAAAATTGATATAAGTGTTGGAACGTAATAAATATAGCAAACAGGCGTATCATTAAAGCTATATCCGACAGAAAATTAGCTCTATATTGCGTTATACATCTGTATAGAGGCAACAAAATCTTCGATGGAAGCCGCCATTGTTGATGTTAAAAATAAATAAATCATGTGACATCACTATTCACTCTAAGTAAAGTCATTGTTCTGAACTTTTATAATTTTTGTGGTTAATCTAACAATGAATAAATCAATAAATTAATTAACGTTTTAAAATAAATATGTGATTAACAGTCTGTCTGAAAATAAAAATCGTTCTCTACCTAATTACTATTTTACAGCTCTGCACATAATGCAGATTCTCTCCTTTAACCAAACGGACAAACAAACAAAAATTCAAACATGTAAACAAAGTTGAGTTTTAGAAGTATTTAGATAGATTATTCATTCACATAAAACTATATAGGTAGATCATAATCTACAATAAAAATTATTTTTAAAGACGTCATTAACATTTGAAAAACAAACCGTAAATAAGCGATTGGTCTGCGGGCGACATCCGGCCAAAGAATTAGATATCGTAATTTGTTTTTAAATTATTATTATTAGCCATTGTGAAAAACTATCCTACAAATGACACTAACAAACAGTGTTTATCAACCTGGATACTGACCATTAAAATGATGAGCACGAGAGTGACCAGCGCAGCAGAGATGTAGGCCAGCCCCGCCCAGATGTCCAGCGTGGCGGCGTAGATGTTGACAAACACGACAGAGCCCAGCAGCTTAGCCAGGGTCTCAGCGCTGGAGGCGAGGGCGAAAACCTTGCCCGTCTCGTCATCACACACGGCCTTGCTTAGTATAGACCTGGGGATAAATAGTTAAACACAGCCTTGATTAGTATGGACCTAGGGGGACCAAATAGTTAAACATAGCCTGGGTCAGTATGGCCAAAACTAAATAGTTAAACACAGTCTTTGTCAGTATGGACCTGGGGACCAAATAGTTAAACACAGCCTTTATAAGTATGGACATTGCGACCAAATAGTTAAACACAGCCTTGCTCAGTATGGACCTGGGGACTAATAGGGGACCAAATAGTTAAACACAGCCTTGGTCAGAATGAACATGGGAACCGAAAGCAGGTCATAAATTTCATATTAAATGTATGTTTTTTAAGACATAGCATTATCAGTAGAGATGGAATACGATTTGTTAAGGACAATAGAACAGCGTTTTTTTTTAAATGTTAAATTCTAATTTCAATTTAATACATAAAAATAAGAAATCGTTTTCTAACAAATAACAATTTTGATTTTTAATTAACAAGCCTTAGGACAGTTGACTAACCTTAACCCGGATGTGATGACCCCTGCGGCTGACCCCACGATGACCGACACGTAGACCATCCAGGTCTGGGTACAGAAGCCGGCCCAGACGGTCCTGACCAGCTTACAGCCCAGCCCCAGCAGGACGATGGCGATGTCGCTGACGTTGAGGAACGTGGACAGGACGGGCAGCAGGAGCAGGAGGCAGAGGCCCATCCCGGCGTAGTCCACGGAGAGGAGGTATCCGTAGCCGGACGGCTCCCACGAGAGAGGGGGTTTCTGGGAGGATAAAATATGGGCAGGTTGATTAAGGGGTTTCTGGGCAGGTAAAATATGGGCAGTTTGAATAGAGAAGGGGATTTCTGGAAGGATAAAACAGGCAAGTTGAATAGAGAAGAGGGTTTCTGAGCAGGTACAATATGGGCAGTTTAAATAGGGAAGGGGGTTTCTTGGAGGATAAAATAGGGGCAGGTTGATTAGAGAAGGGGGTTTCTGGGCAGGTAAAATATGGGCAGTTTGAAATGGGGAAAGGGGTTTCTGGGTAAGTAAAATATAGGTAGTTTAAATAGAGAAGGAGGTTTCTGGGCAGGTAAAATATGGACAGGTTGCATAGAGAAGGGGGTTTCTGTGCAAGTAAAATATGAGCCGGCAGATAGACATGGAAAACAAACTGAATAGAACGAAGGGGGGGGTATGTAGACAAAAACATGGACTGGTTTAATAAAGAGGTTTCTGGACAGGCTAAACAGAGGCTTACAGAAACTAGAAATAATGTTTTAGCCTTTTAAACTAAGTGTACACAATATTACAAAGTAAGAAATCATACAAGCAAATTCGATACATAATTAAAATACGTTCATGCAAGAAGGGAAGCTACGTGTCCGTATACAGTTATAACGTTGGTATTTTTCAATTTACAGTGTAGAAACGACAGGTACTCTGTCATGTTGAAAAGGTCAATTCTTTGTTGGCAATAGTGCGGTAGCAATCACAAACTATTACATGATAGCCTCTCTCTTACACACTCTCTCTCTCTCTCTCTCTCTCTCTCTCTCTCTCTCTCATTCTCTCCTGTATGCTTTCAAAACCTGCTCGGCCAACCATTTTCAGCCCGGCGTAAAGCAACAGTTGGTAGAATGGAGCATTAGGTTTTTTTCACAAATACTAAATCACCTGATTAGTATAAGGGTTATCTATCAACACAGGAGCAGCGCTCTTAACAAAATCGTTGCGAATTAAAATTTAATTAGCCTATATAGTGTTGGTCTAGTAACAGAGGCAACATATGGTCATTTATGATGTCATGATGCCACTTTAGAACTTGTACAAAAGGTGTCATGCTACTTGAAGTAGAGGACTCCGTTCTGAACTAAACAAGTTGTAACTTAGGCCCCTACTTTCAAAAGCCATCAATGTCATAGGGCCTCACTTTCACAGGGCACCCACTATAATTACATTTAATTTTTAGCGGATGTAAGTTTTAAAGAATTAATTAATATAAAAATCTACAAACGACTATAGGTTTTCACACAACTTATTTTGCTGCAGATTTCATGCCCCCCCCCCCTCCCAACCCTCCCCCCACCAAACCCACCGCTAAAGTACAAGGTACTCATGCGTTCTTTATCTCCGGCCACCTGTATATTCAAAAAGCTCAGTGACGTCATGTTTCGTGGACATGGTGACGTAACATTACCTGCACAAACAAAACAATGACGTCATGTTACCTGCACAAACAGCACCGTGACGTCCTGCTCGCCAACTTTACACGTCTGGTTGAGAAACATGGCCATGAAGGCGACTATAACAAGAGTTCTCTTCCCTTCTTCTCGTGGTTTGACGAGGGCCCGCACTGAGTCCTTCACGCTCTGGAGACTGTCAATAGAAAATTTCTTACAGGTTTGCCGGTCTCTTTGCCATAAACGCATATGAAGTTTTAGAAAGTATGGCAAATCGTGTGTATATTACGTATACTAAAGCCAATCTGTATTCATGATACAGGAATAGGGAATAGATTATATGTCCAGCTTTATGTACAGCCGTCTTTACTTTTCCCGTTTTAAAAACCTATTGAAGTTGTTGGAATCCCAAACTGTTTTTTTTTTACACAAAAAAAAAAAGTTTTTTTTTCATGAAGAACTGCAAACACTTGGATTTTATTTAGGACTTGTTCAGTAATTTAACACCGCTAGTGTCTGATAAGCTAGAAAGAAGAGCTAGAAATATGGTTAAACCCCTGGAGTTTGTTGGTAAGTTGAGAATATACCGGTGTTGTCGATCAAACAATCCGCGGGTCGGGTGTAGTTGAGATAATCTGTTTCTCAGACCTCGGCATTTGAAGAGAAAGTGTGGTCAGCGCTATGCTTAGCTAAAGCGCCATGCCCCGCCACATTGCCATGCCCTGCAGCTCTTACTTTCCCCAATGTAAACAAGGTACTCATCCAAGATGTTAAAACATGGTCGAATAATAACCTCCAGCCCGGGAATCGAACTCGAAATATTCGTTTACTACTCGCACGCTTAACCGCTCTACCACCGCGTCCCATTATCTTCTTGCGTCTATTTTTAGTAAGAGCTGTATAAAAGACGAAGAAGACGCTAAAGCGAGATTAGAGGCAATCGAGACAAGCTGAGATTGGGTGTTGATATGTGGCACTCCTTGTATGTAAATATGGAAGGTTTTTCTCATTGCATACAGATGAGATCATGACGGGCAAATTTTTGTTTATCTAGACGTGTTGGTGTAATCAAGACAGGAGACGACCAAAAGACTATCACTAGGGTTTCTTTCATGCATCTTTCGGAGGGGTGGGGGGGGGGGCAGTGTCTCGCGGAATTCGCCTATAGCCCGCCACAAACGCGAAATTAAAAAAAATTAATAAATTTTATAGGATTTATATAAGATCTACTTTAACAAGTGTCCGACCATTCTCTCATCCGGAAATCTTAAGTGCGCACTCCGGAAGTTTCAAGTAGCTCCACCCTCGGAGGAAAATAAATGTTTAAAAGAAACCCTGAGGATAACGCGACGAACTGACCTGAAGAGCGGCGGGTTCCGACTGTAGTGGCCGTCGAAGCCCTCCCCGCTGGGCATCTTGTCGTGCATGCTCTCCTCCATGCACAGAACGACCGTCAGCACCGAGGCCGCGTGGAACACGCTGACCACCACCAGGGTCGTCTGCAGGTTGGCGATGTCCTGCAGGGCTCCGGCCAACAGGGAACCTGACAGGGAACACAGGGGAAATGTATCAAGCCAACAGGGAACCTAACAGAGAACACGGGGGAATATATCAAGCAAACAGGGAACCTAACAGGGAACACAGGGGGAATATATCAAGCAAACAGGGAACCTAACAGGGAACACAGGGGAATATATCAAGCAAACGGGGAACCTAACAGGGAACACGGGGGAATATATCAAGCCAACAGGGAACCTAACAGAGAACACGGGGGAAATATATCAAGCCAACAGGGAACCTAACAGGGAACACAAGGGAATTATATCAAACCAACAGGGAACCTATCAGGGAACACGGGCCGACGGGATAAATATATCAAGCCAACAGGGAACCTAACATGGAACATGGGGAAAATATATCAAGCGCGAGAAAGGGAACCTAAACTAACAGGGAACATAGGAAAATATACCAAGCACTCCGGACAACAAGGAACCTAACAGGGAACACGGGGAAAATATATCAAGCGCGAGAAAGGGAACCTAAACTAACAGGGAACATAGGAAAATATACCAAGCACCCCGGCCAACAGGGAACCTAACAGGGAACACGGGGGAAATATATCAAGCCAACAGGGAACCTAACAGAGAACACGGGGGAAATATATCAAGCCAACAGGGAACCTAACAGGGAACACATGGAGAATATATCAAGTCAACAGGGAACCTAACATCGAACACAGGGGGAAATATATCAAGCCAACAGGGAACCTAACAGGGAACACATGGAGAATATATCAAGTCAACAGGGAACCTAACATCGAACACAGGGGAAATATATCAAGCCAACAGGGAACCTAACAGGGAACACAAGGGAATTAAATCAAACCAACAGGGAACCTATCAGGGAACACGGGCCGACGGGATAAATATATCAAGCCAGCAGGGAACCTAACAGGGAATAGAGGAAAAAAATATACCAAGCACCCCGGCCAACAGGGAACCTAACATGGAACATGGGGAAAATATATCAAGCCAGCAGGGAACCTAACAGGGAATAGAGGAAAAAAATATACCAAGCACCCCGGCCAACAGGGAACCTAACATGGAACATGGGGAAAATATATCAAGCGCGAGAAAGGGAACCTAAACTAACAGGGAATATAGGAAAATATACCAAGCACTCCGGACAACAAGGAACCTAACAGGGAACACGGGGAAAATGTATCAAGCACGCAGACAGGGAACCTAAACTAACAGGGAACATGGGACAAATAAATCAAGCACCCCGCAGACAAGGAACCTAACAGAGAACACAGGATTAAACAGAGAAAACAGAAACAGCATAACAGAACACATGAAAAAATCAGGGAAACTTAAAAAGGAACTCGGGAAAAAATATCTAAAGTGCTCTTCACAACAGGGATTCTATAAAACATTGGGGGAAAAACATCTAAAGTGATTCTGAAGCTCCATTCATAAACACAGCCTAAGAATAACACAGGTTACTGAGCTATAAGTAACCCCGGCTACTGACCTAAGAATGACCCCGGCTACTGACCTAAGAATGACCCTGGCTACTGACCTATGAATGACACTGGATACTGACCTATGAATGACCCTGGATACTGACCTATGAATGACCCCAGATACTGATCTAAGAATGACCCTGGCTACTGACCTAAAGATGACCCCAGCTACTGACCTAAGAATGACCTCGGCTACTGACCTAAGAATGACCCCAGTGACTGACCTAAGAATGACCCCGGCTACTGACCTATTAATGACCCCGGCTACTGACCTAAGAATGACCCCGGCTACTGACCTAAAGATTACCCCGGCTACTGACCTAAGAATGACCCCGGCTACTGACCTATTAATGACCCCGGCTACTGACCTATGAATGACCCCGGCTACTGGCCTAAGAATGACCCCGGCTACTGACCTAAAGATGGCCCGGCTAATGACCTAAAGATGACCCCGGCTACTGACCTATAAAGAGTCCGAAGAAATTCATGGCCAACAGCTTCCCCAGCTTCCTAGTCCGGTCCTCCTTAAAGGTCGTATCGCTGATGTAGCTGTTGACCGCCATTGTTATCACTGAACTTTTACCCAGAATTCCCTGTAGGAAGGATGTAAAGTCACGTGGTTGTGTAAGGTAGTGAGGGCGGAAATTGCGAACATAACCGGTCCGTTGGCCAGAATTAGGTTTAGTTTGACCTTTTTTGTGTCCACATAAATAAATATCTAAATAGTTTGTCAGGGAAAGTTTATTTTAAATAGCATATGTTGGTTATTCTCTTATTATATTTCACGAGGTTATGTCATATATATATATATATATATATATATATATATATATATATATATATATATATATATATATATATATATATATATATATATATATATATATATATATATATATATGTATATATATATATATATATATATATATATATATATATATATATATATATATATATATATATATATATATATATATATATATATATTTATATATATAGGCTACAGGACATTACCCCCTCTCGGAAATTACCCCCCGGACATCCCCCCCCTCTGGATCCCCCCCCCCCCCGGGGGCATTTACCCCCATGTCAATTACCCCCTGTCAATAACCCCCCCTGTCAATTACCCCCCCCCCCCCCCCGGGAATTACCCCCTCCCCCCTCAATTTAGAATACTAACTCCAACTAGAATTCTTTACCTAAATAATACTTTAATCCTAACTTTAAGTAAAAGTCCAAAACCTAAGCATCCGCCCTAGCCTAAAACTTAACACAAAACCAAAACCAACGCTAAACATTGGTTTAAGCCTAACCCTAACCCTAACCCTTGACCTAGCCCTAAACCTAGCCCTAACCCTAACACTTACTCTAACCCTGTCCTGGGCAGGGGGGGGGGGGGTAATTGACAGGGGGGGGGGGGGGGGGTAATTGACAGGAAGGAACAATGACAAGGGGTAATTACTCCGCGTGTGGGTAATGTCGGGGGAAATGTCCGGGGGTTAATTGACGGGGGGGGGAATATATATATATATATATATATATATATATATATATATATATATATATATATATATATATATATATATATATATATATATATATATATATATATATATATATATATATATCAGCTACTGACCTGAACCAGTGCTCCGACCATGATAATCATCAGAGTATGTTGTACCATGACAATGCCAATCATGTACAACAGCACGGCTAGAATGCTACCTAAACTTGGGATCATCATAGGCAGCTTTCTACCCGTGCGGTCACTCCACGCTCCACAGAACAGCCCTAGAAATACCGCAGGTACACTGACTAGTATACGGTAAATCATTAAAAATGTCGCAGATCTGAAACAACACAAAATTGAACAGACTTTTATGCCAGTACATTTTAAAATTGAAAATACCTATCAAGGCATTTTGCAGACTGGTTTTTTTTTATGTAGTGCTTTAAACTTGTTCCAGATTTGTCAATAAATCAAAAATGAAGGTTAATTATTTTCTATGATTCTACAAAATGGCAATTTTAGATACACCCATCAACGTTTAAAATGAAGATTTAAGATATATCAAATAGCCTTTAAAAAACAACTTGATTTTTTTTCTATAAACCTACAAAACGAGAATTTCATATGTATCGATGAACCTACAAAATGAAGGTTTAAAATGTGTCCATGAGCCTACGAAATGAAGTTTTGAGATTTGTTAATGAACTTACAAAATGAAGGTTTGAAATATGTCCCTGAACGTACAAAATGATGTTTTAAGATGTATACATGAACCAACAAAACGGCAGTCTTTTGTTCATAAACTTACAAAATGAATGTTGAAAATGTGTCCATGAACCTACAAAATGTAGGTTTGAGATTTGTCAATGAACCTACAAAATGAAGGTTTGAGATTTGTCAATGAACCTACAAAATGAAGGTTTGAGATTTGTCCATGAACCTACAAAATGAAGGTTTGAAATTTGTCTTTGAACCTACAAAATGAAGGTTTCAGATGTGTCTATGAACCTACAAAATGAAGGTTTGAGATTTGTCTATGAACCTACAAAATGAAGGTTTGAGATTTGTCCATGAATCTACAAAATGAAGGTTTGAGGTTTGTCCATGAGCCTACAAAATGAAGGTTTGAGATTTGTCCATGAACCTACAAAATGAAGGTTTGTCCATGAACCTACAAAATAAATGTTTGAGATTTGTTCATGAACCTAAAAAATGAAGGTTTGAGCTTTGTCCATGAACCCCCACGACGATGAGCTCAAGATTTCACCTGGCCTGTACAGGTGACTCCAGAAGTGGCAGCTCCTCCAGGTAATCGCAGGGGTCAAGCGAGCCGTTCATGAACATCTGCTGCCTGGGTGTCCAGTCGTTGCTCACGATGACCATGTCACGTGTCATGTCCTTGCAGACGGCGTTGATGACGAAGGGTCGAATGGCCGCGTCCAGCATCGCCTCCCCAGTCTTGTACAGGAAGAAAACTATCTCGGCCAAACAGCCGCTCAGAACACAGAATTTGGCCAACATTTTTGGCTTCTTTTCCTCTCCTCAAAAAATTATTTTTTGGCCAGTTTTAAACCGTTTTCATGTCATTTTGTAAAAATAAAAACGACTTCCTGTTAGGGAAAATAAATCAATTAAATCTTTACTAAAATAATTTTGTTGTTCTTGTTAAACCTCAGAATTTTTTTGTATTATTTAAAGCTGCTAATATTTTATTTATTTATTTATATATTATTATACATAAACTAACATATAAAAATATAGAATATGTATATATTATGCATTTATTATTTTTAAAGTGCAAGATTGTCAATACTGTGACAAACTCACAAAGTATTGAATGTGTTAAAGCTTAAAAAGCGAAGTAGGCCTACTAAGAAATTCAGTCGTCCGGATATCGAGAACAAACTTGCTAACCAAAAGACTCAACCAAGTGGCGCCGTACGGGGGTAGAGGCGTCGCAATGCGGGGACGGGGGGTGCGGACCGCACCGGGTGAAACAGTTTAGGGAGGGAAGGGTTACACCAAGACAAATACAATTCTAGATATGTAGAATAAATACGGTTTTTTTTTTGCCTGTTCAATAGATGGTTAATTAGAGTCAAAAAGTATTTTAAGTACATATTGGTGAGAGAAATGCACAGTTCTTCATCCTTGTGTTTAAGTTTGCCTGTCTGATGCCCAGAGGTAGCTGAGGGGTTTGAAAAAGGTGTGAGTGGTCCACTGCTGGAGAAGCTAAATTTTTACCGAAGAGTCGGGGACAGAAAAAAAATTTACAGCCGGACCGGCACTAAGCATCACATCCAACAGAGCACGTCAACAGCAAGGAGCAGAGTTTCTTTCAGGCCTCTCCCCCCCCCCCCCCCCCCGTAATGAAGTCTACCGTCGTCGTCCCCCCCCCCCCCTCCCCCTCACCACTCCGAACAAAACATAATCTATACAGAAAACATACTTTTACCATCGTCCGCAACCCTCCCCCAGAAAATTTAGACCGCACCCCCCCCCCCCCCATCCACGAAAAATTCAAGTGCTACCTCCCCCAGGTAAGCAAAAAGTGTGAAAGAAACACTGGCATATAGGAAGAGATTATAATAACTACAATTATGATATGATCGACACATTGTATCTGAAGACAAGGCTCAGAAAAACTGGGAAAAAAAGTTCTCTGGAATTCTGTGATGCCGACCACTGTATTATCAAGCTAATTTGAATAAATTTTAACTATCATTTATTCAAGATATCTTGACAATATATAACAACCCCTGAATCATGCTAATTTGATAAAATTAAGTAATTACTTAAATGTGATTTAATTAGTTGGTCAAGATATATTGACATATTTATAACAATCCCTGAATCCAATTAATTTGACTTAGTTATGACTACCCGCTGAACAAAGCTAATTTGACTTAATTTGTATGACATCTGAACTAGCTTTTTGACTTAAGTAATTAGTCTATTTAGATCAAGGTAATTTGACGTATTTATAACGATCCAAGAACCAAGCTAATTTTACCTAATTAAGACAACACTTTAAGTCAATGTACTTTAACTTAATTACATCGGCTGTATTCAAACCATCCAAGCTATTTCACATTACATGGAGTAGGCGGGATTCGAACCCACGCCCCACCATGGTAATTCAGCCACTCCATCCTCGTGCTGCTCGTATTCCAGCACTTTACCTGGAATAGGTGGGGGAGTTACAGCCCCTGCTCGGTAAAATGTGAACCCAATTCAACAAAACTCTGACACGATATCTCAATCAAGGGGAGCAATCAATCTAACATTACTTCCCCTTTCTAATCGATCAATTTATATCGATCTCTCATTTCTTTTCTCCCCAATTTCTTGACACAAAAAGGCGGTAAATTTTCCTTTTTAGTTATTATTTCTGAGTTACCTCCCTGAGGCTGTTATTTACGCATATATTTACAGGGTCATCGGAAACTTCGAGAATAAAATTCGCAATTACTTTTTACGTTTTAAAAATCTGGTTTCGAAAAATAAATAACTTAAGCCAAATTGTTTATTTGCCTAGCTAGTAACATTGTAACTAATTATTTTAAATAACAACAGTTGTTGTTTTTTTTAATTCATTATCCAAATTCTTTTTTAACTTTAAAAAAAACAGTGAAGAAATATGTTATTACCGACTATTGTTTTTGATTCGGTTTAATTAAACCTTAAAACAATAGAATAAAGTCCATATGCTGATATACAAGCATTTTATTTGTAGTGGAGCAGTGTTTCCTACAAATGTGCATGGCACTAGATATATGTAACGCGTAAAGGCGAAATGAGAGTGTTCATTAGTAACTAAACTTAATCCCTAAGCAAGATCATAATCGTAACGTTACACTACCCATCTATCTTGCTCTAGTATTATACTATCAACCCTATCCTTTTGGGTTAGAGTTATCGCGCATGTGTGTATGTGTAAATGCGTTACTGTTTGTGTGTATCATGCTCCTTTATTGTTAAGATATTTTTTAGTCCTATGTGTATGTGTAATTATTACATCACGTCATTGATAGTTTAATACTGGTACAATGTTCCTTATACAAGTGAATGGACACGCCCACTCGAGTACAAGTCCAGTGATTGGTTTATTCCGGTCAGTGTAATGTTCTAATTATTCCTCGCGTCAGTTAAGTCGATACCAAGGTCCATTTTAAGCCGACGCCAAGTCATGGTCTGTCAGTCATATTTGATTGAGCAGTCAGGTCTGACTTTGTCACATGTTTAAGTGCAAGTAGTTGAGAGTGATTTGGGAGTTTAAGTTAAGATATTTGGAGCTAATGTTAAAACCTTTGGGAGCTTAAGTTAATATATTTGGGAGCTTAAGTTAAGATAGTTGGGAGCTCAAGTTAAGACATTTAGGAGTTTAAGTTAAGATAATTGAGAGCTAAGTTAAGATATTTGGGAGCTTAAATTAAGACATTTGTGAGGTTGTGTTAAGATATTTGGGAGCTTAAGATATTTAGGAGCATAAGTTAAGTTATTTGGGAGCTTAAATTAAGATATTTGGGAGCGCCTACACCAAATCAGCTATTATTCCTTTCTAGCCCATTTAATCAAAGACCACGTGATAATTAACTCACTTGAAATCATTAAAGCTTTTGACGCAACAGGCTGCATATTTTCTTTTTCGCGTCGACCACAAATCTACTTGACCCGTTTACATTTAATTAATTAAATAATTGGGTACGAAAAGGTTAACTAAAGTTGTTTCTGTCGTCAACACACGCAAATAATAAACGAGATAGCTTCGTAATTCATTGCCAGAAGCATGGATTGTCAATTTCCCTGCTAGATTAATTTTACACTAAATTAATTTTTTTACCATCGCTTATCTCTTTCCTAGGGCGAGTAATGTTATGCACATATGTGCTATATAAGCGCGGATGTCACTGATTACTTAAAGATCGACCTTAATTCTTCACGTTAAGTGAATTGCTTTTTTTTTGTTCTTGAATCTTTAACTGCTATTCGCATAGACTTAATCAAATGTTCTGGAACAATTTGGAACAAATCGACAGATTCATTGGACTTGTTCACGCTTATATCGGACAGTTTATCAAAGAAACGTAAAGATTGCCTTATTCCAATTTCCTGTTTATTTTAGAGGTCTTCTTGTCGAAACTTTCATTTCCACCACCCCCACCCACTCACACAGTACACCCTCCCTGTACTCACAGTCCATTTAATTTGACGTCTGCTAGCTGTCTGCTAAAACTGACCCAGTAAATTCCATAGCTCGAACTCCTCTATATCAACAAATCTCAACACAGACTGGTTCAAGTGTTGGATTAAACTTCTCTTCCTTGTGTCAGTCTTTTTTTTACTCAACCAGCTAGGTTTCGAACCCACTCTGTGTTACACACCCTGGTAAAGTTCTCTTTCACACCTGACGGTCGATGGGGCAAGTGAAGTAGAGTACACCTGTGTCTTTGACCTCGGAATATGAAAAGCAGCCAATAGACAAGACCAAAAGATAAGAGCAGGGGTCTTATAACATTGTTTTATAACACAAAAGGTTTGGGGTGGTAGTATTACATTGTGGTTTGTTTCATGAGGGGAGGGGGACATTTGGCTTTGAAATCTCCCCACCTTATATATACATACATACACACACAATTCTACTCCTTTTTCGCTCGGTCCACCCCCCTCCCTCCCCCACCCCCTAATGCATTCCCTCAAAACGAGATTACATCGCCACCTAATAAAGATTCTACGAACCACATCACGTCTTCAATGAATACATTTGTAAGTGGATTGAATGTGGATAATATAATTGTGGATCCAATATGCACTGGATATTGGATACAGATAGGGTAAATTTACGCACATCCTGCTCATGTTACTGGCATTGAAGGGGATAACTTTAGCCAGGCTCTGCGGGGTATAAGACCATGGATTAGATAACTGTGTACACAAACTGGATCGGGTATCCAACACGGTCACACGACCGTTTGTCCCCACCGGTCCTTTGTCCCGCTAATGACAGACCCGTGTCCCAGCCTTCCCGGATCACGTGACTGGCTACTTTTGAATAGAAATGCCGATATAAAAAATGGCCGATTGATTTTAAAGTATATCCAAACGCGAGTCGACGGCATAGGAGTCCATTGTAAATTCAGCCCGTGCTGTAAATCCAGCGTTTGTTTTGATTAAGATTTTCAAGCTGTGTTCGAGAGTACGCCGATCTATTTTTATCCCTAATGGGAAAAACTTGTACATTGTTTTTATTGGTTTTCACCGTATCGAACTAGTTGTTTCCAATAGTTTAGACACCTTCTACAGTCTCCAATGTGTCACTTATCAATGATAGATCTAAATGTAGAACATGTATAGTTAATATCTAATTTTAGGACGGCTTCTGGTATAGTGTATCTACCATTACTGCACAGATCGTTATGTATCACTACTACAAAAGTAGTACATATTTTAATGAAGCATTGCTATATGCACAACCATTGCAGCGAGTCAGAGGCGTAGCGAGGGGGGGGCGAGGGGGGGGGGGACATATGTCCCCGGGCGCCGACCTTAGGGGGACCCAAAATGGGTTGGAAAAACAAATTGAAAGTTTGAGGGGGGGTAGAAAATTAAAAGTTCGAGGGGGGGGTGCAAATCGAAAGTTTGTCCCCGGGCGCCGGGAAGGGTCGCTACGCCTCTGCAGCGAGTAAAAAAAAACGATATTTATACGCGAATGTTGAAACTGAAAATTTCACCTGGTGAAAATGACAAACAAAAAAACCCGAAAAGGAACAAACTAGCAAACTTCTGACAAAATCATCAAAAAAAACGGTACGTTTTTCATGGTTGCAGCCTCTCGTTTTAAAAAAGCTCCTAAAGTAGAATTTAGTGTAACTATACTAAACTATGTAGTACTTAATCTGATTTGTAAATCACATTGAATTAATTGCATCTGTTAGTGTAATACTATTTTAACTCCACGACAGTTGTATATGAGTTAAGCTAATGTAATAGAGCTAATGTAATACATCGTGTAATAAGCTATTGTAAAAGAACTAGTGTAATACAAAATGTAACACGGCTAATGTAATACAAAATGTAACAGCTAATGTAATACCACTAATCTCGCTATTGGCGGGTTAAGAGCGAGACTAATACCAAAATGTCCCCAAACTTTCACCAAATATCCCCAAAATGTATTACAACTTATCACAAAATACAAATAGTGCTTGTGATTTAAGACTAGTAGAGCGGATGGGGTGGGGGGGGGAATATCCTGCCAGGTATTTTATTTAAGCTGAGCCTGTCTCTAAATGGATTAAAGGTTTTAAGTAAATAGTAAAGTACCCTATCAAACCTAACGGTACTTGGGGCAGGTGATGTAGAGCTTACCTTTTATAGTTGCTATTTGGGTCAGCACTATGAACAGCCGCTTTTACTTTCCCTAACGCAAGCCAGGTACTCATCAGAGCTTAGTAGACTCCGTGACATTTTACTGACATGGACTCGGTATTCGAACTCGAGACTTTCGTGTTAGCAGTCGCATGCTCTATGTCCGACCACACCGTGCACGTTAAAGTTGAGCCCGTCCCTAAAATGGATTACATGTTATAAAATAAAGTTATTATCACGGCGGACTGCACACAAAATAGATCACATGATCTGAAATACATTTTAGCTCTCGCTTTGTTAAGTTTCCAAGATGTCAATTAGAGCTAAAGATTGAAGAAACTAGAATTGTGAAAAGTTGCTATGTGAAAGTCGATAAACAAGAGACTCTCCTTGTAACATCAGAGATAGGTTTTTAAAAGTCTGTGGTTTCTCAATGGTTTTCGAACCCTAGTCCAAGGTAGGCTTTCACCACAGTATTGCGCACTACCAACCTACGCTTAGGTCTATCTGTCGAAAACTCAGTCGATGGTCATTTTTAACTACTCTCTCTCTCACAAGTGTCCGAATTAACTACCGTCTGGCACATTTTTTTGTTTACTCCCGCCTCAAAAAGTCGTTCAGATAATAATTTTAGCGCCTCACTTAAACATCAAAATGAGTCAAAAAAATTTAACTCCTCTCTCTCAAGCATTATTTTTTAACTCCCCTCTCAAGCATTATTTTTAACTCCCCTCTCAAGCATTATTTTTTAACTCCCCTCTCAAGCATTATTCTTTAACTCCCCTCTCAAGCATTATTCTTTAACTCCCCACTCAAGCATTATTCTTTAACTCCCCTCTCAAACACAATTTTCTAACTCCCCTCTCAAGCATAATTTTTTAACTCCCCTCTCAAACACAATTTTCTAACTCCCCTCTCAAGCATAATTTTTTAACTCCCCTCTCAAACACAATTTTCTAACTCCCCTCTCAAACACAATTTTCTAACTCCCCTCTCAAACATTATTTTTAACTCCCCTCTCAAACATTATTTCCTACCTCCTCACCCCTCAAGCCCCGACCCACAACCACCGCGTCACGACGGAACTCCTTGAATCCCCTGCCTGAAAAGGCTGGGCCCCGGGCGTAATTAACGGCTATTGACGACCCCACAGGAGACTGGGCATCTGGGGGTGCCAGAAAACGACGGCATCAATCAGCTCCGTTTTGTCGATATCTGGAAATATTGACGAACGGATTACCGCCATTGACCGATTCTATGGCAAGCGTTAAGCGGGAGGGCTGATGAATGGAAAAAAAGTAAACGTCGAAAACAACTACCTCCCCCACCCCCACCCCCACCCAACTCCCACCCGCTACTGCGTTTTTCTATTTACCTTGAATTAAATTTAATAGTTTAGTCTGTTGCGTCATCCCCTCCACGCCCCATCCCCCCCCCCCCTCCCTCTTACAGCACAACAATGAAGAAAACACAAAAAGTATCAACGAAGTTATCTGGTATTTGTAAAAGATAGGATAGAATTTGACATGAATGACTAAATGCGACATGAGACTTAGCTACTGTTTTAAGGTATCTAAACAAATTGAACAATAAAACAACTACAACAACGCGTTCACACTTGCAAAATGTATGCAATACAAATCCAGAACACAAAAAAAAACCGCAACAAGTTACTTTTAGCTGAAAATATTTTGCCTACGGAACAAGTAACCCTATATTTTAGCGTTCGGATCTACAATATTTAAGCAATGTCATTCAATGTTTACATTAAATGTGTATATATTTAATTTTTTCCAAAATAAAATCAGATTTCAAAAATCAAAAAATTTCAAATCTTTTCACACAGCTTTTACTTTACTTACGGTTTCGTATAATACTATTTCACAGCTTTTTTTTCCACATTTTCAAATAAATAAATGTACATTTTGTATAACTGTCCATGTAAGCCTAACGTAGAGATGTGACGATGGCAACGAGAGAAGCAGAGAGGTACTCTGATACTGTTAATAACAATTTCTAGCACATTGAAGTATTTTACTTGAATAATCCAAAACAGAACAATAGCACTTTAAAATCGCTTAAAACAACTCAACATGATGTCAACGTGTTTGCTAAATTTGAACATCTCTAAAAAGATGTGAACGATTTCAAACTTGTGCCAGTTTTAAAACATTTTTATCCTGATGAATAATTTAGAGAAGAAACATAATTTTTGTTTTGTTTCGGATTCTAGTCAATATTCCAATTTTTTTCAACCACATATTTTCATTTTGCCGACTTCAAATCCAACAACTATAGTGTTACTATAGGCTTGTTTTCAATACTTTTGAGAACTTAATATATATATGTAGGAGTGGCACTACTGAAGAACGTGAACGTGATCACTTAAGTAAATCAATAAATCGGTAATCGGGTGATTGGGGGGAGAGATTGATATTAGCTGCTTCATTAGCTATGGTATTAACGACCCTGTTGTTGACTTTGATTAAGTATACCTTGATTGAAAGATTAGAAAAAAGTATAATTAAATAATCCAATTAGATATCAAAACAGGTAACATCGCGTCAACTAATGTATCTTTGTGTATTACAAGATTAGCGGCGGAGATTAACAATTAGTGATTAAAGACAGATTTCATTTTGTAATCCTCACACAAACACCTACAGATGTAGAGTTAAACTTAAGCGTTAGCGCCCCACCCGTTTCTGTATTTATTCAACACACAGGTATCCCGCCCCTGGGCTATATCCCCTGGGTACAGTACTGAATAATCCAGCCCTAACCTCTGTCGACACTGAGCCACACATTAAAAACCCATCTCCCCCCCCCCCCCCCCCCGAAGCATCTTTGCCCCCACCATCCCCGCCCCCTGAACGAAATTGAATTTATATGAATATATATATATATATATATATAACTTTTACCAGTGTTCACCCACCCGGACCGGACAATTTTATCCGCCCCTCGAAAGTTTCAAGTCCCCCCTTCCCCCCCCCCCCCCCCCCCCCCCCCCAGGTGAAAAAGTCGGATAGAAACGCCGGTTATATATCGAAGTGGATTTACAGAATAAATTACATAACCAATGAAGAAAATATGAAATAACTATCAGTAAGCTCAACTAAAAAAACAAAAAACTCACTAAATTCATTTTTTTTTAAATTTTAGCAACTATTAGTATAGCGGTCATTTAACTATATCCTTTCATTCCTAACTGAATGACTATGTTTACTACTCTAAAAATCACCTGGATACAGGGTCAGTTTTCCAAAATCACATCGATCCAAACCCTAAACTAACTCCTGGGTAGCACACGAATATTAACATACCAAAATACTGCTACAGAACAAGGACAATTCTTCTAATAATGGTCTGGTATTGCTTTCCGTGGAGAAGCGAAACAAGAATGAACTTTTTTTTAAAGAAATACAAGTGAGATTAAATAAAGAACATGAAAGGTAGATTATTCAAGGTAATCTAGAGAGCAATGTTTAATCAATGTTGCCTTTGTTTATGGTTCTAGTACATTTTTACTATTCATGCGTGTCTCCTTACTTTGCCAATCCATACCCATAATCCAAAAATAATCTATATCGGGGGGGGGGGGGGAGGGGCGGGGAGAATCAATAGATCGTTATAATGAAAACCTACCTAATTAATTTATTGTTTTGCTTATGATAATAAATGCAATCATTGACACTGTGGTAAACCTTGTTTTTTATATTAAAAAATATCAATAAAACATCGTGCTCGCATTTTTAACATGTTGGATAATCCCACTACTGAGATAATCCTTTTCATGGACCATAGCATCACTCGCAATCCAGGTACAAATAAATAAAAAGAGGAGATTTTTTGCACTCCAAATCGGACCACTAAACGCATCCTTAATAAAATGACATTATTAACTCGTATCTTTTTTTTATAAATTTCTAAAAACAAAATGACACAATAAAGTGCACCAAATAATATAAGTTATCCTTCTTGAATTCGAAGTCCTCATCTAAATAATAAAATGCGAAAAATGTTTTGAAACTCGGCGAAAAAAATCTGTAGTCAGATAATTTTTTTCAGTATTGTTATCCAAATGTAGGTCCTCTGTCTCAAATTTAGCTAAGCGAATCCAAGAAAAATAATTGATTAGATATTGAATTTAATTAGATTATTAATTTGGCACTTCAAATAAACTATTTTTAAACTTTTCACAGTAAAAACATTTGCCTAAGTTTAAATTAACTACCGCCAATAATTCTAAAAACATGTAGGAGAAATGTTTTCACGAACACCTTTATCCCGCCTAGCTGTTGGTCGTCTGCCAGCGGTTGGACAGACGGGAGGCTGTTGGTCGTCTGGCGCGATTTGACGGACGGCTGAGATTTCAAGTTAAGCGGGGGCGACAAGATTGGCATCGTCTTGTGTCGCTGTACGGAGTTGACGTCATCGTTTTGGTGCTGTGGTGTGGATGGGAGAAATCTGGAACCGTCCGCTGTGTTGCGTGGTCAGTGTGGTGTGGTCATTGTGGTGTGGTGTGGTGTGGTTAGTGTGGTGTGGTCAGTGTGGCGTGGTGTGGTCAGTGTAGTGTGGTCAGTATGGTGTTGTTAGTGTGGTGGGGTGTGGTCAGTGGGGTGTGGTCAGTGTGGTGTGGTCAGTGTGGTGTGGTGTTGTCAGTGTGGTGTGGTCAGTGTGGTGTGGTCAGTGTGGTGTGGTCAGTGTGGTGTGGTCTCAGTAAGCGATATCCAAAAATCATAAAATGCAACGATTGATCAATCACGCGTTCACTTACATTGACCAGGTGCTCAACTGTCAAACATGATTCACACCTAACACACCTGTGACCTACTTAGGTCTGTTTGGCTTTATGTATATTCAATCTCCTGAGTTATGTATTTGTCCTTGGGAGAATTGTCAGTTCACTGGTACAACCCGGTCAACTGAACGCTGTCACATCATGTGATTGTAAGTTTAATCCCTGGCAGAACCTCAACCAATGGACTTGCGACCGTGAGGATCCTTGACTGACCCTCAACCAATAGTCGTAAGACTTTTGAGTTATTTCCCCTTACTCTGAGTTGTATTTAATCACGGGATGTTCATGTCCAGGGGCCGCCAGATTGACCTAGGGACCAGGAGAGGTGTGCCTGTGGTTAGGTACGCCATTTTGCAGTATTGTTATTCTGTGACATGATTTCACCTTTTGTATAAGGGATTATGTGACTAGTTGTAGTTTACTGAATTTGTGTTCTGGTGTATTATTACACCTTTTTGACTATCGGTGATAGTTTAATCTGTATAAGGATTTCTATTGTTATAGAGGCAAATTGTCTCTCCTTGGTCTTTTGAGGTGGTTATTATGAGGCCAGTTCAGTTGTGTGTAGTAATGATTTATCACAGCTGTGATGTATTGTGATTTTTCTCAAACTGTAAGTTGGAGTTGAGTTTATTTATATTACACTGAGAATCTGTATATTTTGATCTTACCTAGTGTCATTTTCTTGTACATAAATTAAAAAGGTATTCATAGTTTAAGGCGTGTGAGTCCCTCTGATTTGTCGTGTTTTACCCCTAGACTACATTAACGAGCTCACGGCAAGTTGTTGAGATTCCGTTACAACGTCTTCTATCGGTACCATACCAAACGAACCTGGGGCGTCCGCTTCCTCCGCGGCTGTCGGAGGTAGGACATAACAAGTGGGGGCCCGTCCGGGATTTTGATTTATGTGCAAGTTTGGCATTAGTTTGAGTTTGTGATTTAGAGTTTGGTCAGTAGTTCGAAGAAGTTGAACTAGTTATTGAGTAGTTGTTTTTGTTATCAGTTGAAGGTAAACATTGTTACTTGTTAGCTATGGAGGCTTTGTTGTTAAGTCCTACTGTGGAAGCAGTTGAGAACTTAAGTAGGAAAGATTTGATAACAGTTGTCAAAAAGTTAAACCTGGACTATATTGTTACTCAGACCTCTAGGGTGTTGAAGGACAAAGTTATTGTTTACTTCATTAATGAAGGCATGTTAGATGAGAGTCTTCTTTCTGAAGTTTTGGCACGGGAAGTGGAAATTGTTGATAGGGAGTTTGAGGCCAGACTAAAGTTAGAAAGAGAAATTCAGATGAAGAGGTTGGAATATGAGTTTGGTATTATTGACAGTAGTTCAAGGTCAGGAGGTCCTTCTCAGTTGTCTGTGGCCCAAACATTGGCCCAGTTTTGCAAATTAGTCCCTAAGTTCGATGAGTCAGATCTTGTCGTATTTTTTTATACATTTGAGAACATGGCTGAAAGTTGTCAATGGCCTAGTAACGTAGTCACGACGTTACTAAGCACTGTTTTAATTGGTAAGGCTGCCACCACATACCAGGCACTCTCTCGCGAAGTCCAGTCAGATTACAAAAAGGTCAAGGCTGCCATTCTGAAGGCTTACGAAATAACTCCAGAAGCCTACAGAATTAAGTTCAGAAAAATTAGGAAACAACAGAACCAAACCTATGTTGAGTTCCTTTTTGAAAAAGAAAAAGTCTTTTCAAGATGGCTCCATTCTGAGAATGTCGACGACTTCAACAAACTCAGAAGTCTGATACTAAGAGAAGATTTCCTCAACGCAGTACCTGAAGAGATCAGACTACACATCTTGGATAACCGAATAACAGACATCAAAAGGGCAGCAGAATCAGCTGATACATACGAGCTGGTACATAAGAAGTCACAGGGCTCTGGTACCAAATACAATCCGGTACTACCTCTCATCAGCAGCAATCCCCCTGTTGGCCAGTTGCTGAGATCTCGTCAATCAACACAGATACCCAGAGACACAGCCAGGCGACTGATCTGCCACTATTGTTCCAAGCCTGGGCACATCATCAAGAACTGTTTCCTGCGACAGCGAGATAACAGAGAGTATATACGAACATCTCGTAACGCTCTCCCCCATCAAGCAAGTCCAAAGGTGAACCTCGCCCGTCGTGATGACCCTACACCAGCGTGTCCACAGGGAGGTAACGGAGTGACCACCACTTCCGTCCAGTCATCTTATGACTATCCTCTTCACCAACCGGTTACATCAGCAGCAACCAATGGTGAAGAATCGAGAACTGTTGGCTTCAAGTCATTCATGACAGATGCTGTCATCAGCAACCCTGGAGATCCAGCATCATCGCGCAGCATCGTAGTCCTAAGAGACACTGGGGCTTCTCAGTCACTTTTGCTGAGAAACTCATTGAACATCGCTCCAGAAACCAACACCGGTGATGTCACCATCATTCAAGGAGTGGGAGCTGAACCAACAGTAGTTCCACTACATAAGTTCAACCTGAGACATCAGCTCATCCAAGGAGATGTCATCCTTGGGGTGATAGATTCCATACCTGTCCCAGGAGTACACTTGCTCCTAGGTAATGACTTAGCGGGAAGCAAAGTCCACCCCCAGGAAGTTCAGAACCCGTTCTCTACAGACCCCGACGGTGAAAATGAACTGTTCTTTTGGCCGAGAATGCACAACGATGACACCCGTTATTGCAGACATTGTAAGAACTGTCAGTTGGTTGGGAATTCCAGTCAAAATATTCCCCAGGCCGATGAAACAGATTCCGGTGCTACACGAAGCATTTAACAAGATTACCAAGGACTGCGTCATCTACTTCCCAGACCGGAGAAAGAAACAACTGGTTTATCATGTAAACTCACTAACTCTGTCTCCACAGCTAAGTTTATGTTACTTATAAGTATATCTAGTAAATTTGATGATGCTACTCTTAAATTGTTAAAGGCCCCAAAATTGTTAAATACTAAATTTTTGGCCCATTTAGAAGACCAACATGTACATTTATCTTCTAATGAGAATCAGACATTCTCACAGGTAGTTAAAACATTACCCTCCATGCTTAGAGCTGGCTGGTTATTATAAACTTTTTTGTAAAAAAACTTTTCAGCTGTAGCTGAACCACTTACGGCCTTATTGAAAAAGGATGTTGAGTTTGGATGGTCAACTAAATGTCATGAAGCTATTTTGACCATTAAGTCATTTTTATCTAATGCTCCTGTTATGGCTGCACCAGATTTCAGCAAGCCTTTTAAACTTGCCATTGATGCTAGCAATTTTGCCATTGGCTCAGTCTTTTTCCAGGAAGACAACCGAGGGATCGATCATCCAATAGCCTTTTTCTCTAGAAAGTTAAATGAGAATCAAAAGAATTATTCCACTATTGAAAAAGAAGCATTAGCTTTAGTCCTGTCCTTACAACATTTTGAAGTATATGTCACTTCTTCCATCAATCCAGTCATGGTATTTTCTGACCATGATCCTCTTAAGTTCACCACTAAGTTGGGACAGAATAACAACAGAATTTTAAGATGGTGTCTATTTTTCCAAAATTTTAATCTGGTTATTTCCCATATTAAAGGAACTGACAACATTGTAGCTGACTGTTTGTCAAGAATGTAAAACAGCTTTTGATGTTCACATTGATCTTGTGAAACTTTTTTGGTTAGTTATAACCATTTTGCAAATGTTATGGTTGATTAAACTGTAGCCTGGTGGCTGGAGTTCCAAGCTTTCAATCAGATCAGAATTGTACGGTTTTTTCCGAAACTGATTACTTGTTGAAAATGCCTGTTATTTTCAAATGAACCTTATTTAAAGGTGGTTTTGTATAATGTGCATTGAGTTGGTATAAAAATGTATCACATTATTCAGTTGATGTTGTAGTGGGACATTTAAATAAAGGAATTAAGTTGTAAGTTTCAAACATATTATATCCAGATGGATATGTTTGGTTTCCTTTGCATAAGGAACTTTGATGTATTATTACTTTGGGAAGGATTGTTTCCCTTTGGTAAATTGTAAAAAGGTGAATTGTTTCCCTTTAATTTTTAAGGATATTTTTTCCTGATATAGAAATTTTGTTAGTTACTATAATTGGACATTTTTTGTGTCAGATTTGTTCCATATAGTGATTGCCATTTTTGTGTAACAAAAATGCCTCTCTAAAAGGGAGGGGATGTGACCTACTTAGGTCTGTTTGGCTTTATGTATATTCAATCTCCTGAGTTATGTATTTGTCCTTGGGAGAATTGTCAGTTCACTGGTACAACCCGGTCAACTGAACGCTGTCACATCATGTGATTGTAAGTTTAATCCCTGGCAGAACCTCAACCAATGGACTTGCGACCGTGAGGATCCTTGACTGACCCTCAACCAATAGTCGTAAGACTTTTGAGTTATTTCCCCTTACTCTGAGTTGTATTTAATCACGGGATGTTCATGTCCAGGGGCCGCCAGATTGACCTAGGGACCAGGAGAGGTGTGCCTGTGGTTAGGTACGCCATTTTGCAGTATTGTTATTCTGTGACATGATTTCACCTTTTGTATAAGGGATTATGTGACTAGTTGTAGTTTACTGAATTTGTGTTCTGGTGTATTATTACACCTTTTTGACTATCGGTGATAGTTTAATCTGTATAAGGATTTCTATTGTTATAGAGGCAAATTGTCTCTCCTTGGTCTTTTGAGGTGGTTATTATGAGGCCAGTTCAGTTGTGTGTAGTAATGATTTATCACAGCTGTGATGTATTGTGATTTTTCTCAAACTGTAAGTTGGAGTTGAGTTTATTTATATTACACTGAGAATCTGTATATTTTGATCTTACCTAGTGTCATTTTCTTGTACATAAATTAAAAAGGTATTCATAGTTTAAGGCGTGTGAGTCGCTCTGATTTGTCGTGTTTTACCCCTAGACTACATTAACGAGCTCACGGCAAGTTGTTGAGATTCCGTTACAACGTCTTCTATCGGTACCATACCAAACGAACCTGGGGCGTCCGCTTCCTCCGCGGCTGTCGGAGGTAGGACATAACACACCAAACACACCAAACACACCAAACACACCAAACACACCAAACACACCAAACACACCAAACACACCAAACACACCAAACACACCAAACACACCAAACACACCAAACACACCAAACACACCAAACACACCAAACACACCAAACACACTGCACAATAGTACATTCTCTTACAGTTAATAGTAAAAATATAATAAACCAAGAGGTTATATCTACGACTATGAAACATATTGCACATGCATGGCAGTAAAGAGGGTATTATGTGAATAGAGGGTGCTTATTTCTTTTCTTTTGTTATTTGCAATAGTTAATATTTCTTGATGAAATTATTAATTTCCACACCAGATTGTTTTAGGTTTTTATATATATATTTTTTATAATTTTTTTTCCGCCTCAGACATGTAGTTTACAGTGTTAGTTTGCCTTGCATGTTCGCTTTAGTATTACACTTTTCATCATCGGCTTGTGAGGACTGATACAGATTTGCAATAGTAATACTTCTTTCTTACTTGTAGCCTACTTTTATTCATTTAAGATGGTTTACTTATACATAGATCTAATACAAAACGTCTAATTACAATTTTACTTATTTTTTTTTTTAAAAACCTGAAAATGTAAATGTGTAATAAAATTATGATGCAAGAGTGTTTTTTTTAAGCCTGGTGGGCTGAGGGGGGGGGGGGGGCTTTTAAGTAGAGCTGAAATAAGTTTGGGATTACAGAAAATTAAATTATACAAAGTTTAAACTAAATCTTTAAATTAATTTATTTTAAACATTCACAAGATTATGAACTTAAACTATTATTTTATTCCTCATAATTTTTATTTTTAAATTTTTTTTTTTTTTTTTTTTTTTTTTTTATTGAGCGTTTAAATTGTTTAATTTTTTTTTTTTTTTTTTTTTTATAATACTTTTATTTGCAATTAAAACAAGTACATCAACATCAAATTCTTTACATAATTTTGAACATCAAATGAAAACGAAAATTTTTGCAAATGTACAAAATAAATATTTACATGATGTCATGTATGTGATTATAAAAAATTGAAAGGGATAACAGTGAAAGGGGTGAAAGTCAAATGAAAGTGTCAGGACACCGGGTGGAAAGGTAATTGTTCAAAGAGGGGGGGGGGGGGTTGCGGTGGGTCAATGGGACAGTGAAGCATTTTCCATGTAGGGAAACAAAATATGTTGACCAGTTGAAAGAGTGTTTATTTATATACTGGTCGCCTTGAGTTTTCAAAAAGTTGCTGTGTGAAAGATGAGGGGAAGGAAGCAAGATTTAGAACTTTGAATGTGTAAATGCATAGATATTCGAAATAGATGTTGGGATGGGTGGTGGGGTCGTAAGAACGGTTAAAGGGGCTGTGGGGTTTTCATGTCTTAGGGTGAAGTGGACTGAGGGGGAGTGGGTATATAGGTCTATATATACTCTGTATACGAGAAAGTAAAATCTTTTTTTTTTTTTTTTTTTTTTTTTTTTTTTTTGTCCCTTTATTAAGGGGATCCAAAATTTTATAAAGTTTCATTTATACTCAAGAATTTTTTTTATAAGAAACATATATTCTAGCTGTTCTCTCAGTGCTGAACGTTAGTTATTCTGAAGTTTTTAATATCTTTAAAAATAAATATTACAGTATTTAAAGGTTATTGTTTTGTAATTAAGGGTTGGATGATAGATGTAAATAATATAAAATATAAAATATTACATTCTTTTAAAGTTATGCACCAACGTGTTAAACATTTAGGAAAAGACAATCCGCATTTTTCCAATCATTATTAAAATACAATGCAAAAATTATAAATAACAAAAATAAAGATTACCTTTCTTATTTGTTTTGAATACGTAAATGGGAAGTAACTGTTACCTACTTATACCTACTTATACTTTAGTACTTTATTTATTAATCTAAATATTTAAAAAAATGTTTTCCAAATAATCCATCTTAACGTGGTCAGTGTGGTGTGGTCAGTGTGGTGTAATCAGTGTGGTGTGGTTAGTGTGGTGTGGTCAGTGTGGTGTGGTCAGTGTGGTGTGGTCAGTGTGGTGTGGCTAGTGTGGTGTGGCCAGTGTGGTGTGGTCATTGTGGTGTGGCCAGTGTGGTGTGGTCAGTGTGGTGTGGTCAGTGTGGTGTGGTCAGTGTGGTGTGGCCAGTGTGGTGTGGCCAGTGTGGTGTGGTCAGTACGGTGTGGTGTGGTCAGTGTGGTGTGGTAGTGTGGTGTGGTCAGTGTGGTGTGGTCAGTGTTGTCAGCTTCACGTGTTAAATCATACAAGAACAATACAGACCCCCCCCTACACTCCAGCTAGTCTCGTGTGTTTGTCATTGCCCTAGGCCTGTATTTTAGTCTATGCAAATGCCTGGCTCATCACTGCTGTGTTGTATACCATCCAGTCACCTGGTGAAGTCTACATGTATATTGCCCTGGTCGAATATGTTGATTAGCTCAGTGGCGCTGTCAGATTGTACATTTTGACGTCCCTCCTTCAACAATGACAGGAAAATTATGCTACACTAGTATCAAACTCTCAAACTTCGACAATATTTTTTTTTAAAATTAATTCGCAGATACATTATTAAATTCAGTTTTAGTTTTGTTAAATTTTCTCAATGCCTGTCTTTTTAATTTAGCATCTAGATTGGGGAGGGGAGGATTTAACCATTCCCACTCGTTTAATACCCCCCCCCCCCTTTCCATTTACCTGTACTGGAGCCGCCTATGTATTTGATATCATTAGCATGAGCACGGTGAAGATTCACAACACAATCAAATTTTTTCTCCACGCGTCATAAGACGTGATTGATCACACAGTGTAGCAGCAACAACATCACAAGATGGCGTTTTGTTTTCCCTACCGGTACCTTGTGGTCGGGCTGGCGAGCCTCGGCTTCATGATCCTCGTGAGCATGCGCACTGCCTTCGTCCTCGTACTCACCCACACCAGCCGCGCCAACGTCTCGGAGGTCACCGGCTTCTTCCCGGGTTGTACCAGAACCAACGCCAGCAGCGGTTACATTAGCAGCTTCGACCTCAGCAGCAGCATGCAGTTTCATACGGTTTACTTCCTCGGAATGTTCATCAGCCTCGTGTTTTGTGGGTATTTCGCAAGCCGGTTTCCGGCACCGAGGATTATGGGTACCGGAACTTTTATTTCCAGCGTGTTGTTTATGATTCTTCCCGTGGTGTTCGAGAACAGCAAGTCTGGTGTCATGGTGATACGATTTCTGCAAGGGTTGATCGAAGGGTTGGGTCAGCCTGCTATAGCTGTGCTGATTACATCGTGGGCGCTGAAGCATGAACGGTCGTTGATGTTCTCTGTGGGGTTTCTGGGTTTATACCTCGGCCCGGCTGTGGGGAATGTTATCTCAGGTGTTCTGATGTGCTACGTCAGCTGGCATTCACCTATGTACGCCTGCGGGGTCATAGGGGTTATATGGGCGTTGGTGTGGTCGTTCGTGGCGTACCCGTTACCTCAAGAATGTCCTTTTCTTGGTAAAGATGAAGCGTTAAGATACATCAAAGAAGGGGAGATAATTTTCAAAGGATCGAAGGAAGTCGCTGAAACAACACCGTGGAAGGAGATTTTAACCTCAAAACCTGTTTGGGCAATCTGGGTGGCGAGTTTCTGTAAAAGTTTTGTTTTTTCTTGTATTTTAGCCGTGCATCCAATGTTCTTCAAGGAAGTTTTCGGTATTTTAGCCGCGGATATTGGATTAGTTATGTCCCTTGCGTACGTACTAAACAGTATTTTTATCTGTGTGTGCAGTTTCATCGCCGATCGTCTAATCGCGTCTAGGCTCTTCAGCGTGACGAGCATCAGAAAGTTCATGCAGTGCTTCGGTGTCGGCGCCGAGGCCGTGTTCTTCATCTGCATGATCTACTCCAAAACCTACGTCACTTCCGTCTTCTTCATGGCGTCTGCTTACGTCATCGGGGGCATGACCTTCGCGGGGTACAGCTGCAACATCGTCGACCTCTCCCCGCAGTTCTCCGGACCGGTGTCGGCCGTTGCTATCTCTGGAATAGTCGGCAGCGTCCTGAGTACGTTGTTCGCGTCGTTCCTCGCGGGAGAGCGGAACTCTGTGAGCTACTGGGCGCCGCTCTTCTGGGCGGAAGTGGGCGTGTCCGCAGCGACGGCTGTTTTCTACTTCCTGTTTGCCTCCGGGGAGAAACAGCCGTGGGGGAGTGGCGCGGATGATGAAACAGCGACGGATATCTGTATCTTCAAGCGGGATAGAGAGAGGAGGAGAGAGAAACAGTTGCTGCTAGATGCGAAAGTCATGTTGATCACATCGAGTAAAGAGGGGGACTTTGCTTCAGGACATTGGCTCATGTCCATTTAGTTTCGATTAGGACATTGACTTATATACATTTAGTTTCGAATAGGACATTAACTTATGTCCATTTAGTTTCCATGAGGACATTAACATATGTCCATTTAGTTTCCATGAGGTCATTGACTTATGTCCATTTAGTTTCCATTAGGACAATGGCCTACGTTTAACGACATTCCCTTTAGCCAGTATATCAACGACTGAAGAAAAATAATAATACAAGGGAAGTAAGAAGGAAAATGTCAATCCACGATTGGCTCGCACGGTTATGGTTTATGACTTGGATTATAAAAACCCGTTCGAGATAGAAAATATTTAACTCAAAATCTGGTGTTTTTAACCAACCCCTAACCCATATAGCTCCATATAAAGTAGAAACTCTTTCTTATCGTTTTATATATCATGTATAGAACATCTTTAAAGAACGTGCTATTCGGATCAACTGATTTTCCAAATGATAATTGGGAAAAACCCAAATTGATGATTCTGTAATGACAATAAAGTGTAATTATACGCACACACACACACACACACACAACCACAGACATTCACTCATTCACGCGATACTGTCCAAAAGCCATTCCACTGTTCATTTGGTTGTGTAAGGCGTTGAGTATTCTTATGGTGTTTTATAATGATTTTGTATTATTTGTTACTGTTTTATAATGATTTTGTATTATTTGTTACTGTTTTAGAATTAAATGTTGTATTTATTATCTATACAATGTGTTTTATTTTGTTTGTGTTTTAGATTGTCAAAAAAAAAACAAGTTTATTATATGAATTTGTTTTGAATCTTACGCGCACAAACAAAAAAGTATTTTTTTTTTGGATTTTGCCAATTTTTTATGAAAATCATCGAATGTAGCGGGTAGATGAGATTTTCACAAATCTCGACGTTTTACACCTCCATGAGTCGGAAAACATATTTTTGCAACTTTGTCCGTATGTCTGTGTGTATGTGTATATGTGTGTGTGTATGTCTGTGAGCACGATAAAGTGAGTACCGTTACAGCTAGGTTAATGAAATTTCCTAAGTATTATATCAAATTTGTAGTTCTGTATCAACTCTTCATTTTTAATTGAGATGCTTTACATAACAACAAAAAACGGGATAACAGCAGTAGCGTAGCGAGGGGGGGGGGGACATATGTCCCCGGGCGCCGACCTTAGGGGGCGCCAAAATGGGTTGGAAAGATAAATTGAAAGGTTGAGGGTGGTGTAAATCGAAAGTTTGAGGGGGGGGGGTGCAAATGGAAATCTCGAGGGGGGGTGCAAATCGAAAGTTTGAGGGGGTGCAAATCGAAATCTCGAAGGGGGGGTGCAAATCGAAAAGTTTGTCCCCGGGCGCCGGGAAGGGTCGCTACGCCTCTGGATAACAGTAAGGATACATTAAAAGTACAATCCCCCCTCCACTTTCTAATTTGTAAGCACCACTTGGTCATTTAATTTTTCAACAACAAATAAAGCCTGAGAGATTGTATGGGGCGGCATGGTCAAGCAGGGAGTTCACGACTTCTGATCCGAAGGTCACAAGGTCCATTCCAAGTCCCAGGAGTCTCAGAGTTAATTCGGGTCTAATTAGAACCACATGTCAAGTGGGGAAAAAACTAAAGAGGGTGGCTAGTGAACTAGCAGTGCATATGCCAGTTTCTCAGTAACAGGTGAATTCTACTTCACCTGCTCTATTGTCCTTTATATCATAGACTGTAACTTTATGTTTTACTTCATCAGCTTTTCCCATCCGTGCCCAAACACATGGGCAGATGAAGTAGAGTTCATCTGTTCCAGTGATTTTGGCACAGGAAGGGATAGTGTGGTCAACAGCCGTTTTATTTTCTCTAATGTGAGTTGGGTACCCATCATAGCTGGGTGAACTCTGTGACGTTTTACTGATTCTGCTTCACTTCGACCAATGAAATCAGTGGTTACAAAAAATGAAATGCGAGATTAAAGGAACGTTTTATTCTAAAACAATAAAAATGGATCTGGTTTTTAAAATGATGGCAGTTTAGCTTGAATGGGAAACGTGTTCTTAAGACATGGGGGTAAACAGTGAATAAATTGTGTTAGACTTTAAGGTAAACAGTAAACAAATTGTGTTAGACGTTATGGTAAACAGTAAACAAATTGTGTTAGACGTTATGGTAAACAGTAAACAAATTGTGTTAGACATTATGGTAAACAGTGAACAAATTGTGTTAGACTTTAAGGTAAACCATAAACAAATTGTGTTAGACGTTATGGTAAACAGTAAACAAATTGTGTTAGACTTTAAGGTAAACAGTAAACAAATTGTGTTAGACGTTATGGTAAACAGTAAACAAATTGTGTTAGACATTATGGTAAACAGTAAACAAATTGTGTTAGACTTTAAGGTAAAAAGGAAATAAATCGTGTTAGACGTTAAGGTAAACGGCAAACAAATTACGTAAACTACGGTAGGTAACCATCCAGAGAAAGTTACCCTTGCTTAAAGGTTATTTTATTTTTACCGTATCATTCACAGGATAAATATAGAGGCCTGTGTGAGTTTATGTTTACGTTTTGACAGCAAGTACCACCTACACAAATTATAACGTTTGAAATATTTCTTCAGACAATAATAGCACCCGGTTTCTGGTTATGGGGCAAGTAAATTATTAAACTTTACAATCAGGAAGTAAGTTGATTCGGTAAACTTTCTGTTCCCCAAGGGAATGCATAGAACCAAAAAGCCGCTCCCTTTTTTTACTTCCTCGTATATACGAAGTATAGAGAAAGTCTTGTAATCGTGCAAAAAAAAATAGTCGAGATTTGTGAGATTTTTACAAATCTCGACCTTTTACACCTCCCTGAGTCGGAAAAACATATTTTTGGAATTCTGTCCGTATGTCTGTGTGTATGTGTGTGTGTATGTGTGTCTGTGTGTCTGTAAACACGATAACTCGAGTACCGTCACAGCTAGGTTGATGAAATTTCATATATAAGTATTATATCGAAATCGTAGATCCGTGTCAACTTTTGAGCGATTTCCGATAACCGGAAGTGGTACTTTTTCTACTTTGAATTTTTCAAAAGTCTATAACTTGAGTACTATTTCAGATAGATAACTGAAATTTTACATGTAAGTAAAAGATCTAATCCTCTAACTTCTGTCAAATTTTGAGTAATTTCTGTTGACCGGAAGAAGTAATTTAAGCTATTTCCGATTTCTCAAAAAACGCATGTAAATTTCTAAAGTACTAATAATATTCCGCACTATTATGCACATTTGGTTTTGGCGTTCGCTTGGTGCGTAATTCTTTTTTCTACGAGATTCTATCCTATTTTTAAAGTTTAAGTAATTAAAAATCATGTCTATATTCCGAGTTGCCATCCCCTGTTGTTTCATATAAGAATATTCGAGAAAGTTTAGGAGAGATCACTCTCGGTTTATTCTCTATTGTGACACATCTTTATCCCCATTGACCATTCCTTCTATCCCATCCCATACTCCCTCCCTTATTCTTTAAGCTACGATCCAAGTCCTAACCTTACACTAGGCAGCAGCACGAACAATGTAAACTTCTCGACTGTGTTAGTTGCCCAAAATATGTCAGAACAGCGCGCTAATGCTAAAAATATCCGACTACCCAAACCTGTTTGTCCATGCAGTACACATTTATCGTGATCTTATTATTATATACCTGCTAGAGGTGTTATAACAGTGTGTATCGACATAGGTATGGTATTTTCAGAATGCTCTAGTTAGGGGTCTCCAAACTTTTCAGTCCGAGGGCCGCATTAACTATCAAATTTCAGTTCGGGGGCCAGTTTCTTCCATGCATGTCTTTGATTTTTTTCTGGGCAAAGTTCCTCAGCCATCACCAACAAACGGTTTTCCCGTGGACAAAAAGATCTCCACGGGCCGGATGAGAGGACATCGCGGGCCGCATCCGGCCCGCGGGCCGTAGTTTGGAGACCCCTGCTCTAGTTGGTAGATATTGGGTTTCGGTTAACTTTTTTTCCGGCAGGTGAAAGACTGGAGAGATTCAAAAATTAACACAAAAGTTGATCTAGGTCTATCTATATATATAATTCTCTTCTGGGAGCCGTTAGAAAACAAGCTGCAAGCGCCTCCTTGCAGTCCCCTCTCTTTCTCTCTATCATTATCACTACCACCCCCACCCCACCCCCACATTGTCTGGTGAGCTGTGGTCACGCTAAATGTTTACAAAGCTAAATGTTTACAAATCGTAGAGCCGTAGAGTCGGGTTTCTATTAGGGGCAGATAATTTAGTTCGATTTTAAACTTAGAGGTAACTAAGAAATAACTAAGAGGAGGCTGCTTTCACGGGGGGGGGGGGTGTAGGGTCGGGGTTAGGGGAAAGGGGGGGGGGGGTTTAGTGTTTTAAAGCAAGTATTTTCAGTGGCAGCATTGGTACTGTCGAATTCCCAAATTATGAATAACTGAAAAGTAGAAAATAAAACAACTAAATAGCGGCGTATGTTATGCCGCGGGTCGGCTCGTATTTTATAGTCTGAAAGTGTACTCGTGTATGCTAATAGACAATAATAACAACAGATTCAATTAAGCAGCAGTCTTGTTTTTAGCGCAATGGTTGCAAAAACAATTTTAGCGCTTTTAACATATTAAAAGTTTTAATAACTCAAATTATTTAAAATGTATTTTTCATTTAGTTAGTAGTAATCAAGTTTTACAAATTTAAAACATAAATTTTAATTAGGACGAACGAGAACTCCATACAATTATTTTTTTCATTTGTATACAGCCAATAAAATATTGTTTTATTAAAGTAAAACATCTAGTTGAAATATTGGATCGGTGTAAATAAATACAAATTATACGCCAAGGCAAAATTAGAAGTTACTATCCCTTAATACTTTTTATTTTGCCGTCACATAAGTTATGTACAAATCCGTAAAGCCAAGTAACTAAAGTAAAAGTTCCCTTTCGAAACTTGACGGTCAATGGGACAAGGGAAGTAGAGTTCACCTGTTTCGACATAGTGTGGTTAGCTATCTTTACTTTCACCAACGTGAGTTAGATATCCATTAGAGCTGGATGGACTCAGGGACGTTCTACAGGCTTAAACCATGATTCGAACACGAGATTTACGGGTTAGCAGTCGAGCTCTCTAATTGGTGCCCCATTTGTGTCGGCGCCCCAAATACCTTCCCTAAGCTACGCCTCTGACCGCTTCTCTTCATTCCTTCAATCCTTCCATATACTCCCGCCCTTACAGTTACGAAGATGTATAATACTGTGTCTAGCTGCACAAAACCCAAATATAAAAGAATCAGTTCACGGATGGCGTGGCCTTTCAAAGATCTAAAAATATCCGACTTTCCAAACCAGTCTGTCAATATGGGACACATTTATTACATGTTAGCCGTAAGGCTGTAAGGCTGTGTGTTTTCAGTTTTGTCTTCATTCTAGCTGGCAAAAGATTATACTGATCCAACAAGTAAGTCTTGATTTTATTCTAAAAGTATGCGTGTGTTAAGAAATCTGTCCTGACTTAAAAATAAACTGTATTTGGTTCCAGATGCGGCTTCTGCTGACGTTATGCCTGGCTTTCATGTGCCTGACACGTGAGATGGGTCAGGCATGCCCAACTACATTTACAACATCAGAATGTTATTTTAATGGGGCAGCAACCAAACAACCATCGTATTCTAACCCTAACCAGTTCTTTATTGTTGGTGGTCTTTTTGATGTACACAACAAAGGGGATGGCACTCAGCTATGTTCTGATCAGATCTCTAGTGCTGGAATACTTAACGTTCTGGTGAGATTTTGTTGTATAACATTAAAGGGGAAGAACTTCTGGTCCATAGAACTAATGTACATTTGTGATACTATGCTTTTGTGTGGCCTCTGCGGCAGATTTGAACAGAGAGACGTCCTACGAACTCAGACAGCGAAATTCAAGACTTTAGTTTCTAATTATCTTCTAGACTACATCGTATTTGGCTATACACATCACATTTCTAAGCCATGTTTTATTGGCATTTTGTTTAACTATTACACTTCTAGTGTTAGGCTGTTTGGAAAAAAAAACATTTAACTATATTATAATCACTACTTTTTAAAAGCTTTAGTTTTTGGTGTGTCCTGGTCTATTTCAGTGTGTCGCATATTTAATAGATCATTATTCATCCACTTTAACGTAGCATGCCGAATTAGCATATATGACTATCATCGATAATAAATGTTTCATTTGCCTTTATAGTACTTTCCTTGAAAACGTTTCAAAAATCATCTACGCCTACATTACGTTAGCTCAAAGACTTTTTATTTATTATTTTTGCATTTTTAAGTTAATGTAAACTTAATTTTGTAAAAGTTTATTTAAACAGACAGCTGGTCAGACAGACAGATATATTGACAGACAGAAGGACGGATGAATGGACGGACAAACAGACCGACGGACAGACAGACAGGCCGGAAATCCAAAGCCCTAACTCATTATTTACTCGACATTCTGCAAGTTCCTTGGTGGAGGCATTTCTTATGATGGTCTTGCCACAGCTAAATTTTTTTTTTAATCCTTCAGTCGAATCTTTCTTCGATAGCGATGACCAAATCCAAACTTCGCTATGTTATGCGTATTACAGAGCTCAGGTGTGACCCTCGCTAAAGACTGTTCTCTCTTTACCAACTCTCACAACACACATGGGAGAATGTGCATGTGTGGATCTCTCTCTCCCCCTTCACATTTCTCAGTGCTGGAGTTTCAACCCCAGCCACACAATTACACTTTTAACACTGCTTCCATTAACATCACGCTGTCCACACCTTCTTCTTTAACTCTTTGGGTAACAATTCTCCATTTCTTTGCTTCAATTCATTAATCTCTCACAATTACCAGTCAAAGTCTGCTTTGCGTGTACCTTAAACAGCTCTGTTAACCATACTTTCAATGTTGTTAGTGTAGACTTGACCAAATTGGAAGCAAACACGTATCATTTTGTATTCAGAGCAATGGTATTCAATTAGTTATTTGTTTAAAGAACTTTGTTTTTCAGTAACGTTCTTTTTAAAAAGTTATTTATTATATTTTTATTATTCCTGCGTTTAACGAAAGATTAGATGTACTTATTTATACACTGTTCGATAACACTTCTAACAATATCAACAGTTTTACAGAAATAAACATTTCTCAAAATTATTTATCTAGAAATTTAACTAATAGGACTATTCAAGTTTTTTTACGAATTCATCATCATTTTAAGTCATATGTCTTTAAATTTTCATAAATTATTTTTACAGGCTTTTTTCTGGGCTATTGATAGATATAGTGCCCAGATTATTGATACCAACCGTATCAGTGTTGGTGCTGTGGCGTTTGACAACTGTATGAGACCAGAGATGGTAGGTAGATTCCTAAAATGACCGGAAATGATACAATTCTTATATCATAATTTATCAATTACCGCTCCAACCGTTCACTAATTATCTAATACTAATTGTTATCAGAATGGCTGTTATAAATAGAAAAGGTGGAACCATAATGCTCTAGTTATTATACTGACGTTACCATTATTTTTTTTTTAATATTTATTTATTTATTTTTACAAATAAAAATTCATAAATTTGTGTTTATGATTCCTTTTATATATAGCTAGCTGCAAAGCCCGTTGCGTCACAGGGATTTTTTTTCTTGTTTGTGTAAGATTCCAAGTTGTCTAGGTCAAGTCCTAAGATAGAATTTTATTGTAATGACATTGAATGAAATCATTAACAAATATTTCATCCAAATTGAGAACCATTGATATTGTATGCTACAATTGAAAATCCATTGCTTTATCTCGTAGCTTATTTATGTCGGGTTCCTTTCAGACAGAAGAATTCTAATTCCACTTATTTACTAAGTTTAATAACACGTTGTTACATTAAAATTATTTCTGTGTTGGTATTTCTCTGTTTTTCAATTGATAGATCGTTCAAGTTGTAGTTCTATTATTACCATTGGACAGTTATTATCACCAGTTGTAACATTATACTGCATTCTAATATTACCGGGGTGTAAGACCCTTTAACTTGTAACCTTTAACCGTTAACATGTAAACCTAAGCATTTGGGGCCTACCGTACTATGCCACACAACCAAGCATGACATTTAATAAAGCGACTGTGACTTCAGGCATACTACTAATAATAATTAATATTATTAATATTATTCTTAAACTCTTCTTCTTCTTAATATTGACTTTTCTTGTTGTTTCCATAAAACTAACCTTGTCGGTGTTGTTGTTTTTTTAGGATGAATAATTTTTAAAGTATCCTAAGTTTGTCCTGAGATCATTTGTCTTATCATTTTGACAGGATAAAAAGTTGCTTTAAACCTAAATGGTGTCATCTGGTGCGGACCGCAACCCCCTAACTTCCCCGCTTTGTAAAACTACTATTATATATATATATATATATATATATATATATATATATATATATATTTATATATATATATATATATATATATATATATATATATATATATATATATATATATATATATATATATATATATATATATATATATATATATATATGTATATATGTATATATATATATATATATATATATATATATATATATATATATATATATATATATATATATGTCTGTTATTGAATTTCAGACATTAAAACACATCTTGAGCTATGCCCAGTGTGACATATTTATACAAAACTTACCTGCAAGCAATCTGGTGGCATTTGTGGGTCCTTACACTAATGAGGATGCTACAAGAGCTGGCAACATTGCTAGTGATCTGAAGATTACTCTTGTTAGTCCTACAGCTAATGCTCTGGGTGAGAATTGTACCGCTGGTTTAGTGTGGGATATCATATATGTTAATCTTTAATGCTTTGAATGCGATTGTTCATACCTGTATTTTATATTTTCGTAGATCAAAGTCTAACAAAGCAAAATACTTTACTGAGGTTGAGCCCATCATTTGTTTATGATCTGAAGGCAATAGTTGAATTTCTGAAACAAGTGAAGTCTGGATATGTCATCATCATCTATGCTGGTAGTGACAGCTTTTGGAAGGCAGCTTTTGATGAACTTAAGAATCAAATGGATCAAAGCATTTGTATCCAATACACTGCGGATTATAATTCTATCGCAGTAGGTACTAAAATACTACTGGTAATCATTGTAAAACATGTACTGATATTAAAAATTGACATACCATTAATACTGGACAAACCGGTTATTCTCTTCTTAGGCAGCCCATTAAGCTAATATTAGTGTACACTATGTGAATAAATAGGGTTGGGACTTCTATGAAATTTAAAAAATCTACTTTTGTTTTTGGTAGACTTATTGTAATTAGGTTTGCTGTTTTTTAAAAATTAGTCCACAATAGCAGAAAAATACAACAAAATGAAAACAACATGAAATAATATCAACCACAGTCTCACATTACATAACGATTACTCGTCAGGTTATGCACTATAAAAAAGAAAATGTGAATACAGGTGGTAATGAAGACAAAAATTAGTTTTAAGTCAGTGGTGGCAAAAAGCTTATTTATTAATTCAAGCGTCAAAATTTCTCTTTAAAATATGCTATTTGCTATTTTGTTGAAAAACAGGAAAAAAATGTATATGAATAAAGACACAAAACATAATGCTAAACGTATTTCACAAGACAAAATTTATAAATACTCAATACATGTTATAAGTGTTCAATAACAAAATTTGAAGAAGGTAGATTGTATGTTACATTTAGCTCGTTTAATTTATCTTTAAATACATTTTAAACCCCTTTCTATAAGGTAGGTTTTACCCTTAAATGCATGATTTTTTTTAAATTGTTGGAAAAAAAAAACCAGCAATTTTTTTGTTGTGTATATGCAGAATACAATGTAGAAAAAGGTCATTTTTTAATTTTAAATGAACTTTAATTAAATTATTAATTGTTGCATGTTTACAACGTTATGAAGTGAGATGATAGTTTTTAAAACAGTTATTGTTCTTATTACAACAAAGATATACATTGCACTTGTCGCATACTGTTTGAGCATGATGTGTATTTGCACCGTCATTGCATTATGCCACGAGACTTAGTGTCCACACTGGTCCAGGAGATTCATGGTACACACTGGTCCAGGAGATCCAGGGTCCACACTGGTCCTGGAGATCTAGGGTCCATATTATATTACAACTTAAGTAGTCAGAAATATATTTTTTTTTTTAAATTCCAAAACAAGTTTATTCGACTTTGATGAACTTTGAAACGCCAAACAAAAATGTTGAGATAGAAAACACTGTGACCATGCACACATTTGAGATCGGCTTGGCGGTAAAACAAATCTTGTTCGCTTAGACATGCGCAAGCTGTAGGTTAACATTGTAGCAGTCAAAAAACGCGATGCACAGAATCAAACATGTTTAGGCTAATATTTTATGGGAAGATAACTAGGATGTTGCAGATCTGTATCTGTATGCATTTAAGGGCTAAGCCCAAAATGTATTTCCGTTATTTAAAACAATAGACCTTTAATTGGGTAAATGATTGGCAAAAATGGGTGTTAAGATCTAAATGAACATCAACTATATGTAAATGTTGGCATTCTGTTGTAATGTCTGAATAAATGATAATATAAGTATAATAATAAAATAATAATAAGCAAACTTTTATTTCTATTGTTTGTACAATAAGATGATAGTATTAATTATATTTTTAAACTACCTACATTTCTTTAACAGATGAACGATTTATTGTCTGCACTGAGTCTGCGAAAGAAAGCAAAATATATTGTCCCATTGATGTCAAAATCTGACTTTGGTGATCTATTGGAAGCCATGAATACCAGTAATCTTACTAACCTCGAAAGCTTTAATTATATAATAACATCTGGTATAGGAAAAGACAAGTGAGTAAATAATCTAGTCTAGGGCGAAAACTCTAGCTTTGTTAGGAGTTATTGTTCAGTCTTTAGTATTCAAAACAAACAGTTCTTGCATTGTATCTAGAAAGATCCAATCTTCGTGCTGGACCTTTTTAGAAAACACTTTAGCATCTTGTAGTAAATATATATTTTAACTTGTTTTCCTAGTTTTCTTTGATGTTCCCGTTTTAATGCTTGTAATATTTAAATATTTTTGGAGATGGGTAGTTTCATTATGTTCACTTAGAAATTGTCTATGAAAAGGATATTATCTTTTCTGTTATAAAACTCATCTTTGCTATCGTCACTCTTGTCATTTGTTGGGGAATATGTCTGTATTTTGTCCATATTTGGTTGTATTTGTCTGATATGTCTGAGTGAAGTCGTGATGATCTTTATGATCCAATAAGTACATTTTGAGATTGTTTTAACAATTTGAATTCCACACCTTGCGATGAAGTGCCTCTTCCACCTGGTTTAAAAACTAACCGTTGTCTCAAAAAGTACCTAAATGTATTATTGTCCTGATTCAGTCCATCGTATTTTTGTGCCATTATTGTAGTAAATTTATTATATTATTATTCATATAACTATTGAATTGTGTGTTTCTTAAATGATTTTTTTTCTTTTCAGTAAATTTCTTAGTTCTTTTGGAATCTTAACCACTGGCTCAATTGTAATTGATCACGAAGAATCATCTACTGACTGGACTAGTTTTACTTCGTATTTAACAAGTGTGCAAAACAATAGTACGCTTGTTAAGTACGTTCCATCTAGGTGGTTGACATCAATAAGTTCTATGTAAGATTTTTAATTAATGTTTGCAGGAGAATTCGTTAAATGATAAATAAAAGTTACTTCCCTGGGTGAGCTATACTGAATTGTAATTTAATGCTCCATAGGTTAAAAGAGGCAAACTAAATTATCCGCTAGGTACGGATGTCTTACACTATAGACAAAGACCAACTTATGAGTAGGAATGATATTAAATTTACTGCTGTGAAAAATATTTTGCAGCCTTTATGAAACACTCTTCTAAAACAATTATGTTTTTAATTTTTCCTTTAGTTGCTTGTAATGTATTTTACATCCTTATACTTTAACTCTAAATTATATTTCGTAGGGCCTATATGTTTGTTCAATTTTATTATACCCAGGTTTACATTTGTATTCATTTCCTTAACTTTACTTTTAAATCAAAGGTATATTTTTCATAATTTTGAGTACGCTTTTTATTTATTTCTTTGAGCTCTGTTTGACAGCTCTTCTATCAGCAGGTTTATTCATACTGAATATATTTCATTGCAAAGTTAGTTAACGAATGCTGTTGTATACTGCTAAAACTCGATTATTCCTACATTTCATACATTATATGTTAATCTTTTAGGATCAATTTTATAGTATGATTATTTTGGCATCGGGTGCGTTGACTCTGTCCTGCTTACACTCTTTAAATCATGACAACTTATACATTATTCTTTCTTTATTTCATAGTAATTCTTGTCTCTTCTAAGTCAATAACTTTACTAAAGAGTACAGATGACAATATTTGGATTTTTACTTTCTTGTATATACGAAGTATAGAGAAAGTCTTGTAATCGTGCAAAAAAAAAACCCAAGATTGTTGCAAATCTCGACGTTTTAGGGGTCCCTGAGTCCGTATGTTTGTGTGTATGAGTGTCTGTGTGTGTGTGTGTGTGTGTGTAAACACGATAACTTGAGTACCGTTACAGCTAAGTTGATGAAATTTTATATATAAGTATTATATCAAAATCGTAGATCCGTTTCAACTTTTGAGCGATTTCCGATAACCAGAAGTGGAACTTTTTCTACTTTGAATTTTTCAAAAGCCTATAACTTGAGTACTTGAGTAACTTGAGTATTTCCGTTTTCTAAAAAACCGCATGTGAATGTTTTAAGTACTAATAATATCCCGCACTATTATGTACATTCACTTGGTGTGCAATTCTTTTTTTTTTACGAGATTATATTCCATTATAAAAAGTTTAAGTAATTAATAATGGATTTAAAATATTGTCTATGTCCCGAGTTGCCATCCCCCGTAGTATTATATTAGAATATTCGAGAAATTTTAGGGGACATCACTCCCGGTTTATTTTTTCATGTTAAGATCGTACTTGTACATAGATTTTTATTTATTACAGCTTAATACACGGGTTCCCAAACTGGGGGTCGCGAAGGGCTTTCTAGGGGGTCGACAACTGGTATACTAAACCTTAGTAATGAGAAACAAAACATACATATTTGGAAGAATATCTAAAATTCGGCTTTACTAACATCACTGGAAATGGAATAGAGAAGAAGCAATGCGTACTGTACAAAGTTGTTCTCAGTCAGGGGTTTATGAAATCTTCAAAACTAAATTGTCATTTGAGACGAGTCATTCGGAACACACTAAAAAAGATCTGGAGTTCTTTCGTCGGCATGAAGCTAGTTGCAAACGTCAGAGACTTGATCGAACAGGAAGTTTTCACCAAGAAAGCACAGCATTAGTGCAAGCATCAAATGAAGTCGCGATAGAAAATGCCAAGAAAAAAACAACACAATAGGAGGAAAATCTCATCAAACGCTGCATGTTGAAGATGGTGAAGTTAATTCTTGGGAATTCCAGTGCAGTAAAGATGCAACAAATATCTCTACCTGATAATACTATCCAGCGGCTTATAGCAGACATTTCCGTAAATGTTAAATAAAACATTTTTATTAAAGTCAAGCTTTGTTTATTGTTTGCCTTTTAAGATATTAAATCAACAGACGTGAGTTCTTGTTCGCAGTTGCTAGTCTTTGTCTATATTCATTCAGTTGATAGCAAAGAAGAGTTGCTATTTTGTGAAGATAGCGTGGAGAAAATAAATGACAATTTTTGAAACTGGATTATTAAAATGGGTTAAAACGGCTATGGGGGTTTGTATGGATGGTGCGCCATCTATGTTTAGGTCAAAATCGGGCTTTCAGAAAACAGAAAAGATGTAGCTCACCAAACACTGCTCGTAAATTATATTATATCCGGAGCCTTCAAATAACTGAGCCAAAACATTAATATAGATCACGAGGTTCTGCTTTTCTACACTACAGTACGCTGGCTGTCAAACGAATTGATGTGAATCGTGTTTTTGAATTGAAATCTGAAATCAATTTGTTCTTGGAGGTACAAAGGAAACAAAACCTTTTGGTATACTTAAAATTTAAAACGACATAGAATGGTTGGAGAGAGTATCATACCTAGCAGATGTATTCAACATAAGCTTAACCTGAAGCTTCAGGGAAAATGAACGAATATTATCACTTTCCATGATAATATCGGGGCATTTTATCAAAGCTGCTAAATCGGCGAAGAAAATAAATCTTAGAAATTTGTAAATTTGAGAAACTCTGAAGTGTGGTAGATGAATCTGATTGTGAGATAATTAAAATTTTGAAAGAAGCGATTTCTTGAATCTCTTGAAAACGAACTGCAGCGCTATTTCACTTAGCTGAAAAAAAAGAAGAATCTGCATTCATGCATTACCCATTCTCTTCTTCCCTTGATGTTGCCCGGTGAATTACAAGATGAATTCTTTGATTTGCAGAATGATTTCGCGTAAAATGAAAAACTGCACACACAATTTTTGTGTAGTATTCACCATTCATACCCAAACGTGAAATTGATTGACTTTTCGAGAATAGATTTTCAACATTATTCTCCGATTAAAAACAAAATTAAGAAATAAATTGAACGTTGATAACGGCATAGGTTGGAGTTAACAAAATAATTAAACGCGAATGTTTAGTAAATAGCATGCAATCTTACTCATGGTATTAAAACAGTTATCAAGAGTAGTTCATATTGAAAGTCTACTAGAAAATCTTATTGAAGTGCTATTAATTTCCATACTAAGTTCGGCTTTTTAATTCTATTGGGGTCGCGGGTCACTTATTTTTTATAAAAGGGGGTCGCCACTCGAAAAAGTTTGGGAACCACTGGCTTAATATATATTTAGTTTTATAAAACATATCTTATCTGTGGTTTTTTACACAGATGCCAGAAACATTTACTACACCTAGCCATTTGTAACATTGAAATTCATTTCTCATTCAAACACATCAATACTACGTGTTTTTTTTTATCAAGGCTACCATCAGACTGGCTTAACGCGACGTCATATTTGAAGCACAGTTTAATAAATACATTAAAGAGTGTTCTGGGTATTATTCAGGTTAGTCAAATCATTCATTTCTGATATGTTTGTAAAGGTATTTCATGAGCCTCGTGCAGCTATAATTTAACACCTATTGAGTTTCTATGAAAAAAATTAAGGGGATCCTAAAATAAGGTCTGTATTTTTAAAAAAAAAGGTTTATAGCATATTACAGAGGAGTTAAAGTATTATTAGTATAAAAAGTTTACGAAACTCAGAAAATTATTACAGAGATAAGTTGATTTTTTTTTTAAATATAGATCACTTTTCCAAATAGGTATGCACTTGTCATAGAATTAACTTCGTGCATGTATTCAACATGTTCTGAAAATATACTGACTGATTATTATTCCATTTACGTGACGGTTTAACAAACTTCAAAAAGTGTCAAGAATTTTTATTTTGAAATAAATGATAAACTTTTTGCCTTTAAATATTTAAAAGAAAATAATATCTGCTGGCTTTATTATTTTTTATACAGGGCGTTGATACTTTGATGAGAACTGGATGTGCTTCGCGGACTAATTATCAATTTTGCGACTCATTCAGAAATCAAGCAAATTCTAGGGAAGAAATTATTTACACGGAAATCAAATCAGTAACAATTGATAAATTGGAAAAACAGTACTCTTATAGCATTTTCTTACCTGAAACTGAAAGTTTTCTAGAAGTAAGTTTTTACATGATTTGGAGTTTATTTTTATTTTTTTTGAGTTATTTATTTCATTCCAACTATAATGTTTAGAAAATAGAAAACTAAATTGTAACTGCATATTTGCATTATTATCAATTTATGTGTCAACACTATTTACCTTGTGTATCCAGTACTTTGGAACTTAAAATAGATTTGCTGTACATTCGGGTGAACAACACAAAAAATAATAACATCGAGACTTTAATGACCGTATTGTTTCTTTAAAGCGCCGATTGTTTGGATGGTCACTTGTTTAAGACTATTTTTAAACGAGGAAAATTTACTTTCCTGTTCGATAAACGCGGTTGTCACATTAGAAGTGCTGAGTACTTAGATAAACTTAACAAACATCAAGCGCAATCTCTGAAGAAAGAGTGTAAGAAGTTTCATCTCATTCGCAGTTAAGAATCCACTTCTTTGCTAGTGTAGTCTACTGACATTACAATGGTACAATGGAACGTACCTTTTGCTTTTATATGTCCTCCAAAACCAAATACACTATACAATTGACGGTGGTATTTGCTACAGATAACGCACAACACAATAAAAAACGAGAGCTTGGGAAGGAAGAGTCATTTCTAGTAGAGCTTATGACGCGGGGCAGTGAAAGCCTTCGTGAACCTAGCGTGCTGACAGATTTTCTGACGAACACCGGAATAGGGACTTGGAACATCCGAACCGCATAGAAACATCAATTGTCGGTGAAGCAGAAGCAGTCGAAATGACGTGGGCCCAACTTGGAGAAATCGCCTAAAACCGAGAACGATGGTGTGGTTGTGTCCCTATGCTTCACGCGGGTTCCATATGAAAGATGGTTATTGGTGAAAGGGTATGATGGGTGGTAATGAACGCGAAGTGAGTAGGGGTAGTGATCGACAGTAGTGCCTACATACTGTCCTAGAGTCGTTTCAACGTGCTTGATGGCCTCACTTAATATTTCTAATTGTTCTACTTTTTTTCTTAACTCAGTTGGAAATTGTTTGCATTTTATCATAGATCTGCCAAAAGTTATTAGCCTTTATACAGGTAGTGACATGATTATTCTATATACATATTTTTGTCATAAATTCCTAGGCTAGAGTTGCTGTCATTATGAATTTTTTTCTCACCATGTAGATTGGAAGTGCAATAGTCGTCAGCAGCTCAGGCAGTTTGTCAACCAAATTTTATATCAACGTGATGGATGTAAACCGGTTTGGTTATAAATTTAGTGTGCCAGTTTGCCCCATACCCGGGGAGTGCTGTGAACCTCCTACCACACAACAACCAGTTATCACAACTTCTGGTTCACAGTCAGATGTGTAGGTTGATTTTTACATTCACGCTGTATTGCGAGAACTGATTGACTAATTATGTTAAGACAAATTATATAGGCCGATTTTCACACTAACAAGGAAATCGTAAATACTTTTTTAATGTAAAATTTCCATACCATGACAGTGTAATCTTATATATTACGGAAAAACTATACACAGGAGTCCGTGTAAATAACATCTTATAGACATTTTAGGTATAGGCTTATGTGTGTTCAACATATGTTTAATAACCGAACTTAGTTCATTGTTTTTTGCATAATATATGTAGATATCACAAAAACATTCGTACACACGCGCGCACACACATCAGCACGCACCAGCGCTTGCAATGTAAAATGACACTTCAAATATTTTTCGCACATTTTCACACAGTGGTTACTGTAATTTAAATGTTTGTGATTTTATTAAATAAGGGGTCATCCATAAATAACGTCACGCATTTTTGACGATTTTTACCTCCCCCTCCCCACCGTCACACGTCGTCACATTAAGCCAGACCCCTCCCCCCTAAACTGACGTCACACCTCAGCCTACAACCCCCTCAAAATTGCAGTTGAACTTTTTTTTTAAAAACATCGATATTTTTCCAAGCTCTTGTCTGAAATCTGTCAAAGTAGAGTATTTTAACCAACTCCTATTACGATTTATTAAAACCGTTTTCTAAAAGGCGAAATAACGTCTAAAATTCGTTTTCTAACATTGCTTTTTTATAATGCAAAAGTGTGACGTCGCACAATCTGAATTCCCCCCCCCCCCCCCCCCCCACCGTCACAAAATTACGGACCCCCTCCATTTATGGACGACCCCTAAGAACTCTGCTTAATTAAGTTAGTCACACAGTGTACGATGTACATAATAATTAATAGTAGATTCTAGGTAATACTTTAAAATACTTTTATAATTAGCCATAACAACTGGTAGGATTGTACTTTCAATTTTAAACTTTAAAACATTAAAGATAATGTGTTGGCTATTATTAAATAACCTAGTTTAAGTAGTATCAATCTAGAATTATTGATGGTAGGTGAGCACAAGCTCGATTTAAATCTTAGGTTTCTGTTTCTGGGGTGTCAGTGAGTTAAAGTTGCTCATCTGAAGAGGCTATAGATTATTCCATTACATTGAATTACAACAATAATAATTAGTAGATTAACACGTGAGTTAAAAATTTCGGTTAGCAGCAGCAGTTTCAGTTAGTAAAAAATAATATTTACGAAATTGCTGTTGGTGTGCAAATTGAGCAACATGGTTTGTGGCATGGTTAATTATTTTAACAATATTTTAAATATTAAGAAGGTTCAATTAAAATTAAAGTCTAGGAGCAGTGTCTCTTCCAGACTTTTTTCTCCGGGGGGGGGGGGGCACTTGAAATTTTCGGGGGGGATGGGCGGTAGACTTTTTTTCGGGGGGGGGGGGACACTGTTAAAAGTATATATTTTCTATATAAATTATTTAAATTTCATTTCGTTCGGGGGGGGGGGGGGGTTAACAATTTTCTATACAAATTTCATTTCGTTCGGGGGGGGGGGGGAGGCGGTAGACTTTCTTCGGGGGCGAACACTGTTAAAAGTATATATTTTCTATATACATTTCATTCGAAGATATGCCTGGAAGAAACTCGGTCTTGGAGTATGCTTAAAATTGCTTATTATTTGCACAATCCATGTATTAAACGTCATATTTAAAACACAAATGTCCAAATAAAAGTTTTAAAATGTTAAATTTATTGCGTTTTGATATTTAATTTTAAAATTAAGGTAAAATATTTTTGAATTAGGCCTACTGTGGAACCTAATCTTTGTATTTTAGTTATATAAACTAAACTGTAAATTCGTGATGCCAGAACTATGCTTATCTAATTTTCACGTAAGCTCGTGAGTTTTTCATTTCAATCAGGCACAATTACAAAATTGTTTATTACTAGATCTACTTACCACTCCTTCTGTTTGTAGTATGAAAATTATTTAAAATTTTCAACCTTTTTTTTTTTTACATTCCAGGACACCAAACCAAAAAAGTAGGTAAAACTGTTCCGACGGTAAAGGGACATAATTTTGATGTTTAATTTTTAAACCCACATTAAAAATATAATGTGATTTGAAATGTTTGTACATGTAAAGTGTATAGTTAATATAATTTTTTTAAACTCATTTTTCGTTTCTGTTATTTATCACCCACTTTTTTTAATTGCGAAAATTCGACGACCACACTATATTTTTCATTTGTTTTGAAACTTTTTCCAAGACAGATAGCCTATATGTGTAAGTAAAACAACGTAAGTAAAAACTAACCCCTGAACCATTTGCTCATTTTCAATAGCTCAAATAATTACATATAATTATTATCTGATGATAGAGAACGGATAGGCATTGTCATTGTGTACATCATTTTAGGCAAAGTACTAGTATATCACATACTTCTTTGCCTGAACATTCTATTGATTTATAAATACTCTTTTGAGAAAAGTGTGAAATTTCCGAGAATTTTAATAAAATCTTTAAAAATGAACCGAGAGTTACAAAATCTAAATATATAATTCTCTTCTGGGAGCCGTTAGAAAACAAGCTGCAAGCGCCTCCTTGCAGTCCCCTCTCTTTCTCTTTCTCTCTATCACTATCACTACCACCCCACCCCCACATTGTCTGGTGAGCTGTGGTCACGCTGTTTACATTTTACAATCATAGAGACGGGTTTGGTGACGGCTATTAGGGGCAGATAATTTAGTTTGAAACTATTTTAAACTTAGAGGAGGTAACTAAGAGGAGGCTGCTTTCACGTGGGGGGGGGGGAGGGGGGTTTAGTGTTTTTAAGCAAATATTTTCAGTGGCAGCATTGGTACTGTCGAATTCACAAATTATAAATTACTGAAAAGTAGAAAAAAAAACAACTAAATAGCGGCGTATGATACGCAGTGGGTCGGCTCGTAAAAAATATTATGCTTCGTACATTTTTTAAAACAATATAATTATAATATTCCTATATTGTATGTATGTATATATATGTATATATATGTATATATATATATATATATATATATATATATATATATATATATATATATATATATATATATATAACATTTTAAAATTAAGTTCTAGTTCTACCCTAATAATACATCTAATAATATTATTATTGTAGCTACATAAGCCTATTATTAACTAGTATTTATAATGATGCTTATTAAGCTAATATATTTCAATTATTTGCATATTTGTCTTTAATGACAAGCTATTTATTGTTTCAGCTGCTGATTCATACACGATGTTTAGTAGTTTTCTTTTTAATAAAAATTTTAAACAGAGTTTGTGGTTGTTTATTCCTAAATACAATATATATTGTCAAAAATAAAATTATCAAAAAGTATGTCAATCAATTTCAATATGCATTCATTTATTCCTGGTGTAAGATAAAAAAGACTTACGAGTTAAATATAAATAGAAAAAGTTGTTGGGGTTACGTGGTCTAACCTTTATAGCTTCGCACCGAGCTTGATGCGGTATTGTGCCCCATAATTTTACATCTAATCCTGGTAGTGCGATGCACCTCGGGATGAATTTTTTTAAATAAAGCATGTCTGAGACAAGAGAAGCATTATCTAAAAATAAATATCTTTGTTGAAAAAAAATTCTCAATGCTACCTCAATGCTTGAGAGTAACTGGGGGGGGGGGGGGGGGGGTCGCCGCACTTTTTAAAAGACTAAATTATACATAATAATTTTTTAATGTAAAACTTAAAAGGCTGGTGTGATTCGTGATGTCATTTCACTCTCAGGGAGGTCTTATTTTTTTTGGGTGAGGTGTTCATGGTTATAATGGGTGGGAACAATGGTGTCAAAATTCGACAAAAAAGCGTGAAATTGTTTATGATTATCACTAGTTATCAGGTACCTAATAAGAAAATGTAGCTTAGTTAAACTTAAAAGCAGTTGAGGCAGAGTTGCAGGAAACGTTTGAATAATAATAAATATCAAGATTAAAATCCTCTAGAGACTAGCACAAGTGAATCTCCCAGGATTCTCCAGTCATTGCCAGCATCAGTTAGTAGTCCCCACATGAATGCCCATATGTACTATCAGAAAAAAGTTACCACAGATTGAACAAAAATGATGTCATGATAAGAACGTACCAGTACAGGGTTGTTCATCAACACCAGTTTTTATTAAAGACCAAGCCTACACTTATATAAGTTTGGCCTTTTAAAGATAAGCTTTTTTTTTTTAAAATGGCCAACATACAAGTATTAGAAAACCACCACAAGCCAGTGTAATCAATATTGCCTATAGTATTTATTTATTTTTTTTAAAACATCTCATAAAATAAATAATATTCATTTAAAATCCAACATAATTGACATGACCATTACCTTTCCATTTAAGTATGCTATAAGTATAATGCCACACTAATCTGGTACTAGGAATCTCTCACATTAGTCATGTGCCTCCAAGCACCCCACCCTGGCTGTCTCAGTGAATGGACCAAATCATGTAACTGTGAGGAGTGGCATTAGACCTAACACACCACAGGGTAAAGGGCCTTCTTGCTAAATGTCACCACTCAGGACAGAAGAGTTCTTAAATGAGCTAAAATGACCACATGTTCATAACCAAAGTGTAACACCTAGATAGTGGCACCCAGTTGTGGTCAAATATGAAGGGGGAGGGGCGCAGCATATGAGTCTTAGCTGTAGTTACAGCTACATAAAAAATGACAAATCATAAACCAGGAATCAGGCCATTATGCACACATAAATTCAACCAAAAGTCCAGTAACAACAGTAGCAACAATAACATTAACAAAGGTGAATGTAAGCTAGTCATCTCAATATGTCAATTATGTTATACTAGTAAATAATACAGGTCATCACTTTTTCATTTTTCTTTTCAAACTTTCTAACAAGGATTTGGACAAAGCTTTAGAGTCAACTGTCTGAGGCTGACTGTCATTTTGTACACTATTCGTGGAACTCTTCGCACCAGAGAGTTTACCTTTTCTTTTAATCTGCTCGTTGACAAGCTTCTCCATGTTTTTGGTCTTTTTGAACTGCGGCGCGGTGGGGTCAATGTGGAACAAGTGGGAGCTGTAAAGGGCGCTGAATCTTGGGTCATCAACGTCCAGTTTAAAATCCTCTTTGTCCACTTTATCTTTCTTCTTTTTCGCCAACTTCTTCTGCTTCTTCTTGGACACCTGTTTCACTGGCTCAGGTTTTTGTAGACTCTTGTGATCATTGTCCCCGTCCATCAATATCAACTCCAGCTCGGCCCTTTCTTTCTCGTCCATCCCTTCTTTCTCATCTAAATATTTCTTCTTCTTCTTCCTCTTCTTGTCTTTCTTCTGACTTGTCTTAGAGGTGCCTGCATCCACATCCATCAACTCCTTCAAGGTCTCCATGTCTACATCATCCGGCAGATCATCATCACTGAATGCTTTCTCATTCTCATCATCACCAGCAATTTTCTTCTTTTTCATCCGCTCTTCCTTCTTCTTCCTTTTCTTTTCTTTCTTTTTCTCTAAAAACTCATTCACAATCGAACTGTCTTTTTGTTTCTCTTTTTTCTTTAACTTCTTCTCCACGGAACTCTTTAACCCCGGAGTGAACTCAACCTCCTTGTCCATATCTCCCTCTTCCTCTTTCTTCTCCTGTTCCTCCTCCTCAAGTTTGTCCATCAACACCTTGCGATACAGCTGAATTTTTTCCTCCTCTGTGTACACTTTATCACCCTCCTCATCATCTAAAACAGAACGCAACCAACTAGGTCTTCCATCTTCCTCGTCCTCTGAGTCGCTCTCCGGGGGTGCTATAATATCAGCATATTTATTTTCCTCTACAATACTCTCTAAATCCTTCTGCTGTAGACTGCTGATTTGTCGGCTTAACCTATCGAATTCGGTCTCGTCCCACGTGACCTCCACCTTGGCCTGCGACAAAGCTGTTGAGTTAAACTTACTCGGCTGATACCCCACGGTGCTCTGCTCTTCAGAGAAGCGATCTTTAGGCGTGTCATCAAATGTCATGTCATCAGGGATGTACCGCAGGTCCAGCCTGACACAGCTGAGCTGGTACTCCCGCCCGTCGCACTCGTTATAAATGGCATCAGCAGTTTGAACCGAGTCGCAATCAACCACAGCATAATAATAGCGCAGCCGGTTCAACTGATACTCTCTCAGCTTCTCAGTTTGCGCTGCCTCTTTTTCTTTCTCAGTCTGTTTAGCTTTCTGCTGGTCTTTTGTTTTCTTTTTATTCTTCTTGTCCTCTACCTCATCTACTTTTAGACCTTCACGGATCTCCTTAGGTCCAAGCATCGCCTCCTCTACCATTCTCTCTTTGCCGAATTCAGATGGATAGATGGTGACGCTTTTTATCTGCCCGCCTTCAGGAACAAAAGATTTGAACAAAATAAATAAATCTTGAGCCTTCACATAATCCCAGTCCATGTTGCAGACAGCGATTCTGCGAGTTGATTCAGACACAACCAGGGCGTCGGTATGAAGCTCGTTCCACCTGTGGTCAACTTCCGTTTCTTCAATGGCATGGGCAGGAGTGAACTCTGGGATATCTGACTCGTCCTCATCACTTTCATCATCGTCATCATCAACACTATCACTTTCATCTTCTTTATCAATGTCTTCATTTCCTGTGTCTTCCTCTGAAGAGACTTCTGAAATCATTAAACAAAAATGGTTGTCAATAATTCTATTACTAAAAAAACAGAGGTTATTTTCAACAACAAGGAAAAGATACTCATTTCGATACTTCTTTACTGTATTAGTTAAATTAGTGTTAGCTAAATTGGTACAATAGGAACTGACAATCAAACAATGGTCCCCTGAATTTTACCTTGCAACACTAGTCACAGAGAAATAGTTCAGAAAATACAACGTGCTGATTCAAAATTTTGTTTAAAGGCATACTTAGGCTGTTATAATCACATTAAGTCAATTTCAACCAGCAGTAGTTGCTTTATCCATCTTTGTATTCAATTTTTTATTCTTACTAAACTAAATGAAATAAATGATTAGTTTTTTAACTCCCAAAACGCTTCATCTATTTCTCAAACCAAGTGTACCAATATTTTCTTCATCACTTCTCTCCTCTGTATTTAAATTCTAAACTAAATCAAAACCATCATCAGATTTATTATCTTCTATATCAATAACTCTCCATCCTCAAGTAATTATAATTAAATTGTCAAGACAAATATCATTTTTTTATAGCTGATACTGATAGCAGATAAGACTAAAATTGTGCTGCTTAGTGTACTGTTGCTATGTGTTTGTGTCTGGCATCAAAATGGTCATTAACTGCTATATCATAACAACAGAGCCCTTAAAATTAATTTAATAGGAAAAATAAAAAAACGATTTTTTTTCAAATTCAAAACAGGTATATCTTTTACTGATGCAAAAAATAAACTGTGCTTCAACATCAGTGTGTTCAAAGAACAAGTCCATTACAATATATGATTTTCACACAAAAACATAATAGTCAATATTAACTGCCAATCAGTGTGCCATACAGACACCAGTTCAGAAATGTGTAGCTTCACCTTGAATTAAGCGAGATTTGTGTGCTTGTATTTTCCATCTCTAAGCAGCTTAAGAAAGTTTTTAGTGCTAGATGAGAATTGCTTTATTTGGCAAAGCAAATCATGCAATTAGGACGCTGACTCCCAAGAGTCCCATGAAGTTCTGTAATACAATTATACATGTGAATCTATATATTTATATTGTATATATTGTCCAACCACTATGTTTTTTGCTCACCGTCAATATTAAGAAAAAAATCACATAACATACCATCACGACAGTCATAAGTTGACTACTGGGCCACAATGTTTTATTCATAATTCAATATAGAAGTAAAAAGTATGTTCGGCACAGCACGTATATACACAATCAACGAGCACCGGCATAAGTAGCATAGACACTATTTGTGATGTATGTGTGTCGTGGCTTTGATGATATAGAAATACTATGATACTAATATGTGTTATTTTGCTAAGTGCACTATATTGTGCTGTTGTTATAAAATTGTCATTGGTCAGTACCACTAATTCTATCGTCCACGCTGACGAATTAAAAAATCATATAAGTTGGGCGTGTGACAAGAACTCGACCAAACCCCTAAGATTGACTCACTGAACCCTAGGGTTAGATCGCAAACTAGGACCACTAGTCTAGGCTAGGATAATAGTTTCTGCGTTTTAAAAAACGTCATACAATTGACAATTCGGCATCTAGTCTCTAGACTATGTGGCAGCTATGTGCATAATAGCATTCTTAGATAATTAGGAAAATTCTCCTAATACGACAAGATTAACTAAACAACACAATCTGATAAAAAGATTTATTTAATTTACCTTCATTTTTCTTCTTTTTTAATTTGGATTTTGATTTCAAGATTTTTTCAGGCTTCTTTTGTTTTGCATTTGAAGGTGACAGAGAATCTGCTGCTTTTCTTTTTCGAGATTTCGGTTCTTTACTTTTCCCTTTTAAATCATCTGACTCCAGCTGAGCTGTCTTTTTTACAATTTTTCTTTCTCTCTTTCCTTTTTTCTGATCAATCGTTTTTTCATCATCCTCAGAGTCCGACTCGGCGACAGAATTATTTTCAATTTCATCAGAATCTGATAAGTCATAAAATCTTTCCATGACATGCTTATTTCTTTTAGAGAAATCAAGCACTGGACGTCCTCTTTTGTCAATATCAGTTCTATGACTAAAATGAGTACTGGTAAATAAAGTTTTAAATCGGGAATCAAGTTTTACTTTGCGTTTTGACTTGGGCATGGGCCTAAAACGGGGATCTGAAGATATGTGTGAGAAACGAGGATCATCCTTTATATCCGCCATTGTAGTTATTGAAAAGCGTTGTAATTTTTGTATTTAAAAAGAAACGGATACAAAATTCAATAAACAGTTAAATATTTTAACCATGAAATTAAGATAATTTTATAAATTATCCCACACGTGTGTGTAGTCTAAATCAAAACATTAGTTTGTTTATATCCGGTTGGTCAATTTTAATTTCTCCGATAGGAAAACTCTCAAAGGGAGAGCAGTCTTAGTTTTTCTCTGCTATGGTTTGATACTCCGGCTTGATTTAATTTATTTTAAATGACTGATGCCTAATGTAATGTAAACAAGCATCGTTAGCAATCATTTTCTAAGTAACAGTCACTGTATGAATAGTATATAGAAAAGGGATTTAGAAAGTGACGTAACAAGATGTGATTTTGGGTCCGGCCTAAACAGACCTTTTTAAATTATTAATATATAGGGGGGGGGGGGAAGCAAAACTAAATTTGTTAATTTGCCGCTAAAAATACTAAAATAGTGCAGATCTAGAATCTAGATGTTGAATGAACCTAGAAATCTAGATCTGCTCTCGTAACTTAGTAATAGTAAGCCAATTGACATTGAAGTGACCACCCAAGCCGACATCAGTCATCAATAAAAATTATAGGCCTATAAACTATAAAGTATAAACTATTAATTCATAATTATTAATTACTAATTAGGCCTAAAAACTAAAGTAAAATCCTCTGTAACTGTAGAACCAGACTTTTCCATAGGCCTGTATAGTATAGGCCTACCGTGTACTTAGTACACTTATATAACTTATAGATATAGAAATCTAGATCTATTCAATTATATTCCTCTCAGTCTCTAATCTCTACTATCTCTCTCTATCTATCTAAAAGGTGCTAAGCGCCTTAGATCTAGTATAAAAAAAAAAATTAAATGAAAAAGATTTAAAATTCTAGATTTAGATTCTAGGTCTAGTCTAGATTCTAGAATTAGATCTATAGGTCTAATATCCGGATATGATCTATTCTTGATCTATGAAATTATGCTTAAATTAAATACTTAGTATTATTAGGTAGGCCTATAAAAATAATTTAGGCCTATATAGTTACTATACTATATACAATATAGTCTTAAATACTAGGTTTAAGTTTAGGCCTAGGGCCTATATACAATAGATTATTAAATATATGAATATGTTTTCAGCATTTTGGGCAATTTTCAACTGAGATTTAGCACAATGAATCAACACAGCGAGTACAAGATTTCTGGCGTGTCTGTATACTTTCCATGCAAGCCTTATCCTTCACAGTTTTCTATGATGGACAAAGTAGGTCTAACTAAATGCTATGTGTTTTATTGCATATTTTAAATATTTATTCTGTTTGGAACATAGTGTTAAGATTTAGAAAGAAAACTAGAAATCAGAATAATGAAACAAAGTTTACTTTTTTTAATCAGATTATAAAAGGCATAGAGAGACGCCAGAACTGTCTTTTAGAAAGTCCAACAGGCAGTGGCAAAAGCTTGGCACTACTCTGTTCATCCCTGGCCTGGCAATTAGCTGAGAAAGGTATGTTTTTATGTTTTTCCACTCTACCTGTTCGTGTTTTAAAGTACCATTGTAATTTTATTGTTAACTGACTTTTTACACTACAATCTTTTTTTTTCGTTCAAGAAAAAAGAGACAGAGAGGAAGAGGAGATGACTAAAACAGGTATATTAAAAAAAAATGTCTTCTTTTTTTTTTGGCTCATTGCAGAGCTTAGGGCTGTGACGACATGCTGCTTATGAAACAATTTTAGGCTACTTTTAAAAACTCAAGCCATCACAACCAATTTTATCTGACTAGTGTTTCTTTAAGATGCTGATAAAGCCTTAAGTTTTGCTTGTTGTCTCTGTTATACTTCATGTCTGAGCCATACCAAAAAACAAATGTGACTTTTTTGCTACAGATTCTGAGCAAAGTAATAAGTCAATTATAAATATTTCAATTCTCCTTAAGTGTGAAGAAACTGTTTATAATTCAACAATTTACAGTTGTTCACTTCATTTACTTCAGTAATATTTTTTGTCAATTTAAACCGTTATATTTTGCTACTAATCCAGCTTAGCTTCAGCTGCTGTGTATAATATATCAATTACGAATGCTAAATTACTGACATAAGTCCCAGTATAATAAACAATTTTTATTTTAAAAAGGACAGTTGTTCTGGATAATTTGAATTTTTTAACAGCAATATCAGACTAGAATTTATGACAGCTATACCGCTAAACTCTACATAGTAAAATTTGTTTTCTCCATGTTTCCAGCTTTGTGTATTTGTGACTGCCACAATTTAGTTGTTGCTGATGTGCCAACAACTAAGACAGATGACAAACCAGAGGTCAACCCACAACAAGAATCTATATGGCAACAGTCAACAGGTGGGTCATGCAATGTTTATTTTTTGCAACAACATACCAACCTGTTCATTGAAAAAGTAACTGTTAAATCAAGTAACATCTCTAAATTTTACCAGTAAGTAATCATTTTCACTGTGAATGTTTTGCTCATCTACTAATTCAGCAGTGGCATCACTAGGTTGGATGTCTCGGGTGTGTAAACATCCCCCCACCCCAGATAACTTGGTTGTCTCCCCACCCATTATATTTTTTACTGGATATAATCTTGTTTATTTAGTAAATTCTTCAATTTTTTTAAAACTATGGTGTCACTGGGTGCAGACTTCTCTACCCCACCTTGTGACACTACTGTCATTCTTCGTTAAAAGAAAATAAAATGGTTGTTTTTAGATGGTCAGGACAGTGATGAAGACTTTCAAGACAAGAATAAAATATTCAATCTTCCTGTAAGTGTGATGATAATTTATTGACTAAAACGTATAATTTTTCTTTTAAAATAGTGAGATGACTACTGGTTATTCAAATTTCTTTTTATTGAAAGTTTTACCATGATAAAATAAGATTCTCTAGTTCATATGGTATTAAAATGCACTGTGTTTGGGCTTTTTATCTTGCTAGTTATCATGATTCCTTTTTTTTTAATTTGAAAACTGTTAAGTTTAATCACAATATATTTTTAAATGACCAGCTTTTGAGAGTATTACCTTATGATCTTTCTATCACTGATGTTGTTTATCAGGGAAAGAAGAAAAGTCCTCGCACCCATGTAAAAATTTCTTACGAGGACGAGAAAACAAAAGCCAAACCAGTCGATCTGGACATGATCATGAAGTCAGTCGGAGACATTTTAAATGGGGTCAAGCAAGAGCCAGGACCAGAGGAGAATGTCAAAGTGTGCCAGAAATGTTGCTGTGACAAAAGTACCACACCTGGCAGGACTACCAGAATTATGTAAGAGCTTTGTTATACCAGAATTACATAAGAGTTTTGTTATATAAAGTGAGTGATTGTTGAACGTTTCAGTTAGATTGCCAGATCAACTCTATATGATAGATAAAGCTAGCTAAAGTTGTGCTAACCACTCAACTTTTACATGCTGGGTTCTCAGTATTTTGAAATTGTCTTCAGTTGCACTTGCTTGTTGCCTGACATGTCTGTAAGCATATTTATTTTTATATTAAACAATTTCATAGATTAATTTTATTGAAGTTTTTCTCCTGGATATTGCCAGTAGTAAAAAAAAATTACCACTGAAATTATGATATTTTTTATTTTATTTAAGGATACCCAAAATATATTTTGGTACACGCACACACAAACAAGTTGCTCAGATTGTAAGGGAATTGAAGAGAACCAAGTATCACAATGTCAAGTAAGTTGTGCTAGAATTTGTCTTAGATTAACAGATTATATTTATTTATCTACTGACCTGCAACACAATAACTGCACTTGATCTAGTACATTCACTGTTGTTTTGGCTCCAGTGGAGTCTGTGATATGCATGGAAATACACAAATTGATGATGATTATAATTATCTATCAATAATAATCTCAATTATGTCAATTTAGAATGACAGTGCTTGGGAGCAGAGAGCATACCTGCATCCACCCAGAGGTGTCTAGAGGGAAAAATAAGAATGATGCATGCAAAGAGCTATTAAATGTATGTCTACTGTATATTAACTATTTGGATATAATACATGGCTGTTATGGCATTCAATATTTTATCCATTTTTTTTAATATTATTGTTAGTTATGATAGAACTACTTAGCAGAAGGTAATAGAAGAAGAGCACATACTGGTATAAATTTTATAAGTCCCTTAAATTGGAATAAAGTATATGATTAATTTTTAATGCAATTATTTAGTTAACAAATTTTGATAAAACTCGTGACCTATTGTAGGGTCCAGGATGTCGCTTCAAGGAGTGGACCCCACGCTGGTCATCACAAAGTTCAATCAAAAGTGCTGGGCTGGACACTGCCTGGGATCTGGAGGAGTTGGTTCACTTCTGCAGGGGGAAAAGGGTAACAACTCTAGTACAAATCAAGTTCAGACTTACATTTTTTTCTGTTATTTGACACCGAAATTTCAAGTTATTCATCTTTCCTAGGTGTGTCCATACTTTTTGTCTCGAGCCATCAAAGATGAAGCAGAGCTGATCATCTGTCCGTACAACTACTTGATTGACCCACTAATCAGGGAAGCAGTAAGTTAACATAAGTAAACCTGTTTTACTAGTTTATAAGGGACTTAGAGGAACTTATGAGGCATTATAAGCTTGTATAAGGATTAATCACATGTGTAGTTCTGTATCAATTTTTCAGCGCTTTTCCGGTAATCTGAATTGAAATGTATTGTAAAAAAAGTAAGTTCCCTTTTCAAATCTGGCGTTCTATAGGGCAAGTGAAGTAGAGTTCACTTGTGTCTGTGACGTTGTTATATGATGAGATAGTGTGGTCAGCACTATGCCCAGCCGCCTTTACTTTACTAACGTGGATGGACTCAGGGGCGGTCTACAGACTTAAACTCGAGACTTACTGGTTGGCAGCCCCGCTTTTTACCGCTAGACCACTCCGTCCCCGCTTCTCTTTCGGTATTTTTAAAAGCCTTCAATTTGAGTGTGGTGGGGCGAGGGATGTATGCGTTATATATGATGACTACTTCTATTACTAACACTCCTGCTATAAACATTGAAACACTCTTATTTCCGACTACACTAATAATACCAAAAAGTTCGATCATGAAATATAACTTGAACTTTAATTACCAATCACTAATACTAGATCTACACTACAAAATATACAACACGTCCTTTCTCTACAATGGCTAATCCCCCAACTGTCTTCACTTCTTGGTGGTATTTAGAGGAATGGTGATCAATGTGGGTTCTATTTCACTAAATTTTCCAAGATTCTTGGAGGCAGTATTTTTCCAATTTAAGTCTTAGAGTCTGTCCCTCTTTGTTTCATTAACATCATCAATGGCTTGAGCCTCCAGTCCATGTAAACATATGCACGTTGCACATTCTGATGAATGCTACTGGTCTTCATGTTTGCCTGTGTTTTTTTAGCTTGTGATTTGATGTACGAAAACAATTGTTTTAATGGCAAATTATAACAGTGTATAGGCAATGTGGTTAATCATATGTGTTTGAATGTCTCCGAATTTGTTTGTACAAAATAGTAAAGGTTGCATTTATTTTAAGTTAAAAAAAAATATAATAATTTTGGATAACAAAGAAGCAAATCTTAATAATATTGCATAAACTGAATTATTAAACTTAGAATAAATTGTCATTTCTATAAAAAAATTATTAAACATTGGAATCTTGCTACATATAAATACTTGATAGGTTATAAAGGTAAGTTGTCTCCCTTATTTCTTTTCAACCAACAGTTTGATATTCGATTTTTAGAAACCTAGCATTTTTTCAACATTTTTAATTTATATACATTGTTGAAAAATACATTTTTCTTTCTAATTCCATCTAGTTTTAGTTATCTCCCACTTAAATTGTTAGATACAAAGATAAATTAAAATGCATCAATTTAAAGGAAATATCACCAAAGATACGTCCCCACTCATTTTTTTATCTTTTTAATTTTTATTTTTTTAGATTATTTTATTCTGCAAGGATACTTCAAAAATTATATTTTCTTTAAAATAACCCACTCATGTTACGGTTTAATGAAACAGCATGGAATGGCAATACTAAGGGGTTTTTTGTAACCATTGTATTATTTAAGCTACGCCTGCCGTTCATGTTTGCTTAAATGGCCAAATATAAAATAACACATATTATTTAATAACACAATGAAAGATAATGATATGAAATTAACTATCTTATAAAGTGTATTTATCTTGAAAATCAGCTTACTTGATCTCACAGAAGATGCTGGTTGAGGTATCGGCCCTGTGTAGGGTGAAGGAGATTGACTGCGGAACTTCACTTGGTTCATTTACTCATTTTAATGCTAAACTCTTTTATCAATTAAATTAACTTACTCCTTACACTATTACCCCTACACTTTATCCCTAATGTAATAATTCACTGAACATTATTGAACTATATCAGTTAATTTGATAAAATTATTTTTTGCTAATAAAAGCGGATTGTGCGTAGGATGAAATATTCCAGCATCCCACGATCCGCATCACCTGTTGTTTCTGGTAACGCGTTGTGTTCACGCATGACAAAATCAACACAGACAACCTCTCAACCAAAACCATTAAAAGTACCTAATAATTTATAACTGATTAGATTACATTAACTATATAAAAATGCGTAGCGATCTATTTAGATGCCCAGGACGAACTATCAGTTTTACGCCCCATCTTCAAATTAGACCTATATATAAGTATTTGCATGAAAATGCGCCCCCACCTCACTTATTTGAAAAGGTCGGGGCGCTTTTTAACCAGTGTTTTTAACCAGTGTTTCTTCCAGACTATTTTTTCTGTGAGGGGGGCACTTGAAATTTTTGGGAGAGTGGTCACACTTAAATTTCAGGGGGGGGGGGGGGGGGGGGGGGGACACTGTTAAAAGTATATATTTGCTATATGAATTCCATTTTGGGCGGGGGGAGGGGGGTATACTTTCTTCAGGGGGGAGGTGCCACACCCCCCTGCTAAGAGATGCCTGGAAAAAACTGTTTTTAACAGTCCCTTTGCCTTTTTATGTTTTCGTATAGAGTATAGAGCAAGTATTGTAACTGTGCACAAAAATTACATGAAAATTTTGACAGTTTTCACCATTTTACACACGACAAAAACAGACAAAAAATAATGTTTTTTTGCACCTTGATAGACTAGTGGTTAAAAAAAAAAAAACTAAGCGATTGCAGCAGTTCTACATTAACCAAAACACACTGTTGCGTAGAAGGAAAAAAACCTACATAAGTTGTAGTATGAAAAATAAGCAAATCGTTAAACCACTTCCATGACTTATTCATTATTCTCGCCTTTAAATAGTTGAATCAGGGTGCCGATAAAACTGATTAAAGTTAATTATAGTTTTTTTTTGCTAAGCGAATTAAAACTAAAAATGACTAAGCTATAAAAAGAAATCAGTTCCAAATTAATAGAACAAATAAAAAAGAATTTTTTAAAAAGAATGCTGGAACCATTACACATATCAAGTTTCCCTGATTCATAGTCTTTGACTTGCCAAATAAGAAGGATCACTATTCATAATTTTCGTTGGGCATAAATGAGAAATTTTAAAACTTGATTATTCCAAGCCAGAAATGAGTTCGAGCCTATCTCTATGTGGTTTGTTGTCTGATGATGGATATACTTTGCAATGAAATGTTTAATTTAGAATTTAGTGAGGCAAGTCTTCTAATATATATATATATATATATATATATAAATATATATATAATAAGGGGGCCCGAAAAAATATTGAATATTGCAAGGGGGGGGGGGGGGGCCGTTTTAATAAGTTTAGCCAAAGCCGCTAAATAACCTGGCGCCGGCACTGTTTAAATCTATACATATAATTCTCTACATCGCCCAACCATGCGAGACACCACCACCACGCACATACACCAAATCTATAACCCTCCCCCCCCCCCCCTTGTTCTCCAGGCATGGGCAACAGACCACACTGCTATCACCCCCAACCCCACCAGTCTGCTGAGCTGTGGTTCACTCCAAATGTTAACAATCATAGAGACGGGTCGAACTAGTGATGGCTATTAGGGGCAGATAATTTATTTTTAAACGATTTGAAACTAAGGGGAAGTAACAAGTTTTGCTTGATCTTGTCATTGTCGTCTGTAAACTGTCGTTACGGATGGCTACTTTCGCGGGGGGTGGGGATAATTGTCCTTCACAAGCTACTGATAATGTTTTAAAGCAAAATATTTTCAGTCACAGCATTGGTAGTGTCGAATTCATAAATTATGAATTACTGAAAAGTAGAAAATAAAACAAGTAAATAGCGGTGTATGCTATATGCCGCAGGTCACTCGTGACAATTTTTCTCTGTCCTTGGTGTTTTTATTTTATACTGGGATTCATAAACATTCATTTGTGAATACCAGCTCACCTCGTCTATCTAGTGTTTGTCCTATCTACTTATCACACATGGTTATTGAATATTGTTATTTTTTAATGAGTTCATTGGTACTTAGTTAGATTAAAAAATTCAGAGATGCATATTTAGGCAAAGTTTGTAAGAAAACACTCCATTAGATTTTGTGAAAACTGAGTTATAATATTTGAACATAACCCTTAAGAAAGATGGATTGTGTTACTTAAGAAAATTCTTGTAAAAAAATATTTGTTAGATTTTAAGGAAGGTTTTAACCTATATTATTTGCACTGTAAATATCAAGCTTGACAAATAATTTATTGTGTAACAGTAAGTTTAATTATCCAATTAAATGTGATGTTTTTTTTTCAGATGAGTATTAGCTTGAAAGGTCACATAGTAATTTTAGATGAGGCGCATAACATTGAGGATTCTGCCAGGGAAGCGGCCAGTCAGAGCATATCTCAAGAGATCATACAGAAAGCTGTGGCAGATATTGATAGTCTTAGTAAGTGTCATTTTACTTTCTCGTATATACGAAGTATAGAGAAAGTATTGTAATCGTGCACAAAAATAACATGAAATTTTGAGTTTTCACCGTTTTACTCCTGAGTCCTTCATCACATCCGGAGTATAGAGGACTTATTTTAATTAGGCAAAAATTATAAATACAAATATATAAACGTTTTGGCGTTTTATGCGTTATCGAGTCGTAAAAACTAGACTTTGCAATTCTGTCCGTATGTCTGTGTGTCTGTCTGTGTGTAAACACGATAACTTGAGTACCGTTACAGCTAGGTTGATGAAATTTCATTTACAAGTATTTTATCAAAATCGTAGATCCTGATCAACTTTTGAGTGATTTCCGATAACCGGAAGTGGTACTTTTTCTACTTTGAATTTTTCAAAAGCCTATAAGTTGCGTACTATTTTAGATAGATGCATGAAATTTCACACGTAAGTAACAGATCTAATTTTCTACCTTCTGTCAAATTTTGAGTAATTTCCGTTGACCGGAAGTACTAATTTACGTTATTTCCGATTTCTCAAAAAACGCATGTAAATTTATAAAGTACTAATAATATCCCGCACTTTTATACACATTTTATTAGGCGTTCACTTGGTGTGGGACGGAGTGGTCTAGCGGTAGTGATCTGGACTGCTAACCCATGAGTCTCGAGTTCGAATCCGAGTTCAAGTCAGTAGACCGTCCCTGAGTCTAGGGAAAGTAAAGGCGGCTGGGCATAGTGCTGACCAAACTATCTCTTCATATGCCTAGGTCACAGAAATAAGTGAACTCTACTTCACTTGCCCCATAGACCGTCAGGTTTGAAAGGGAAACTTTTCACTTGGTGTGCAATTCTTTTTTTTTTTTACGAGATTCTATTCTATTAAAAAAAGTTTAAGTAATTAAAAATGGATAACAAATATTGTCTATGTCCTGAGTTGCCATCCTTCGTAATTTTATATTAGAATATTCGAGAAAGTTTAGGGGAGATCACTCCCGGTTTATTTTTTTAATTATCTTCAGTGCTGACATGGCAGATATTGATAGTCTTAGTAAGAGTAATTTTTTTTAATTATCTTTAGTGCTGACAAATTAATGCTATTGTTGCTGTTAGTTAATTGAGGAAATTGATATTAATTCATTTAGTTGGCGTTGTTTTTTATCATCTTTAGTGCAGTCGAGTAAAAGTTATTGTTACAGTAAAATTTAAATAATTCAAGAAATTTATAAGCATTTACTTATTGTTGGTGGCAATAGTATCCTTAACTTTTTTCTTTCTGTTATTAACATTGCATTATTTTTTCTAATGTTTTTGATTCTTTTCTCAAGAATAACACTGTAAATGGTTTTAATACAGTTGGTACTATTTAGAATTTACTAAAGATTCTTAATCAACAGAAAATAAATTTGGTTTTTCAGATTATATGTGTATTGTGTTTTAGTTTAGTTTGTGTAGATTTACTTTATTTGTTTGAATAAACTGGTTGAAAATACTTTCAGTTGAACGTGATGTCAACTTGGCTGACTACTCCAAGCTGCGGTCTGCAGTAAGTCTTTTTAAAACGGTTTCATACTTCTTCTATTTTAATTCATAGTTTTTACTTTCTCATATATACGAAGTATAGAGAAAGTATTGTAATCTTGTCCGTATGTCTGTGTGTAAACACGATTACTTGAGTACCATTACAGCTAGGTTGTTTATTATTAAATGCTTTCTTTGTTGTTATTTTTATAGTTAAAAAAATTGGACATCTTTATTGATGAAAACAAAGACAGACTAGAGCAAAAAGATTTTGAAAAAGCTTATAGAATCTGGTCGTCATTTGACATAGTTGTCTGGTTGGAGACTGTTGGTTTTGGCCCAAAACATTTTCCTATTTTAAAAGTAGGTATATTTTATTAAGCCATGTCGGCAAAATATGTATATGTTCTAAGTTGTTGTGTTTTAAATAATCTTTGTAAAGTTAAATAAAAACCAAACGAAATGCTGAAAAGTAGGATTTCATTCCTTAAATAGATGAAAATTGTAAATTAATGACTTCTGTCTTTTAAATAAACTTTAAACATTTTTTTATTAACTCATTAAACCACGTGATTGCTGTTATTTATAAAAAAATATATTTATCAATAATTTATTTTGTTCTGTCTGGCAGAGTGCCTTAGCTGCTGTGAAATCAGAAGCAGAAGAAAGGAAAGAAGAGCTACTGAGGGCAGGACTTAACACAGAACTTCATGAAATGAAACCAGCCACTGCTGGTCTGTTGGAGCAGATTTTTCAAGTCCTGGAGTATTTGTACAGAGCTGAACTCAAATATGTGGACGACTACAGGTAACTCTGTCCCTAATCTCAGTTTGAATCTTGGCTATTTTAATGTGTATAACTACAGGTACGTTATTCAATTAATCTCAATTTCAAAGATAGTAGTAAGTAGAAAGGTATACTATTGAACTGCCCATGACTGTCCCTTGAGCAGGTGAAGTAGGTTTCACCTTTTTTCTGTTTTCTGCATATGAAAGAATAGTGTGGTCAGCACTATGCCCTAACTTTTCCCTAACATGAGTTAGGTACCCATCAGAGCTGGGTGGACTCAGGGATATATTGCAAATTGAACCTGGGATTTGAACTTGAGATGTTTGTGTTAGCAGTCGAATGCTCTACCATCCAGCCAGAATTCCCACCAGTTTTAAACAGCATTGAATTTCATGTTCATGGCTACAAACTATCATAATGTTACATGCTGCTGAGTTGTTTTTTTACTCTCTAAAATATAACTGTAATAAGTAATTTTCTTTTAGAGCCTCATTGGTCCAGTCCTACCAGTACACGCGTGTTGCTAAGGTAAGTCCAATCATATCCCATGTTGTTTAAATTACTCTCAACTATGTTTATTATCCAATTTTTTAATTATCATTTTATTTCTTCAAAGTAATTTTATTGTTGAGAAATCAGTAATACATTTATTGCTATGTTAAAAAAAAAGTTGTTTTTTTTCTGTTTATCAAATCCACAACATTAAAATATTTAAACCTAGTTCACCATTTTGTATGTCTTAAATTGAGGCACATATTTTGATTCCCAGGAAGGACAATGGCTGAACACAAAGGGTGGATATGGAGGTAGCTTTAATAATTATGTTATGTTTATTATAAACTGAAAGGTGTTTTTAGTATCCATTTTACTTTCTTAATTTAGCTAAAATGTTTTCATTAAATATCATGTAATCCATTCAAAATAAATTTTAAATTTAAAACCATTCTCTCTGGGTTTTTTCATTCAAGGACGCAATTCAATGCAAACAACAACACAATACACATTGAATTTCTGGTGCATGAATCCTGGAGTGGTAGGTTTACATTTGTTTCTACTTCTTGTTAATATTAAAACTTTATTCCCAGTGTATGTGTTGTGTGTGAATTTCATTAATTTTGTGATTTTTTGTTAAATTGCTATCAAAATTGTGTTAATTCATTAGCTAGAGATGCTGTTCTTAAAAACAAATCATTTATTTAAAAAATTAAAATTTGTTTCATGTGATCTAAAACAGTTTTTAACATAACCAGGCTTGTTTTTCTTTAGGCCTTCTCAGACTTTGCAGAGACACGCAGCATTATTTTAACCAGTGGCACGCTGTCCCCCTTGAATTCTTTTGAGTCTGAGCTGAGCATAAACTTTGGGATACAGCTGGAAGCTAATCACGTCATCAAAGATTCGCAGGTGATTTCACTTTTAATAAAAAAACATGTGGATAAATCTAATTATGTAATGGAATTTTTACCTAATCAAGATAAAAAGTAGGTTCTGTTTCTTTTTTCTCAGAATTAATTGAATTTTTTAAATAGTTGAAAACTTAATTTTTCCACAGAATTAAATTCATTACTTTTTTAAAAAGAACCTATGCTGATGAGCTTAGATTCAAAGACTTTTTTTTTATCTTTCATAGATAAAACTTGAGTACTAACATGTTATAGTTCCTACATGCTATGTAATTTTTTAATGATTTAAAAAACAATTGTTACCAATAGACATAATAACTTATCTTCTATAGAAAAATTTCTATTGTGCTGTTGTAAGGGATTCCTTCAGGCTGGCTACAGAAACATTTGTTGTTATAAATCTGCTTGTTTGTTCTGTAGGTGTGGGTGGGGACACTGGGTACTGGACCATCAGGTGGCAAACTCCAGGCTGTCTATAGAAACATTTGTTGTTATAAATCTATTTGTTCTGTAGGTGTGGGTGGGGACACTGGGTACTGGACCATCTGGTGGCAAACTTCAGGCTGTCTACAGAAACATTGAAACATTTGCCTACCAGGATGAGCTTGGTGCGCTGGTCCTTAGAGTGTGTGAGGTAATTTTGAAAGCATTTAAACTTATGTATCTAAAATAAGATTCTGGTGTAAATTTAAGATCTAAAGTTTCCCTTTCAAATCTGACGGTCTATGGGGCAAGTGAAATAGAGTTCACTTGTTTCTGTGACCTCAGCATATGAAGAGATAGTGTGGTCATCACTATGCCCAGCCGCCTTTACTTTCCCTAACGTGAGTTAGGTACCCATCAGAGTTGGGTGGTCTACTGACTTAAACCCAGATTCGAACTCGAGACTTATGGGTTAGCAGTCCAGCTCTCTACCGCTAGACCACTCCGCCCCATAATTTAAGATGTAGGCTATCTGTAAATCAGTCCCTACAACTCTAATGAGAGCCTGCAAATATCAGGGGAAGTATATGCTGCGAAGTATTTCCATTGTGAACAAAACAGATAAACTACTTCTCCTCCCCATTGTTCACATCTGAAAGAACATTCTTCATTGGGTTTTAATTGATTGTTGTAAACTTTGAACATTTTCACTAGATTGTTCCTCACGGTGTCCTATGTTTCCTGCCATCTTACAATGTCCTGAACAAACTGACCAGTCGCTGGGAGGTAAGGAGTTAATTTTATGTTCAGTTTGTTTTTGAAAATATAAACCATAATTAAAGGTTTTTCTGAGCGAGTAAACAAAATATGTGACAGTTAAGTGTAAGTGGCAATTATGTTAATTAATTCTTTAAGTTTAAGACAATATAAATGTTAAACTGTCATAGACTGTACTCTGAAATTCTAAAAATCTACTTGGCCTCCATTTATTTTGTGTGAAGTATTTGTATTATTCAAATCCATAAAATTTAGTTATACTTTTATGAGGGCATGTTATTTAGAGAATGTTTTTCCTTTATGTCTTAATACACTGTTTTGCTAATTTTTTTTATCAAGTATCCAAGTATTTATGTTGTAGTTTTCTCTTGTTTTTTAATGTAGAGCACTGGTGTAATGAAGAAAATTGCCTCTGTGAAAAGAATTATTATTGAACCACGTGGTTCAGACAAGACAGACTTTGAGGGGCAGATGGAGATCTTTTATGAGGCCCTGAAACCTACTGCTGGTATATTCACATTCTTTCATTTAATTAGCTCCAGAAAATACTTTGCCTGAATGATCGTGTATGTTGGTAAAATTATACAGTATAGCCATAAAGTAATGTTGTAGAGTATATCTCACTATTGGACATCTTGTTTATTAATTAGAAAATACTTTATCTTTAGAAGGAGACAGCATATTAACTGGAGCTGTGTTTTTTGCTGTTTGCCGAGGAAAAGTCAGTGAAGGATTGGATTTTGCTGATAATTTTGCTCGAGCTGTAATCACAGTAAGGATTTAAACATTTAAATAGCATTATTTATTCCAGACTTGTAACTAAATCATTTTAAAAGCCTTGAGTCATCTCATAACATTCAAATAAATTAATAAAATATTAATTGCTCATAACAGCAGGATTGCTTACGTTGAGCCCCAGCAGCAACCTGTTATTTAAATATTTTTGCCTTTAATTTTCCAGATTAACAAAGTTGTATTTCTGTATTTCAGGTAGGGATTCCATTTCCAAATTTTAAAGATGTTCAGGTAAAGTGCTTTTTTTTTGGTTGCTTAAGATAATTAATTACTGTATTGGGGCTTTATGGGCTGATAAATTAGAATTCTGTCTCCTTAACCTTTGTAAGGCCTACATACATGGATTGTGTGATTAACATCATACTTCATACTCAGCCATATGCGATTAAGTCAGGTACTTATCTGATATGGGTAGGTATAAGCCGGGGCTAAGGTGAACTGTTGTATTATACCATTAGTCCACTCTGGTATAGTCTTGCTTAGCTTCCCCTATTATGTAGAGTTGTGAGCATCCCTAAAGCTTGATCAGTGAAGTTGTGTGGTTACAAAATTATTGGAAATTTTTAGGTGGAGCAGAAGAAGCAATACAATGATAGCCATCGCAGAACAAGGGCTCTTTTGTCTGGCCAACAGTGGTATGAAACACAGGGCTTCAGAGCGCTAAATCAGGCCCTGGGACGATGTATTAGACACAGGTATAAAACACGGGTTCAACCTAAAAATAATTTACAATTGGTACAGATCGTTATAATCTTAAAAGAAGTTACAATACTACACTACAAATCTAATTTTTGTTTGTTTTAATTAGGCAAGACTGGGGAGCATTAATTATTGTTGATGAGAGATTTGTCAAAGATCCACCAAAGTATTGCAGCGGTAATTCATTTTTTTTTGCCATGTCATGTTACTTTTAAAAGTAAGTGAATCTTTAAATTCTTTTTTGCTCTTGACACAATTATTATTCTGATTTATCCTGTAGGTTTATCTAAATGGGTAAGAAGCAAAGTGCAAACATTCCCGGCATTTAATAATGCCATGAACTCATTAACAAAATTTATTGAGGAAAGACAGCACCAAACAGATGTAATCAAGTGAGTAGTCAATAGGTTTCACAAAGCAGAAATTTTTTTTACTTATGTATTTTTAATTTGTGTGCTTTTTTTTAATATATGTTTACATTTTTATGTTATAGAAATAATTGAAACTTAAAATAGGCCTACCTATTTAATATGTTTTAAAAACAGATTATATTGAGTTTTTTAAAAAAAAAAGGGGAGCTTTAAAATTGGTCTTTATAGTATTTCTGATGTTGGAAAATCACTATGTTAAGAACCTTTGTGGTGCAATAAATATTTTTTTTGTGGACAAGTTATTTTGTTCTATGAAAGCTGTTATTTACATTTTACAAGCAAAATATTAAAATTTAGAACGTTTTGATTTAAAAATTCTAGCCCGGACCTGTCACAGCCAGTGAACAGCTCCATCGTCATAGACGAGTCGCCCAGGTTCTCACTCTGTGATGTGAGCAATGTTCCTGCTGCTACATTCCCAGATAAACCAAAAGAAACAGTTATTCCAAGAGCTGTCCTTCCTCAGAGAGTAAGAACTTTTAACATTTTTGACTAATTTAATAATTTGAACAACATAGCAATAAACTCAATGCAACATATGTGGCTATGTTTAAGACTAAATAGACGGTGTACCATTACTTTTGTAATTTAAAAACTTTTGACAAATTATTTGAATGACAAAGCAGTATATTCAATGCAGCATTTGTAGCTATGTTTAAGACTAAACACATAGCGTTCTTATGCTTTTGTAAGTTAAAATATTTTTTTAAAATATCTTTTTTTTTACTTTTCAGAATTTCTCCATTTTCAATTTAAGTTCTGCATCGCCACTAATCAAACTTGGCAACCAAACAAAAACTGTCAACAATAAACATGTAAATAACCTCGCTGAAAAGAATAAATCCCCCAATACTCCAGACAAATGTGCCGATGTACCATCACCATCTATTTTTATAAAGTCTAAACGCATTGGTGGAAACAGGATTTCACCAAGTGCTAAACTGTCATCTCTAATGCAAGGGAAGCAAATCTCTTCTTCAGGCAGAGCAAGCAAAATTTTTACTACAGGTCAACTAAGTAATGGAACAGTGTCCAATCCAATTGTTATAGACAGTATTGAAGCAGTTGGATCAGTTTCTGATCAATGTCAGGAAACTAAAAAACTAGAAACTGAAAAATCGGTGGAAGAAACCCCACCCAGTTCACACTCATGTGATATTTTTGAACCAAGCAGCATTCAAACAGCATTATCTCCCTCTAGTCCTTCTTTATCCATATTATCTTCAAAGCTTGACACAAATCTGAGTCTCATTAACTCTCCGAGTTTAGCAGGCAGCGTTAAAAAAGTAAGCAGTAATAAGAAGCTACTTTTTAAAAAAAGAAAAGATGTCACAGACGACAGTGACAAGCCTGTCAAACCAGCTACGCAGTTTCAGACACCGGAGTCTGGCAAATTTAACCGGAGCTCGTCAACAACTCATTCGGATGGGGATGATGATTTTTCTCCCATTGAAGAAAAGTTACTTGTCAGGCGAAAATCTCGAGGGAAGAAGAGGAAATCTCAAACTATTGCGGCCAAAACGCCAAAGAAAAGTAAAGAGGTGAAAAATTTACAAGAATCACCGGTGGTGAGTACTTTCTTTTTGGCTAGGCTTGTGACTTTAGAGACTATAATCTAACATAATGATAATTTTTTATAAATATAAATGCCAATCTTATAATTTATTCTATTTCATAAACAAGCAGCTAAAGCACCTTTTACGAAAATTAAAACAAGTATTTAGGTTTTAATGAATTTTAGTCATTTATGTTAGCTCAGTGAACTTCTTCAAAATATTTGTGTTCATCATAGTTTTGTTCAATATTTCAACCAGGACACAACCCCAGTACCTACAAAAACTAGATCATTTATTTGTTCTGTGTGTAACCAGCTGTTATTTGGAGGTATCCGCCCACAAGGTAAGAAACAAAATTTACTCAACACTTTCAGCAGTTTATGTTATAATGTTCATTTTCTTTATTTTACATCAGCAAAAAATTAATTTAACATTCTTAAATTGTTTAGATTTTCTGGAGCAAAGCAGTCTTCCAGTATTTCTAAGAGTACCACCAATAGAGTTGGAAACTGGTGTCTACTTTTTTTCAACTCAACCAAGTAGAGGTGGTTTACAGACCCATCACTCTGGTAAATCATATCTCCTGTCAAATAATTTCTTTAAAACAGACATAAGGTTTTCACATAGTTGTTTTAATTTTTTTACACGTATGAAATGAGAAGTGTGAAGCTAATTGTGATTGCTTAAGCTAAATTATAAATAAATAAAAAAAATACCAAGACTACTTTCAGTTCTAGAATTTTTAATTATAATTTGTGAGAATGTTGTTAATGGAACTATTATGAGACAGATGACAATTTTTTACTATAATATGCTAAATATTTACTAAACTTTCCTGTCTCAAAACCCTTTCTAGGTAAAATGAGCAAGTACATTCAAGAAGAAGAGATCTGTATCCAGTTTATTTTCTGTAGTCAGTGTTTATCTGCTTCATCCGACACAGCGCAACCTGTGGGGGCACAGGTGGAACTTGCTGCTAATGCAGAGGCCAGGTTCAGCAAAGGACAGGTGAAATACTTTCTACAAACAATACTTCATAAAGTTTTTTTTTTGTAGGCTGAATAATTCAATACCTCAAGTTATGTAAATATGAAAATAATTGAATTTAAACTTTCTTTAATATTTAACTAAATGTTTATTACTAACACATTAACGTGATGGTGTGATCGGATGGTATAGCATGCAACTGCTAACCCAATCTTGATTCTATTTCATTGGCCTGAGTAAACACAACTGGGCATAGTGCTGACCACACTACCCTTTATATAGTGAGGTCGCAGGTGACTTCTACTTTCATTTGCCCCATGGACCGCCTGGTTTAAAAAGGTAACTTGTGATGTAAGATGGATTTTAAAGAACTACATTTTTTTTATTCTGTTCCACACCGCAATCGTCTTCCTCCATTCCATTTGTCACCAGAGTCAAACTTGCCCATTCTCTCATGTTGACATCCTCCATAGCCTGCCACTTTTTGCCAGGCACTGTTACTTGTAAGAAAATGTTTGCAAGACCTAACAAGCTTGTGACATGTCTGTACCCATTTACTGGATGTTTTTTAACTACAACATTTATGTTTTCAGGTGTGGTTATTCTCAAAATTAGTCAAACAAGAGATGGATGTAACTAAACATTGACCAAGGATTTATCTAATACTCAAATGTAAACACTGAATCAAATGATTCTATATGTTAATTCAAATTTTTAATTTGAATACAAATTTTTAATTTGAATGGCTAGTGATCTATTAAAGCATTATTTTTATTATAAAAAGTTTTGTGTTATTAATACTTCAACCCTCCTTAATTAACTATTGATTACTTGGTGAAGATGGGGGTTACAGTCCCCAGTCAATAAAATAAGATTTTTGTATTTTTCATATTTTTTTGAACAGCTCAACAATGTGTTTTGATTCTTATCCTCCAGTTACAAATTAGTCATAACAATTTAAAGAATATTGGTAAAGTACCGAAATCTGGTTTCTAAATTTTGTGTAAAGCATTGCATAATTTATAGTCCAAGTCCAAGCCACATTTTTAGGAAGTCAACAAATTTAGATTTGTTTATCAAAAACATGCAAATCAGTACTTTGATAAATCAATAGAAACAAAATTTAACTTGGTGTAAAGACAAATGATACTCAAAAACACTACACATGAACAAATAAAAACAAGATAATTGACAGTAACCCCAACAGTTTAATAATTTTTTTAAAAATGTTTAAATGGACACAGTTTAAATAGACAGGCAGGTCTATATTTAATATTCATTGCATCATATTAATGTGACTTTCAGAATTCAAAATTCTGTGTTGAGGACTATAATAAATCAGACTAGTTAGTAATAAGAGTACATCATTGTAATTTACAAAGTAAACTTGGTATTTTATAAAGTAGATACTTCCATGTCGTAAAAATTGACTTGTATAAAGACAATGTTTTTTGTAGTCAGCTTCTGTTTATTTTTGTCTATTTTTCACAAATAAAAACTGGTCTGAAGGTAACAAAGGCGTGTCTTTCCTGACAGGTGGTTACAATACAAAGAAATAACAAGGCTCAGTATGGAGGAATGTGAGGCACTAAGTACACATTTCAATAACCTAAGGCTATATAATAAATATATGAACAAATAAGCACAGGTCTTTTACTGTGTGATGTTAGTATACTCCTTATACTAGTTATACTCAGATGCACAAACTGGTACCAGTACCTGTAGTAGTTATTTTATAGAGCACCTGTGGTGGAAAGACTTACTTTTGAAAGACAGACACCTGCCAGAGCATTCTTACACCTGAGTCTACCAGGGTTCTAATTTTCCACCAGATGTCAGCAGTAACAACATTGGGATTTCAACAGGAACAAAATGTTAGTGGTCTAATGAAAAGAGATTTGTTCTGGGTCTATATGGCCATGGTCTCCCATCATTTCTAAGACAACAAGTCCATCTGGCTGTATGGTGATCAAGCTCATGCTGCAGTTGGCAATGCACAAACGTAGCCATGCCTCACCAGGGAACTGCAGGGCTCTAAGAAAGAAAGACGTTATCCTAGCAAAGTTATGTTTAAAATCCTTCGTGGTTATTTTTTCATTGCTGTAATGTGGCACCATTAAAAATGAATTAGATTGTAGTTACAATAACCCTCATGTATTAAAAAAACAACACAGCAGATGTACACAAATTCAGAGCAATATAATTTTTTTTTTTAACTTTTTTATAATATATTAACTAGTAAAAAAAGTAATAATTTTGAACATTACAATAGACACAAGATAACTGATAAAGTTTTTTATCAAAAAGTTAATAACAATGGCAATACACAAAACATACAGTAAAAGTAGCCACCTAAGTATAACTTAAAATTATGTAAAAGTTTAATTATCATCTAGGACTTAAACACTAAATAAAATACCTTCAAATGGTATCATTTTCACATCCAGGTGCTTATTGTACATTAATCATAAAGAACTTTGTCAAAAGAGTCAACAAATTATGTATATAAATAAATATGAACAATGTACAAATGTAAAGGAATAGAATACTAAGTGATGGTTATTGTAATTGGCAGTATTAGGCTTTCTAAACCACATAGTGACTTTAAAATTTGAGTTGGTTTTATTAATTGTTTTTAAATATTGCTAGGATGTATGTGTTTATTATATATTCAAAAATATCTTTATATTACAAAGTAAAGTTCAATACTGCAAAAATAAAAACCAGATACACAGTGCGTAAAAAAGGCAAAAATTAACATTAACATAAAATTATCTGAGCATATTTTCATACTCATTGTTATCCAGTAAGTTAAAAAACTTTGATCAACAAAAAATTGTAGAAAAATATGCTCCATTAAATTAATCACACCATGACTGTATGTCAAGCCATGTCACATTAAAATGTTGATTCTATTTTTACACGCTTTAGGGGATAAAAAAGTAAAAAAAAGTAAAAGGGAACAATGTTTGACTAAAATACTACTTGTATGTTACAAGTTTGGCCGGAATATACCCATGGTCACCCACAGCTTTGACAGTCACTCGCCCGCTAGGACGTATACAAACATGTGAAATACTACCATTAGCTAGAGAAAATCTCAACCAGGCATCTGGAGGAAACTGAAGTACCCTGAAACAGTGGACAAAGTCTGTCTAGTTAAAGATCATCTCTAGCCTTCAGGCACAGTCATGGTTTTCACAACACTAACTTTGTGTAACATAAAAATTTAAAACTAACTTGAAATTAACAATAAAGGTTGTAAAAACTAAAGAATATTGAAATAAATTTAAAATGTCAACTAAAATGAAATTTTAATAGTGAAACCAACCTGCATATGAAATAGCGGATGACATTGGCGTGACATACTATGATCTCATATGTGTCTTCCTTTTGACTGGGATCAGCTCTATAGAAATATTTCCTAAAGGCACTTTCTATTCTTGCTCCGTCTTGAAAAAACTGCTGGAGAAATTAAATGATATAGATGCTTTTGGGATATATATATATGTAATGAGTTTTCAATATTTAAAGAAAAATGAAGATATACTGGCTATTGAATGAAAAAAATTGTTCAATAACCTTCTGTTCTGGTCTCCAGCTGCCTAATGGAGGTTCAGGTGGAATGGGTGCACCTTCTTTTAAGCTGTCATCTAAAAATTAAGTAACATAGCAACATTGCCATTAGTCAAAAATATTTTAAATGGTTTGAAATATTTAATTAAACAATGTACAAAACAAATTCTAAAAAGCTCCTGCCATTTATTTAGTCACACTGTTGTGTCCTGTTTTAATAATGCTATTCTTTTGTTCATACTTTATATATATATATATATATATATATATATATATATATATATATATATATATATATATATATATATATATATATATATATATATATATATATATATATATATATATATATATATATATATATATATATATATATATATATATATATATATATATTTAACAAACATGTTTATTTTTTTCAAATTTTCAAGATTGAAAAAAATAGTGCTATTTCTGTCTATCAATGTGCCAAGTGTATTCAGCTGCAACCGGCTCATCATGTGATTTTATTTTATGAGTTTCAATTAGGTAGAATATTGTTAATTTTATTTATAACTCATGTCTTTAGCAGAGTTAGGTCCCTTACAATGAGATGGGAAAGGACTGTGGAAAAGTTGCTTAAATGAGAAAAGGTTAAGTAGTTATTAAACATGAAGATATGTAAATTAGTATTGAACACACAGGTAGCAATTATTTGAGAGATATTGTTACATCCCTGACATGAAGTGTCCCCTAATTGTGTGTGTGTAGTGTGCTAAAAAAAACCAGGTACCCTTTTTTTTTGTATATTATATAGTTGTAGCCCTTGGTTGAGTGTGTTTACATAGAATGAGACATGTTCATGTGAGGACTGTCCGTTGATGGGTGAGAGAGCATGTGTTAGGGTGTGTAGCAGTTGGTCGGCCTGTTGTTTTTGGAAGATGATGTGGACGAGTGTGCTAAGTCTTGTGTATCGTAATTTGTGTCATTAACTTTTATTATACTATTATTTATGTATATATATTATTAAACTCTTTATTATTATTTAGTATCAGCATTAATGTTATCAATTCTGTTGTATCATATACATTGTGTTGTCCAGCATATCCCTAAACAGAAGAACCCAACAGAAATGTTCAGCACACAATAAATACTTACCCTGTTTGTAATCAAGCTCTGGTAAATACTTGTGAATTAATTGTGCTGTCTCTATAGCTCTTGTCATAGTTGAAGAAATAAGTATTGTGTAAGGTAAGTCCAAATCTTTAAGTCTCTGGCCTGTCAGTTCAGCTTGATTTCGACCTGTTCAGAATTTTTAATTTGTAACAATTTTATTATTATTCTCCTTGAAATTCTCCTATCAATTTCAATTATTTTTTTTTAAATAATGACAGAAATTAAATAAAATTGTGACTAAAGTCACTAAAGACTGGCCAAAAAAAACAAAGAACAAACCTATACTTGTTAAAAATCTTTCCTTATCTACATGTGCAGTATCAAAGTACTGCCCATGACGAATCAGAAGGATGTGACGGCTGGCTGTTGGTGTGCAGTTAGCCACCAATTTATTGTATTCTTCCACTTCTTCTTCACATTTGCGTTTAGGGGGAGGAATCAAGCTTGCTGGATCTCGTCTGCAAGACACATTAAAAATCAGTATAGTCTATGATATTGATAATAACATATCTATGGGCCTATTTCTTTCATGATGCCATGGCTGACAATGACAGATGAATATCTTTTAGAATCTAACCTAGTAGCGAATTGGATATTCCAACAGAAATGAAAACGCAGTTATGTGATGGTTTTTTAATAACCATATGTTGTTTAATACACTCATTTTAATATGTTAACCTTACAATTACAGTAAAAGTTAATAAACAGCTAGTGATAGTGGGCTTCAGTCATTCTGAATAGTCTGTCTAAAAAGTCTGTCTTCTGTAATATAAATATCTGGTCACCTACAATAACATCAACCAATTGAGGTTAAGTAAACAAAATTTAAATCATTTAGGCCTAGGCCTACATACATTATAATATAACATACAATCATAGATAAAACATTTTTAAAAGTCAATTAAAGCCTATTAAAGTGTATTCAACACATATAGACCTATTATTTTTATGTTCACAAGACCTATCAAATAATCATATTTCTTTCTAAAAATACCCTTGTTTTTACCACTCAAAGTGCCAATAAAGAAAACCCTACATTTAGCATGCAAACCATCAAACAAGGTTTTATTACCCCTATCTGTCTAGATATGCAGTATTCAATTAATAATTTATCAGTATTAGGTCTATACTCTATAGCCCTATTAAATAAAGATGTAGGCCTAACACGTCAATGTCTGCATAAATTTATGATAAAACAGAACCTCTCCTCGGTAAAATCTTAGTTTAGCGTCGTAAATTCGGCCAAAACTAGTAATGTAGGAGAGAGTGCAATAATGAATATGTCATTAAATATGAGTATATTTTCGTATATTTTGATAAAATATTATAAATAATTGAATAATAGATCACCATTTATGGTTAAATCAATTTAAATATCCTGAAATTAATTTTTATCAACCCTGTTCGAGATAGTAAATTTACTATTAAAAACAGCAGCCATCTTAAGAAAATGTTATTTAGAGTAGCTTCCCTTTCATTTCTATTCGTATGAAAATGTATTTAAATATGATTGTCTTGTTGTATAGTCCGTATAACAAAGCATTTTTTAAAATTCTGCTCTTTAAAAACTGAATGTCCTAAGAAACAACTTTATTAATTCTAGAAGCATTGTGAGATGCAACTTGTATCCATGTTTTAAATCACGTTTTTTTTTTACTAATGTTTATTTGATCTTACTATTACTATATAGTTTGAGTTTTTTCTTATTGTTTGAATGTTCACTATTTTCATTTCAGGTTTTTCTTTCCATCAGTTAGATCTAGTGATTCTATCGTAACTTATGACATTTTTTTTTTTACTTCTCTTTACCTTAATTAAACCCCAACCTCCGTCATATTTTTGTTGTCAATGTCACAACAAGTCATAAGGGGGCATCCATAAATGACGTCACACTCGTAGGGGGAGGGGGGGGGGTCCGTAATTTTGTGACGATGTGTGATGAGGGGGAGGGGGGGGGGGGGGTTCAGATGTTGCGACGTCACATTTTTGCATTATAAAAAAAGAAAAAAGTTTTAATAAATTGTAATAGTTTAGACAAGATTTTGGAAAAATATCGATGTTTAAAAAAAATTCAACTGCAATTTTGAGGGGGGTTGTAGGTTGAGGTGTGACGTCATTTTAGGGGGGGGGTCTGGCTTTTTCTGACGACGTGTGACGGAGGGGAGGGGGGGGAGGTAAAAATCGTCAAAAAAGCGTGACGTCATTTATGGATGACCCCTAATGTAAAAAATTACGCTTCGCTCTGCCTTATCTAAGATCTCTAGCCATAATTTTGACAACAATAAATGTTTGTCATCATTTATATATACAGAGAGACAAAATGTATTATCCACCAGCTTCCCTCGTAAAACATCATCTAAAATAATCAGCCACTCCACCCCTTAAGTGCGTGTTGTCATTATGGTCGATCGCAAGTCTCCACCTGCCAGACAGATTTTGGTTATCCTTTGTTGTCAAATTGTCAATATCAAGTACCCAAGTGAGTGATATGGGGTTGTCCATAAATGATGTCACATATGATTTGCTACGGGAGTGAGTGAAGATTTGTGACGTCAACTCAGGTGGCTTTGCAATTTATGACGTGTCGGTCTCATGAAAGGAGGTGAACGGGGAAAAATACCTATGTGGTTGATGGAGAACCTCTATAATGCTTTGTTCAATCAAAATAACGATAAATAAGCATTAGTATACGTATACCTTGCTTAAAACGAATTATCATAAATGTTGCAAGCCTGCTAGTTTAAGACATTTGGCAAAACGGCCTTAACTTAACACATTATCCCCGTCAAAAAGGCTTGCCACCAAATGCCTGCTGACGAATTGAGCTGCGTCTAATGCGGGGCGTTAGGAATATGGCCATTAGCATGGGCCGCGTTAGAGCATCAGTAGGCTATCGCGCTTTGTAAGATGACGTAAATACTTAAATTCAATTTCGCTAAACTGCGCAAAAATTTAGTTATGTTCCATCGTTTGAGGAAATTTATTTTCTTGGACTTAAATTGAAATATCATGTTGACTGTCTGGCTCATAATTTCCGAATATCACTTTTAATGTATCAAGATTCAGAACTATAATTTACTTTAATATAAGTGTCATCTTATCGTTTATTGTGCTTTTTATAAAGCGCGGAGCAGCTACAAAATCGGACGGCCATCCTGTTTTCACCAAGCTTCTTTTGGAGCTTAATATAGGTAGTCTAGTTCTATACGGTGTGAGCTTAATACATTTTTAAAGGGCCGAAAGTCTCAGACAGCAAGCTTGCAGAAATAACTACGTACGTTTAAATGGACGAGTGATAGATGTGTTAGGGGCTGTTTAATGAACACCAACTTATGTAATCAAATTAAACGTCGCAAAAGCGTCAAAAAGGCAGTGCTTGTTGTTTTTTTTTTTCTATAAAATTAGCCTAACGGTCGGCGGTACCGCTACATGACGTCACGTGCGAGCGTTAACTCGGTGACGATGTGCTAAGTGGGGGAATGAAAAAGGTAGGGTTCAAGAAATGCGACTCAGCAAGCTTTTTACATTTCTTGACCCTTCTTAATAGTTCTTTCGTCCCCACTGAGAAAATGGATCACCAATGAATGACGCGTCATACTTCTACAGCTGGTCTTTCTCCCACAACCATCCCGTTTTCACGAAAAAAAAACCTGACCCGTCTCCAAAATCACATCGCTGAGTTCTACTCAACCTCTCCCCACCACAAATCACAATTTCTATCTGAAACAATATGTTCATGTTTGCTCTGTAATAATGCACGCTGTCATTACTATCTTAAGAGCGACGTCATTTATGAGTGATCTAAAATAATTGATTTGCTTACTGCAAATAAAGTGTTCAAAAGTTCAACCTCCCAACAATTGTTGTGGTCTTGGATGCACACTATTAAGTCTGATAAGGTCTATTAGTCATTCATGTCAACTATATTAAAAAAAGAAAAATTACTATACAGGGGGGTCATCCATAAATGACGTCACGCTTTTTTGACGATTTTTACCCCCCCCCCTCCCCCACACGTCGTCACAAAAAGCCAGACCCCCCACCCCCCTAAAGTGACGTCACACCTCAGCCTACAACCCCTCAAAATTGCAGTTGAATTGTTTTTAAACAGCTATATTTTTCCAAAATCTTGTCTGAACTCTGTCAAAATAGAGTATTTTAATCAATTGTTATTACAATGTATTAAAACAGTTATCTAAAACGCAAAATAACGTCTAAAATTCGTCACACCATGTGAACCCCCCTCCCCACTACGAGTTTGACGTCATTTATGGACGACCCCCCAGGCATGTATTAATATTAAAACAATACAAAGCAATCATATTAAACCACAAAATCAACACAAAAGACATGCGAATAGACAATTTATTGTTTTTGAAACATGGCCGCTGCTTGAATTTACTCATTGTTGTCTCGAACGGGGTAGTTTAAAGTTTATTCCAGGATATTTATGACTGGTTTGGTCTTGGATTGTGATTTGTTATTCAATTATCTGTTATATTATGTAAAATATGACATAAATATGGCCAAATGAAAGAAATATTCATTAGTTACCTTCATCGCACATTACTAGCTACGTTGGAATTTACGACGCTAAACTAAGATTTTACCCTCCTCTTTCTTCTCCCCCCCCCCCCCCCCCCTTTGCATACATGCACCCACAAAGACCAATTTTTTTTTAAAGCTAGAATCCAGATCTTTATTAATTCAATATAAAAATATATAGTAGATCTATATACTAAAGTCTTAACAAAATTTTATATTTCCAACAATTTTGAGGCCTACACACTACACACCCAACAGCAGTGCGTGCACCCTACTGAGCCCTACTCTGTACTTCAAGTACTTGGGCCTACACTGCAGTTTTTTAAGTACCTATCCCAATTTGGATCCCACTTGACAGTTGGTTCGTAACTTGTCGTCCATGAGGCATGTAACGCATTGTGATCACTGCTCCAGTGTTTGTAAACAACAACTCCAACTACTACGGCAGCACCTGCTTTAAATGATTTTCTAGCGATGTTTGATAAAGCATGAAGTTGTCTATAAAATCGTCTAGAAGCCATACCAATCGGTTTTTGGTAAATAACTATTTTCTAACTTAAAGAGCGGTGTCGTCGGATTTTTTAACACAACCTAAGGTTATTAAAAATATTAACTTTTATAAATTAAGCCACCAGTTTAGTTTTAAATATTTTGTAAATGTAAATATTATAGATCTCTTTATCAGCAGTAAAATTCCTATCTGCAGTGTTTTGTTGTTTAAGATACGATTGCCAGGAGAAGAAAACATAAATCAAGCATAATACATTAAAAGGGGCACTATAATCAAATAAATGGATTGTGTTAGTTATAGTATCGGCCTAAAATAAAAGTTAACCTTGCGCATTGTGTGTCCTTGCCCCACCCCACCCCACCACTACCACCCTACCCCCCTACCCCCCCCTCTTCCCCCCCTCCCCCCCCCTCCACACACACCAGTGTTTCTTCCAGACTTTTTCCTCTAGGGGGGGGGGGGGTGGACTAAAATTTCCGAGTGGCGGACACTGTTTAAAGTATATATTTTCTATACAAACTCCATTTCGTTCGGAGGAGGGGGTAGACTTTCTTCGAGGGGGGGGGGGGGGGGGGCGAATATACATAACTTGTACATTAGGTGGTAGGGGGACGGACACCGGTAAAAATATTTTTTTTATATAAATTATGTTTCGTTCCGGGGGGGGGGGGGTAAACATGCCCATTACACACACATACGCATACATTCAATTTTAAAAAATTACTTTTGTGTGACAGTACACTTTCTTAATGACTTAATCCCTCTCATCCCCCTCCTCTCTCTCTCTCTCTCTCGTCACACATGGTAACCAACAACACAAACACTTTCCATATTGAATAAATTGAAAAAAATTGAATTTACCGTCCTCTTGTTTACTTATTATAATGTTTTTAAAGCCTTGATCATGATTTATTTGAAATAGGCTTAGTTTACATGTTGTGTTTTGTTTTTTATCTATTCATACATTTTTAAAAATTATTAATTTTTTATTATTATTAAGCTTCAAGATCTATTTCTAGCAGACCAGAGTCATGCTTAATATTTTTGTATTTTGCCTTCACAGATCTACATCTACAGATCTATCTTCTTGTGCAAGATCAAGGCATCAAATTTGATGGATTTATTAATATTAAAATACTAAAGACCTTTTTCATACTTTAAAAGACGAAATTTATAAATATGTTTAAAGCTAGGGCCTAGGGTTAATAAAATTTTAAAGTAGGCCTAGCATTGAAGATAGTATCGTTTCGCAACCGTGACCTTTGCCCTCCATTTAGCAGTCTGCTTGGTTTGAACATTAGTAAACACTTGTTTTTATCTAGATTGTTTCTAGAATTTAGATTTTAGATCTAGATCTACATCTAGTTTTATTCTTTACAATATGATTGAATATTTGAATGCTTCTTTAATTTAGAATAGACTCATTATCAACACCAAATATAAATAAATATACTAATTTTAGTAATTTAATATACTAAAATTAAAAATTCAACACTCAACACAAATCAAGTTTATCAATATCAACCCAAGTTATAATTATATTTATATTATAAGTCATAAGTAGATCTATATTATTTTTAAGTATACTATAAACTTAGTATAAATAAATATAAAGTAATAATATAAATTATTTTGGATGATATTTAGTATTTAGAATCGACCCCCCCCCCCCCAAAAAAAAAGTCTAGGCTCAATCAATAGTCAATAGGTCAGCATTAACCATCCATATCATTTTGATACTGCATTGTAAAAGTGTCCACTGATCACTAGTCTTATTTGGAAACTCAACCATTATTGTTGTTAATGTCTTTTGTTAAAATCCTTTTAAACAATCAGCTCATATGATAAAATTGATTATGGTGCATTACAAGTAAACTTTGTTACATTTAGAATACATTTGTATTATTTTAGTCTGCAGAAACATGGAGCTAATTGGAGGTGGTGATCATAAGCCTATTCAAGATACAATTCATAAACAAAAGGTTTTTGATAAGTTGTATATAGAAACACCAACCATCTTAAGTCATCCCTTGTCAAAACATGCTGGACTCAAGGTTTACTTGAAGCTAGACAACCTGCAGCCTCCTGGTTCTTTCAAAATAAGGGGGATTTCACACATGATTCAAAAGGTAGTTTTGTTTTAATTATAAGGGGATTTCACACATGATTCAAAAGGTAGTTTTGTTTTAATTATAAGGGGGATTTCACACATGATTCAAAAGGTGCATTTTTTTGTAATTATAAGGGGATTTTACACACAATTTAAAAGGTGCTTTTTTTGTAATTATAAGGGGATTTTACACAATTTAAAAGGTATACATATTACACATGTCTTCTAGGCTTATATTTAAAACTACACACATTTAGATATCAGTTTGTATAAGCTGGGATTATTTATTATTGCTCCACATTTGATTGATTTTGATAGCTCATGTACCATAATTTTTTGGCCTTTAATTTTTTCTAATTATAAGGGGATTTTACACAATTTAAAAGTATACATATTACACATGTCTTCTAGGCCTATATTTAAAACTACACACATTTAGACATCAGTTTGTATAAGCTGGGATTATTTATTATTGCTCCACATTTGATTGATTTTGATAGCTCATGTACCATAATTTTTTGGCCTTTAATTTTTTCTAATTATAAGGGGATTTTACACAATTTAAAAGTATACATATTACACATGTCTTCTAGGCCTATATTTAAAACTACACACATTTAGATATCAGTTTGTATAAGCTGGGATTATTTATTATTGCTCCACATTTGATTGATTTTGGTAGCTCATGTACCATAATTTTTTGGCCTTTAATTTTTTCTAATTCATATCTTGAAGAATCACCAATCTTTTGATAATCAGCACTTATTTACTTTTGGATAAAAATAATATGAATTTTAATTCCAGGCTGTTGATAATGAAAGCTGTGATCATGTGTACTGTGCTTCTGGGGGTAATGCTGGGATGGCAGCTGCCTTTGCCTGCAGACAACTTGGGATATCATGTACCATTATATTGCCGAAATCAACTCCGGCATTCTTAGCTGACAGGCTCAAGCTTCTAGTTAGTTAATGAATTTTTATAAATAGCTATATTAAATGAATTAATGTTTGTTTTTTTTTGTTTAAAATGTTTCAGTATTTATACAATAACTAGAAGGAAAATTATTTTTTTAAGGATGCTGAAGTTAAGGTCCATGGTGATTTTTATGATGAAGCTAAAATCTTAGCTCAGGAGCTAAGTACACAACCAGGTAAGCCTAGATTGGAATCAAAGCTTTTAATTATTTTTTTTCCTGAATGATCAGTTCATGTAGATAAATTAGTTAATTTCACATACTCTCTGTAGTTAGGCATGTAATTTAAATATTTCAATTTTAATTAGATAACTAATCATTAATTAGATTCACAGTTTTGAAATAACATTTCATGTACTTGTATTTATATTTTCTGATATTCAGTAGCTGAACCAACTAAAACACATGTTGAATGTTTTAATACTTGTATTTGTTTTAAAACAACCTGAATTTCAGTATTCTTTTTTTTAAATAGGAGCTCTTTATGTACCAGCTTTTGAGCACCCAGATATTTGGTAAGATGAAAACTTGGACTTAAAAGGTTGTGACATTTTTATTTATCTGGATTTACATTTGACTGCAGGCTAGAGTCCATGAAGCTCTGACTTATATTAGGGAAAGTAAAGGCGGCTGCGCATAGTGCTGACCACACTATATGTTCACAGAAACAGGTGCAGTCTACTTCACCTGCCACATGGACTGACAGGTTTGAAAGAGTACTTGACATTTACTTGGATTTACTTGCTGTAGACATTTTATTGCCTACTCTAGCCTACTCTCTGTATTTCATTTACTGTTATAGTACTCAGTTGACTGTTAGACATTTATCTTAATATTTAATTTAAATATCATTTTATTCTTGTTTTATTGAATTCTTTAAATTAAACTTGATGAGTCAACCCACTTTGTATATGAATAGGATGGGTGGGTACACACTTTTGCACATGCCCAGAGAACAAGGGAGGGGGCGGGAGGAGGGTTAGAGTCTGCATGCGTGCATAGTGTCCCGCATGGTTGGGCGATGTAGAGAATTATATATATATATATATATATATATATATATATATATATATATATATGTATGATATTTCATTGACATGTTAGATCAGTCTGTGCGTATAATTGAATGATTGCAACTTAGTGATGATATTTTTGTATCTTTTGACCACCCAACAGGGAAGGCCATGCCAGCATAATTGAAGAAGCGTGTCGCCAACTGGAGGAGAAGCCTGGCCTTGTGGTGACCAGCGTGGGGGGCGGGGGATTGTGTAATGGTATAGTGCAAGGGATGAGGAGTGTGGGGTGGGAGGATGTGCCAGTTCTAACAATGGAGACAGAGGGAGCTCATTCCTTTCATGCTGCAGTACAAGTTGGGGAGGTGGTGACTCTGCCTGCTATCACAAGGTAAGAAATGGCTATGTGCTTAATAAAAGTTAAATTACTAGGTAAGAAATGGCTATGTGCTTAATAAAAGTTGAATTACTAGGTAAGAAATGGCTATGTGCTTAATAAAAGTTCAATGGCCATGTTTGATAAAAATTCGTTTAAAATTTGTAACATTAGCTTTGGAAAATAAATTATTTTAAAAGAAGTAATAGTTTGCTTTTTGAAAACTATTTTTAATGGAGAATTTTTAGCCTACTGCCCAACATAATTTTTTTTTAGAAAATAAACATTTAAAAAAATAATATATTGTAGATTTTCTAAAAATCTTTTTTGTAGAATTTTATATTTAACTTATTTAGTGAATGAAATATTTAAACTTAAGTAAATATTTTTTTCAATGTTGCTTGTGTCAGCATCGCAAAAACTTTAGGTGCTCTAAGTGTGTGCCCCACTACATTGGAATATTACAAACAAGCTCGACCTCAACTTCTGCCTTACTTAATCACAGACAAGCAAGCTGTCAATGCCTGCATCAAGTTTGCTGGTGAGATTACAATTTTTTTAATGTTGCTATTATCTAAGTCCCCTCACTTAAGACATTACTGTGCATAAGGCAGATGAAATATAGCTCATCTGTTTCTGTACCTAATGGCAGGGTCAGTGCTATGCCCAGTCAAATTTACTTAAGTAATGTTAGTTAGGTACCCAGCAGGACATTCTACTGACTTGAACACAGATTTGAACTCGAGACTTTCAGGTTAGCAGTCTAGCACTCTTCCGCTGGGTCACGCTCTACCACTGCTGTACTATTACATTAAGAAAATGTAAGAAAAAACAACTGGAAAACTTCATTTTCCCCAAAAGCTAATTACATTAATTATTAATCTTGAAGAAGCATTTAAAATAATTTTACTTTCAGAAGATCACCGTTTCCTGGTTGAGCCTGCATGTGGCGCTAGTCTAGCAGCTATTTATAGCAACATTGTCAAACAGCTGGTGACAGAGCAGAAGTTGTCAGATGTAACTTCAGTCCTAGTTGTTGTGTGTGGCGGGTCCATTGTCTCCACGTCTGTCATGGAGGCCTGGAGGCAGGAGTATGGTATATGACACTGTTGATAGGGGAAACATTTCATAGGTGACACTGTTGATAGGTGACATTTGATGACATTGTTGATAGGGGAAACTGTTGATAGGTGACACGGTTGTTTTTATGTCACTTTAACTGTTTATGTATGAAACTATTCACATATAACAGCTAGCAGTGATGTTACAAAACTGTTCATTTGCCACACTGTTGTTGATATGTGAAAAAACTTGGTGCTGTATTAATTAAAGCTAAAACTGTAAAAAAGTAAGTTATTTTACAAATGCATATTCAAGTCATTTTGTTGTGTTTATCATTAACCTTAGCCAAAATCCTAGCCCTTCAAGTCTGACCTGATAGAGATACGTGCAAAAAAATAAAATCTTAATAATGAAATGATGAAGTAGAACCCTATGAATTTTTACAAATTCCACTATTTAAGCTATTAATCTAAGTATGCTATTTCTTTTTATTCAATATCAACTAATGCTAATTGCAGGGGTTCTCTTATTATTATAATTAATGTTATATTGTTTATTTATACAAGATAACTATTAGACTTGATTTTCAGATTAAAAAAACACCAAATTAAATTTTGTTTTGTATCTTTTTGGTTGTATCAGTTTTCATTTCACCTTTCACTATATCTCCAGTGTTTTAATTAGTGCTCTTCTCAAAAGGTGTCAGATTTATCACTAAGTAATGGTAGATCAAGTAGAGTTAATCTGTATTGTCAGAACTGTGCACAATGATTACTTTTTAATGTTACATCTTTTTAAATTTAACCAATTTTCTAGATTTGTGTAGGTATCTCAAAAGGATAGATCACAGTTATAATACAAAATACAAGTTGTCTCATAGTGTTTTATTTACAAATACAGCACGCATTTTACCCAGTGAAACAACTCTGATTATATTTGACTAGTTTTGGGTACTTTGAAAATAGGCAATTTCTTCAAAAGAGAAAAGTAGATTCACAAATAGTATCATTTTATACCAACAGTTACCTTTGTAACATCTCATACCTGATATTGAATCGCATTCAAAACTAATAACACAAACAAGCAGCATAAAACGGGGGTAGGGGGGCATTTGAAGGCTTGTTGCATACCCTTCCTTACACAAAGTAGGCCCCTAAAGCTTTTCATCACAGTACATTACGCCACTATTTAGTGACGGGTGAAGACTTCTTGAAAGGACGCTTCCAATGGGGTGGGTGGGTACACACTGTTGCGCACGCTTGGAGAGCGAGGGAGGAGGGCTAGAGAGTCGGCGTGCATGCGTGGTGTCACGCTTAGTTGGGCGACGTAGATAATTATATAGATATAGATCCCTTGTTGGGGCTTCCTATGATGTCGCCCTGCCTAACTTAAAACCCATGTAGGTTTTGTTCTGTTATAGTTACCTTCAGCTATGGACAGTCCATAATGAACTAACAAAAATAGATTATGATTATAATAAACTATCATTTTAAAAAATGCAACTCAGTTTTCAATTGCATGTAATACATTTTTATTTACATCATAAAGTACACATTTTCAAACAATAAGAGCATTCAATTTATTTTTAATACTAAACTTTACATTTAATTTAAACTTTTAGCAAATTAAAAATAAAATAAAAAAAGATGTTTTTAATTTTGTCAAGAAGACCTAGATTCTCTTTGGTGATTTTTAGTAGGCCTACTCTAACAATGAGTAATAAACGCTGTCGACAAAGTGACACAATAGTCTATTATCCGTTTTTGTTTTTGTTGAATTCAAGCACCAAAATCCTACACGTTTAGTCATTTAGAGAATTGTTTTTGCTATCTCTTATAAACTCAATACAAGATGGAAGTAAAAAAAAAAATTGTTGCTGTTTTTACTAAGGACTTTACACACACATACACACATTAATAATGGCATGAACTGGATAAGAGCGAACCTGTCCCATGTTTATTATAGGACTAGATCTACCACTCATTTAAAAGTGTCAACATTCATAACTTGAGTTCGTACAAATGTTAACCTAATGGAACAGAGATTCTTTGCCAAAAAATAAAACATGGTTAATCAATACAAGTAAACAATGCATAGGTCATCAATACAATGTGTTTTCACATGAAAGTCGATCAGTGATCAAATGAAGGTCTGTGGTTGTCATGGTAACTGGTGGTTGTCATGGTAACTGTACACGTCACATGGGAAGAAATTAACCTTTAAGAGCATTTACTCTGATTGCTTGGCTGGCGGCCACTGGGAGTAAAAAAAAAAAGGGCAAGTTGTTACTCAATGTTACAAAAATGGCAAGTTGTTACTCAATGTTACAAACATGAATAAAATTGTTACTAAATGTTACAAAAATAAAAAGATGTTACAAAACTGACATGTTGCTTAAAGTTACAAATATGATATGTTGTTAGAAAAACGCTATACTGTTACTAAAAGTTGTTGCAAAAAAAAATGAAAAAAAGACAACTCGTGTAATAGTTTGTGACTAAAGTGTGTGTAAATGTATTATACGTAACGCGAGGTTCTTCCACGCAACAGCATGCATCATCACCTACCACTGCAAGTCACTTGACGTTAGTGACACGTGAAAGCACGTGACGTTTAGTGACACATGACGTTTTGCGTCACACTGCACAAAACGCGGTACACCACACGATCTTTGCTCACCAAATTACATGAAAATGATGCACGCAATGTTTGCATAGGCCTACTTTAAAGCTTTTCATTATAATTAAACCCATTTACTCGCACTAAACTTGTGTGTGGGGGTTGGGTAACGGATAATGTATTTTCATTTTAAATCAAACCGAAAGTAAAAGTAGACCAAATTTTAAAAGACAATGACCTTGAATACAGGTAACGTCGATGAGCTGCTGACGGATGAGGTTGAGCCTGGCATAGTCTGTGGCTGTCAGCACACGGTCCCGGCTCCCTGCTATGTTCTCCAGCTCCTCGTAGCCAATCTGTTGCTCTGTGTGTGTGGGGGGGGGGGGGGGGGGGGGGAGGAGGGTGTGAAACAATTGTTCAACACAATCCTTTGTTAAGGTTCAATACATTTACGAGTGATTGTGACTTCACTTTGTTTGGTTGCTATGGTAATGGGTAAGATGTAAGCAATGCCTTGGAACATCCATTACTCTATAGTCCCTAATTAGAAGTATCTACACAAATATACCCATTGTACTGCACATAATTTGACCGTACCTAACTAAATGCACGTATAAACCATAGAACTATTAGAATACTACTCATCTACCCATGCCCCCCCCCCATACAAAAAGGACGATCCCCTCATATCCACCCCTCACGTTAAGTGACCAGTACTACTCCACCCACACCTACGGCAATCACGGTGAATCCCCAACCCCCTCTTCCCAACCCCCCTCATCCCCACCCCCTCATCATCATCCCCCACCCACTAAGTGACCATCACTACTTACCTCCACCCACACCAACAGCTATCATGGTGAACCCCCCCCCCCCCCCCACATCCCCACCCCCTCATCATCATCCACCACCCACTAAGTGACCAGCCCTACTTACCTCCACCCACACCAACAGCTATCATGGTGAATCCCCCCCCCATCCCCACCCCCTCATCATCATCCACCACCCACTAAGTGACCAGCCCTACTTACCTCCACCCACACCAACAGCTATCATGGTGAATCCACTGTCCCTCGCTCTCTTTGCGGCAGCTGCTGTAGCCTAAAGGGGAGGGGGGAGGAGAAAATGTCCAATTGTGTTAACAGCAAATAGTTCGCCAAAAAAAACTCTTGTGACGACACAATAGCCTCACAAGACGTCATTCCCGACCAACTCCTTGCTTTACCATTGCCTCACTGACGTCACCAAGCATCAATCTGACGTCACCACACCCCCACCTGACGTCACAAAAAAAAACCTCACCCTCCTGTTCTGACTGTCCCCCGTCAGTTATGACGATCCCGAGGAGAGCGGCGTGACTTCTGGCAGAGGGCAAGAAATTGTCGATCAGGTATTGGATGCCTGGAGGTGAGAGTCTTGGAGTTAACCAGGGTCAAGGTTACAGGGTTGGGAGGGCAGTATATATATATATATATATATATATATATATATATATATATATATATATATATATATATATATATATATATATATATGTGTGTGTGTGTGGTGTGTGTGTGTGTGTACAGGTAGAAGGGTAGAGTGGCTAAACTTACCAAGACCAGTTTCAGTACGACCACCGTGTCTCCAGTCGAAGGCTTGAATAGCATCGATGGTGTCTTGTTTGTTATTGAATGAACTAATGGGGGGGGGGGGTGATACATAAAGGCATTTGGTTTAATTAGGATTAACAAAAACATTTCTTTAAACATTGGAATTTGTTTAAGCTGAAGTTAGCGTACTGGAAACAAAATTTTTAAGTTTTGCTACCCTCCTCCCACCTTTTCCACATCTTTCCCTATCAGAACTAAAAGACAATAAGCAGCTTGGCTTGGCTGACTTTTATGGGACGGCGTAGTCGAATGGTAGAGCATCCGACTGCTAACCCGAAAGTCTCGAGTTCGAATCCGGGTTTAAGTCTGTAGAACCTTATTGTGCCCACCCAGTTTTGATAGGTACCTGACTCACGTTAAGGAAAGTAAAGGCATAGTGTTGACCAAATTATCCCTTCATATGCCGAAACAGAAACAGGTGAACTCTACTTCACTTGCCCCATGAACCGTCAAGTTCTAAACAGAACTTCATTTAGTTGACCTTTACGCCTATAGTGACGTACGAATGACGTCACAGCACTTACTTGAAGTGAATGACCTTGTCGTCGTGCACCTTGTCAGAGAACATGACCGCAGCGATGCGCACCGTGTTCGGGTTGATGGTGAAGTCTTGGATGAACTCCTCAATGAAGCTGAGCCCGAGCTTAAAGTTGTCGAGCTTAACCGACACGGACGAGTCGATGAGGAAGGCGATGTCTGCTGGTTCCGACTTGCAGGCTGGCGGAAACCGGAAAAATACATTTTTAATTAGTGTTTAATCCTGACATTATTTTTTTTTACTTTCTCAAATACAGAGTATAGAGGAAGTATTGTAATCGAGCACAAAAAGCACATGAAATTATGTCAGTTTTCATCGTTTTACACCTCAGTATTACATCATATACGGAGTATAGGGGACTTATTTTAATCGGGCAATAGTTAAAAATCCAAATTTATCAAAATCTAGACGTCTTACCCGTCATCTAGTCTGAAAAACTGGGCTTTGCAATTTTGTCCGTATGTGTGTGTGTGTGCGTGTGTGTGTGTGTGTGTCCGTGAACGCGATAAATTGAGTACTGTTACAGCTAGGTTGATAAGATTTCATAAATCAGTATTATATCAAATTTTTAGTTCTGTATTAACATTTGAGCGATTTCTGATAAACGAAAATGTTTCTGTTTGCGCAAATTTCTGTTCCCGCATTTTCCTGCTTTTGCAAATTTCTCTTTGCGCTTTTTTTTCTGGTTGCACATTTTTCTGTGTGCGCTTTTTTCTGTGTGCGCTTTTTTTCTGTTTGCGCTTTTTTCTGCTTGCGCTTTTTTCTGTGTGCGCTTTTTTTCTGTTTGCGCTTTTTTCTGCTTGCGCTTTTTTGTGTTTGCGCTTTTTTCTGTGTCCTCTTTTTTCTGTTTGCGCTTTTTTTCTGGTTGCGCTTTTTTCCGTTTGCCCTTTTTTCTAGATAAGAAGCCTGTAGACCAGGGGTTCCCAACCCCATGCCCGCGGGCGCCGCGGGCGTCATGGCGCCCGCCGAACGATTCGTATGTGCCCGCCTATCACTATTCGACAGAGACAGAATTTTTTTCATAAACATTATTGAAAGGTTGAAGGGGATGGAAATCGAAAGTTTGAGGGGGAGGGGGGTGCATATCGGAAATTTGAGGGGGGGGGGGTGCAAATCGAAAATTTGAGGGGGGGGGGGGGGTGCAAATCGAAAGTTTTGTCCCCGGGTGACGGGAAGGGTCGCTACGCCTCTGGAAGGAGTTTGTCGATTTATAATAGGTGGTGCCCGCCACCCTACCGATATTTTAGAATGTGCTCTAGAGTAAAAAAAGGTTGGGAACCCCTGCTGTAGACAAAAGCGAATCAAGCTCGGGTCCCGTTCCCCCCCCCCCCCCCGGCATTATCTAGTTGGCCCATTAGTGATGACAGTGTTACTATGGGAACAGTTAAATATACTCACGTGGTTTAGGTATAACTGTGGAAATAAAAAAAAATCATGTGTTATAAGTATAGATCATTCCAGAAATATAAGATATATATATAAACAGTAAGTCAAGAACCCTCCTAGCTATCCATTGGGCAGATGAAGTAGTGTTATTGTTTCTTCACCTCAGCATTGAAGGGAAGGTGTGGTCAGCACTTTGCCCAGCCGCCTTTACTTTCCCTAACATGAGTTAGGCACTCATCAGAGCTGAGTGGACTCAGGGACATTCTACTGACTTGAACCAGGTTCGAACTCTATACATTCGAGTTAGCAGTTTAGCGCTCTACCCCTTAGGTCACGCCTAAGTTATCTATATATATATAATTATATAACTGAGGATATTTCTAACTCGATCTGTTTATTTAACCCTAACCCTTACCATCACAGGTCTCGTACAAAAGCTTAGATAGGACATCACGTAGCTGATCAAATCGGTCAACAAAGAGAACGTTTCTGTTGGAATAAAGATACAGAAAATATAAGGGTTTAGATTGTTGATATAAAGATATAGAAAATACAAGGGTTTAGATTGTTGGAATAAAGATACAGAAACTATAAGGGTTTAGGTTGTTGGAATAAAGATACAGAAACTATAAGGGTTTAGGTTGTTGGAATAAAGATACAGAAAAAATAAGGGTTTAGGTTGTTGAAATAAATATACAGAAAATATAAGGGTTTAGATTGTTGGTATAAAGATACAGAAAATATATGGGTTTAGATTGTTGGAATAAAGATACAGAAAATATAAGGGTTTAGATTGTTGGAATAAAGATACAGAAAATATAAGGGTTTAGATTGTTGGTATAAAGATACAGAAACTATAAGGGTTTAGATTGTTGGAATAAAGATACAGAAACTATAAGGGTTTAGGTTGTTGGAATAAAGATACAGAAAATATAAGGGTTTAGGTTGTTGAAATAAATATACAGAAAATATAAGGGTTTAGATTGTTGGTATAAAGATACAGAAAATATAAGGGTTTAGATTGTTGGAATAAAGATACAGAAAATATAAGGGTTTAGATTGTTGGAATAAAGATACAGAAACTATAAGGGTTTAGATTGTTGGAATAAAGATACAGAAAATATAAGGGTTTAGATTGTTGGAATAAAGATACAGAAAATATAAGGGTTTAGGTTGTTGAAATAAATATACAGAAAATATAAGGGTTTAGATTGTTGGTATAAAGATACAGAAAATATAAGGGTTTAGATTGTTGGAATAAAGATACAGAAAATATAAGGGTTTAGATTGTTGGAATAAAGATACAGAAACTATAAGGGTTTAGATTGTTGGAATAAAGATACAGAAAATATAAGGGTTTAGATTGTTGGAATAAAGATACAGAAAATATAAGGGTTTAGATTGTTGGAATAAAGACATAGAAACTATTAGGGTTTAGATTGTTGGAATAAAGACATAGAAACTATTAGGGTTTAGATTGTTGGAATAAAGATACAGAAAATATAAGGGTTTAGATTGTTGGAATAAAGATACAGAAAATATAAGGGTTTAGATTGTTGGAATAAAGATACTGAAAATATAAGGGTTTAGATTGTTGGAATAAAGATACAGAAACTATAAGGGTTTAGTAATGTAGTTTCGGGGTGTCTGAAGCTTCATGTCAAATATCGTTGATTGGTTGACCCAGTGAGGCCACCTGCTATTGATCTTTGGTCTCATTGTGAACTCTATGCCCTCATCTGCTATAAGTTATCGATCTGCTACACTGTTGGTTATCGATCACCTAGACCACGTGACGCCCTCACCTGCTCTCGCTAGCGATGTTGTGCAGCTCCTCGTGTGAGACCTTCCCGATGCCGACGGCAAAGACCTGAATGCCGGAGTTCCGGGCCCTGCCGGCCTGCTCACGTGTCAGGTCCTTCCTGTGGGAGTCGCCGTCCGTCATGACGACGGCAACACGTCTGACGCCGATCCTGGCCTCGCTCATCTGCTTGTCCAGCATGTACCTGTTTAG